ATCTGAATGACTAAAGAGGAGAAAAAAGGAGGAAGGAGAGATGATAATTAAATCAACAAGTTCTGACAGGAGCAACAAACCTAAGGAAAAGTTGTGCAACCCCAACAAAACCACCTGGAGGAACATCACATTACTAATTAGATGAATCTGCAACAGGTTAGTAACACAACTGAGAATAAGAAATGACTTCAAAACGTTTATTTGTGTAAAATTACACAGAATTTGAGTATTTCCTTATTTACAGTACTGAACATTAAACCAGATACTCAGAGATCTAAAGGCTGGGGACCAGGACAGTTGGATGGCTGTTATCGTTGCACCTTCAGGCAGCCCTGCAGTAAAAACAGACATTACTCTGGAGTAGAAATCTCTGTATGGACACCTCTAAAAGGGTAACCTCTCTGGACCTCGGCCCATTTAGGATGGACTAAGGAGAGTGGGCATCTGGCCTGTGGTCTGGCAGACAGTCTTGGATGAATAACAGTGGCATTTTAGCTGATGTAAAACGGTATCTTTCTTGTCTGCCAAAGGAAAAATAGTGATGCTGCAGAGCTCTTAGATAAAGTTCCCTCTCAGTTGTGTTCAATTAAGTTACTCAGCAATTTAGCCCGATAGTCTGAACATACAGTGGGATACCCGCGCTCTTGTATTGCCTTTGATAGCTTATTTTTCTTTGGTATTCCCCGGTGTGAACGCTCCCTTGGGCTGACAACACACAGACTCAAGTGTCAGCTGCACTCACCGCTGGGACGCGTGAAACCACTTCCCTCAAAGGAAATCTCAGTCAGCACACAGCGGTCCAGCCATTCATCACAAACTGTCAGTTTAAACTTTTATCATGCATTTTATCACTCATCTGCTGACAGTGATGCAGTAGTCTCAAAGAAACGTTGACTTGACAATTCCGCTGAGGCTGATGAGATCTGAATGAAAGTTGTCCAAAGAATACTTTTAATCTCGTGCCTATGCAGAGACATTTGAATACAAAGTTGAGGAAAGTACTGTGTAACACGCTCGGCTTGTGGAATAATCTAATAATAACTGGGAGGAAATGATAACCTACCTCTTCATCACTGCTGTGGTTTCTTTGCCCTTAGTTGAGGAGGAACTCAGCATCCCAAAACCTCCCACAGTTGTCTCAGCTGCTCAAGCAGCTCTCGGGTCCAGGAGGGGATTTGGCAGCATAACAGCATCAGGGAACACCGCCAAATTTCTCCCAGCATCCCTGTTGCTTCTACACTCTTCCTTTCACTTTGACTTTTTTTCTTCTCACCTCCTTTTCACCCCCCCTCCACCTCCATCAGTCTCCTCCAGTCCTCATATCCACGTCTTTACTTTAGGGATTACCAGATCCAACTTCTGGATTTCACACCTAACCTCGGAGAATGAGAGTGCTGGAGGAGCGCTCACCATCCAAAATTTGGAGACGAAAACGAATTTGTACGCTGTGAGACAGAATATGAAGGATCAGAAACACCAAAAATCATCAGAATCATCTTATCGGTTTAAAAAAGGTCAGTTTGATCTGATTTGGGTCGTATGGTTTACTTAGTAGTCAGTTAATGAGAGCTGTGACTTTTTCAAAAATCAATTTTGAATGAACATCGAATATGACAAGCTGGTGTTAAAATATGTATGTAAGCAAGGCTGACACAATCTCAGATTTTCACCTTATGTTTATAATTTTTTTGAGAACATGAAAAAAATAAATAAATAAATAAATAAAACAATACAATCAGCCAATACAAGGGTGGAGCGACGTTCATAAACTTTACCAACAAACACAGCTAACTCACACATCATCATCTGTTTCTGATGTTGTTCAAATTTATAATTTATCGACATTTCCAGCTCTTGGACCAAAGTTTCTTTAAAGAGGACCTTGACTCGTAAGACTATTATCACCATGCTTTTTTCTTTGACAGTTTTTTTCCGACTGCGCATGGGTTTCTTAATTTCCTGCGCTATAAAAATGTGCTTTTATTATGAAATTTTCTATTTGTGTTAGATCCTAAGTAATGAATGGAAACAGTAAAAAGAAACAATAGAAGTTTAGATGTTTAATTGAGTAGTAACTCAAAGAGATTCAAGCTCTAACATTATGTATGTGATTGCAGTATAGACGCTGTCCTATATCAGAGAGGTGACTCCACCCAAAGATAGGTGAGGAGATGGAGGACGGTTTAAAAGTTGTAGTAGATTAAGTTAATGTGGAAGGGGGTGAGCAGCTTGTGTCGTAGTTATCGTCCATTTATCGTTATCGAGGTGAACTGATCAATATACCATGATATAGATTTGAGACCACATCACCCAGCCCTATTGTCATTATTGTAAAGGTTAACCGAGGCCAAGAATAACCATGAGAGTTCTGTCTGTTGAGTTAAACGGCAAGCTACTTGGAACAGCCTGATGCACTAATAAGCTGAATATTGGCTCATTACAGCTCAAGTCCAAACTGTCCCACCTAGACTGAAGAAAAGATCGCTGTGAAGCCAAATGTTCGCTACTTTTTAATGTATTTTCTGATGTTTTTTTTACTGTAAATTGATTTTCCTCTGGTCCATCAGCATAAGAAATTTGATTTATTGTTAGGCTTTGGAAATGGTGAAGAGCACTTCTACTATCTTTTATGGACGAAATAATTGCCTAAAGAATCCAAAAACAATCACGTAATGAATGGAAAGAGGAAATTATTGGTAATTGCATCCCAAACACTGTTATTGATTCTGCCCGCGTCCTTTCTTTCCCCTTGTTTTTAAACCGTCTCTTCCTCCCTCACTTTAATCTAATTTCTTCTCCACTTTTCTCTCATTAGCCCATTTCCTTTTTCCTCCTCTTTCCAACTCTAATTACTTCTCCTCTTGTCCAAACTCATCCTTCTTAACAGCTCGTCTGCATGTAAGATTGGCCCACAGAAAACCCAAATTCTGATTTCAGTCGGACGATGATAAATTGTTGCTCATGCCGCAGCCGGAGACAGCCTTCTACTCCCACAGTTTTTAAATTAACTCAATGGAGCCGCTTTAATTTATTGTTTTTGCTTTCATTTGCAGGGAAAGTCATTAGAAGGCAAAGCAAAAACTAATTATTTATGCCCTCCTTCCTCAACACCGTTGACGGTACAGCTTTTAGCTGATTTAATATACATGGTTACCTAACTAAATAAATGAAAGGCTGCTTTGTTAAAAGGCTGCCCATGTGGTAATCAGCGTTTAATTACAAAATAAAACCACCTTCCACAAAGTGTGACACCTCCTTTTACTTAAACACTGGTTGCTGGGTATTTTCTTGTTCATGGTTTTCCTCAGAAAATTGGATTTTTAAGGATTTTTGCTCATTTAGCTGTTCTCGAGGGACCCTGGGGATCTGGAAGCTGCAGTAAGTTCGCTCTCCACTCAGCTTTGAAGCTCGTGACAATTTATCTGCCGTGCAGGTGAGCAGGATAGTGAAGAAAGATGAGGTAAAGAGAAAAGGGGGGATGATCCCACTGCCCTCAAACCCTCTGGCTCCTTCTTTTGTCTTTTTTCGTTGGCAAGTGAGCATCTGGCAAAGCTAAGCTTCTCTGCTCTCCCCTTCCATATTCCTCTGTCTTCTCTCTCTTGGTTTCTGTCTGGCGCTGACAAAGGCGAGCTGGCAGACAAACGCAGTCAAGCAGAACACAGCGCTCAGATGTAAGACTATTCGTTTTAGCAGGAGCAGGTCATGGAAATAGTCTGCTTTTTCTGATTCCCCGGTCAATTTTGTATGGAGGTGTCAGTGTAACAGCAGCATAAAGATAATGGATGAAGATGTTAACCTGAGTGAAAAAGATTTGTGCTGGTTTAAGGAGCACAGGGATCTATACTGACGGAGCAACATATTACAGATGAGAAGAGTCACGGGTTAATCCCCATTCAGCAAATTCTTTTAAATATGTCTCCCTGTTGTCTTCTGCATATGCTGAAAACAGCATCAATCCCATCTGCGGCCTGCTCAAAACAGGTTTGGGAAGAATATAATCATGCATCATGCACACAGTGTTTGGAGCTGCTGGCATGACTGGGTAAGAAAAGAGAGTTTAAGAGAGGCCGAGCCTGTAAGGAGTAAAGATAGTAGGGGTTCAACACTGTGAAGGAAAGTCCAATAAGTTATTAATCACAAATAAGATATTTAGTCCAACAAAGTCAGAATCACATCACATTAGGAAGGAGTCAATACTGGTTTGCCTCAATGTTCAGGCCCTCTGCATAAAAAAGAAGCATGGCTCTGTTGTAGAAATCACTGCATGGGCCGAAAAATGTTAACAAAAATCCCTGTCTGTTGATAGTTTGTCATCGCATTGTTGGATAAAAAGTGTACTATATAGACAGGAAACTGTAAACAAACATCATCTAGACATCTTCTTTAGGCCTACGCTTAATAAAAATAAGTTGAGATGAGTGGGAAACTGTGATTTAATCGGACAAATCAAAATATGACCTTCTTTTTGGAAATCATGGGCTTTAAAACTCTTTCCACACATGACAGTGTGTCGATGGTTTCAGGACATTTAGGCACTGATATTTCACTAAACTACCCCTCACATAAGTTCCTTACAGTGGTAGATTATCTTTGTTGAAAATTCTCTAAGTTCACTCTAATAAATACTCTCTTGGTGTTATTAACAAGGGCAGGGATGAAATTGTCCCCTTTGGAAATCTGATTGGCCACTCTAAAATCCCTCAGTCAGTACGTTTACACGACACTCGAGAAAACCGAATTATTGCCTTCTTCCTATAAAGATCGGACCACTGAAGTGCATGTAAACACTGTAGTCTGACTGTAATCGCAGTATGAGAACTCCGATTGGAGTTGGAGAACTCCGATTAAGACACCCAGATAATGCGACCGGAATTCGATTTTCTCTACCATGTAACCAGCGAAGTCGGAGTGTGATTGGACAATGCATTGGGGGGTTACGCCACGCCCCTGTTACACCAGAACAAAAACACCAGAGAAGAGGAGTAGCGGTTCCTCTCATCTGCAGAAAAAGTAGCGCGTGCATCATGTACGACAAAAACGACACTGTACGATGCTCCATCTTCTTGTTTGAAAATGCCCAGCAGCAGTTGTAGCCACTTCTGATGTCTGGCATGGACCTGCTGTTGTTGTTGACAGTTGCATGGGGTCAGAAACAGCGCAGCTTAAAAGACCCATATCGCCCCCTGGTTTTTGGGAGGAGGGCACGTTCACATAAATAATTTAATTTTCTCAGCTAGCCTGTATACGCGCAGAAAGAGAGAAGTCCGATTTGGCGAAAAAAAAAAAAAATTATGAGCTTAGTCCGATTAAAACTGTGCATGTAAACGCATTGACCATGGTTGGCTCTTTGCTGTACCAGGGTGGGACAAATATTCAAATCAAAATTTGGATCATGTTGCAACAGTCTTTGAGTTTAATGCAAAGCTTTTCCCATAAATGATTTTGGAAAAACATCCTTTTTTTGTTTGAATTAGGCCAAGTAGATAGACAAGTTTGAATTCTGTTGTGTGCCAAAATGATACACATAGGAACAAAACGTCTGTTTTACATTTTCAGTTTTAGTAGTTTAAAAATTAAGCAAACTTAGTAGAAATGAGAAGAGTGAATAAATGCTATTGATTTGTGTTAGTGCATAACTGTACTTTTTTCCACCCTGCATGGTTCAGTGCCTGAGCTGAGCCAACAAAGTCCTAAAAGTCTAAAGTGGTCTACCATAATGGTTTCGACTTAATAGGACTTGTATAAGGACTTTCCACTTTACAAATAAAAAGAAACTGGAACAAATGCCAGTGGTTATTGGTAGCAGTAAAAAAATTCAAACTGTTCAATGTCAACGAGATCATTTACCTCTCCGCTCTTTTGTGGTGATTGGTCCAGGCTATTACCTGCTGCATTTACACACCCACTCACCCATACTTCATACTGATTTTTCACTTGAGCACCAGCAAGTTGAAGTCCTCATTAGGTCAAGGTCTAACAGATTTAACTGTCTGAATTCAACACCTGAGCTATGTGTTCATTTCATTGGTCACAATCAAACAAAAATGTTTGGTTTTTCCAGTGAGTGGCATTTCTTCAAGCTGTTTCCTGTAAGCAGAGGGGCTGCTGGTTCACCGAGAGCTGTACGAGCACCCTCAGAGCAGAAAACCCTCTGACGGCGTTTATGTTTGACCCAGGATTAAAACAGTTTGTGCTGCTATTAGAGGCACGTACGCAGATGTAAATATCTCCACATGAACATGAAAAGAAGTCAATACACTCAACATTCAGACGGCGGTATCTAAATAATTCCCATAGTCGCAGAGGTTGAAAAGAAAAGAAGCTCCATTTAAATATTCAGAGCGTGCAAACTGGTTTGTTTTCAGATACCCTGCCCCTTGAATCAACTCGTCCTGCAATAGAGGTGCTGAAGACGATACACACGACTCATCTGGATTTCAAGGAGGTTATCATCAAACCGAGGACTGCTCAGTGGCCAGGGGAACAATCACAGCCAGACACCGGTTCACATTCATGCTAGACAGCTAATCACGAACCTGATAGAGCTCAATCACGTAACCGAAGCTGTAATTTTGCACTTGAGTGATTTCACGAAAAGCACTTTGAAATACGTGTTTCAGAGCCGAAACAGACAGCTTATCCGAATCCCGGGAGCTTTTTATGATTAATTACATACAAGGTAAGGTCAAAATAATGGGACCACCCAAATGTCAACATTAAGTCTCCTCGGAGTGACGGATGGGATTCTTGTTCTCGAGTGGCTTCATTTCCTGCCAACTCGTCTGCCCTTCAGGGAGCTGAATTAATTGTAGTAATTTCTTACACAACACTCAGTGCTGAATGCTCTCGCTCTGGGATGCAGCTTCTCCGCAGGATGACTACTCCTCTGTGATTGTCAAGCAGTTGGAGGAGAACAGAAGACAGAAAATGTGCCAGATTTTCTTTTTCCATTGAACTTTGCGAATTCTTCTCTTCCTGCAAAAAAAAAAAAAAAAAAAAAAAAAAAACATGAATACATGAGCTTAATTTAACATATGATTTAATTCTGTCACTTCAGAATGAGCTTGTAGTCATGGAGATACGGCCATATGTTACAGTCACGTCACACACCAGATGAAACTTGGACAGAAAACAACACGTGCCTGGTCGCAGGTTTTTGTTCATGTTGCAGTACACTAGTGTGTCTTTGAAAAACCTTATCCGTAGTCTGCATCTGCACTTTTAAAAGATATTAGTTCACAGCCAGAGTGAATAGTGCTGCAGTAAAGTCACAGACGGGATCATTTACCCCTTTGTGAGCCCGGATTATTTAGCAGAATTGTGATATTAACTAAGTAAAATTATTTAGCCCACTCGAGTGTTGCCCAGGACCAATGGATCAGGGTTCAGGGTTCATTTATTCTGTCTTGGACACATGGGTAAGCAGCATACATACAACACAGCACATACAGTACAATACAATACAGCACAGGACAACAGAAACAACAGCAATATAGTAAAGTGCACAGTGACGCAAAGATAAGGACTGACTGAAATTCATGCAGGTAATGCTCAGCTCTATCGCAAACAGATCACAACTAACAAGCCCAACGCAATGAAGAGGAATATTTTCAAAATGATGGAAGAGAAGGGAGAAGGAAATGCTTTTATATAAATGAATGTGACAGAAAAGAAAAGTGCATGATCATGAAAATTGTGGAAAACTGTTATATTCTCCTAAAAAGTACAAGAAAGTAATTCACTTTGGAAAACTCTTGACTTTGTTGGAACTGAGTACAGACTGTTTTATAGATGTGTGCTTTGGTGCTGGTAGAGCTGATGGTAAAAAGGACTGAAGTATGGAAGAGATGGATCTTGTCCTTTTATTTTCCTGCATTATTATTTCAAAATGCATAACATTTCTACTCTGCCCAAATGGTGTTCATACCTAGAAGGAATTCAATGAAAGCCTAAGCATCTGTCCTGAAATGACAGATATGTGAAAAACCTTGTTTATCAGAGTAAAGGTAAGTGCTTGATGACAGTGTGGTGAATCACTGCTCACTTGAATATCTTTATTTTTTTTTTTTTTTTAAGGTATTTTGTGAACAATGTCTGTTGAAAATTCAGCTCAAATTTTCCTGGTTGCCACACTCGTGCCCCATATTTCACCCCACACACTCCAAAAATTGAACACAGGCTGCAATTTCAACAAATTATTGTAATTTCTTCTAATGATAGTATTTTTCCTCCAATCAACAACAGCGTAATCAAGAAATTGGCAAGAAGCTGAGAGCAGCAGCTTTTCATCCTCTGCTTCTCTAATTTTTCACTCAAGAGTAAAAAAAACAAAAACAAACAGTGCTTTTTGTTTCATGTGAGTGGTGTTTTTCAAAAACCTAAAAAAAAAAGTACATACAGTTTTTTTCTTCTTTGCTTCCAGCTGTATTTCCATTCTCTCTCAGCGCGTTTACACATCACCGGACGACTGGCAGATAATAGCACGTTAGCAGCCGTATGATTGAGTCAGTGACCTTCCAGTTATAAGACAGCCCATCCTCCCATTAAGCTATCCAGCAGTTTACAGATAACAGAGATGATTCTGACACCGACTTCATTTGCATTATGTTGCAAAAAAAAATGCTGTGTGACTTAGAGGCAGTTGATTCAGATGCAAATGTGCATTCAGAGTGAAAACATCAGAGGAGGTCAGACCTGGCACGGGCTAAGTATTCACAGCAGCGCCACAGCAGGGAAGCAAACGCTTACAGCACAGACGAGGCACCCCAAACTCACTGACAGGTCTCTCTCTCTCTCTGTCTCTCTCTCTCTGTTTGCAGGACGATTCTGCTGCTTTATCTCGCCTGAGGCTCGGCAAAGACTCTGACTGACACATTGCAGCTGGTTCTGTTCACACGCTGCAGACTAAATAACAAACTGCCAACCGGAGAAGATGTGTGAAGGGATGCAGACTGTGCCCTTAAGGATTTATGCCCTGTCCTCTTTGAAGTGTTGCTGCAGTCTCTGTAATTGTCTGGCCTTTGTGGACTAATTGCTTGTCTGCTGCCTCGTGGCATACAGCAATTGGGGGGAGAAGGACTCACTTAAAAAAGGAGAGGGTGCTGTCTTCAAGAAGTAGTTGTTTGAAATAGAGATATCATGGGGTGTGCAGGGCTTTTTTTTTTTCTTGAAATTTCTGGGAAATGGTGGAAGTAAATACAGTGCTGCTCCTGTGAAATGTGGGATATCGAGCAGACAGGAAAAACCACAACGCATTCAAGTCCAAGGATCTGAAACTCCTACCACCCATACAGTTATTCCTGGTATTACAAACTGAAATTTGACATGTATTTGCAATATTACAACACAGGTTGTGACAAACTAATGTTAAAAAGTACAATCTAGCTGGAAGCTAATACTATTACTCATATTTGTTCTTTCTTTGAGTCTCTGCAATATATCACATTTGTTTTTCAAATGAGCTATACGATATATTGTTATTCACTGTTGCCAGTGGTTCCCTCTTGTTCAGCCCTGTCCAATCAGTGGCCCCTGGGCCCCTCATTATGACCCCTTATAATGTTTCTATCGCTCTCCAGAGACCGCCTACACATCAGCAAGGTTTGTGTGTGCAGTATGATGAATATTACTGAGGTACTGGATACCCACTGTTTCCCTGCACATAAACCTTCCTTATGCTCATCCAAGTATATTTGTTAAACCAAATAAGATATTTGCTTTTCACTAAGATGACACCATGCAACTACAATCGATTAACCAAAGCATTAGAGGTTCTGGGTGGACAGTCAAGACTAAAATATTTCATTATGTGAAATAATAAAATCTATAATTATCATACAGTGAGCATATGAGCTACTTGAAGCCGTTATTGACAAAACACTCTGTGTGGCCTGGAGCTCTCTGTGATTATTCCATATGGCCCCCTTGCCATGAGAGTTGAATAGCCCAGCTCTAATCCCTGCTGTTTAAGTCCTTCTAAAAATGTCAATGGGACATCTTTGCAAATTGCATGTCATGTCTCTGATCTTTCTCAGTGATTATATAATACTCTTGCACATCGGCCACTATATGTCCATGAGCCAATAATGGCTGAAAAGTATGAACTTCTGAAACATCAAAAGAAACTACTATGACATAAACATGCAGCTCAATAAAGTAGAATATTATAGAAAAGTCCTATTGTTGTAGCTGAATTTACAGAGGTAAATGTCCATTTGTTTTACATTCATTGGATGTGAAATAAAATATCTCAAGCCCTTTTGATTCTGTTTAGATTTGCTTCATTTTTGGTTGTAGATCTTGAAAATATGAAATCAAGTTTTTCAAATTATTAAAATATTCCCTTTAACCAATCAAAAGAGGCTTGAAATGCAGAACTGTAAAATCAGCATCTAAAAGTGTGTACATAAGTGCATTCAATACTTGATTCAGGCCTCTTCATAACAAATTACTGCAGCAACAGGGTTTAGCATGAAGCATCTTACTCTGCTGAGGTTGCTTCAAGAGTGGCTTCAAGCTGGTCTGTATTTTTGTGTTTGGTCTTTCTCACAAATTCTGCACAGGCTTCAGGCCAGCCAATCAAGCACAATGGTATCAGTAAAAGTTTTGGATCTGTGGGCAGGTGCCAAGTCCTGCTGGAAAAGGGAAATGGCATCGTCATCAAGCTTGGCAGCACATAGAAGCAAGATCATGATCTCTAAAGTGTGGACTGACACCAGCAGGTGACAGGGCGCCCAAAAATCATTAAACAGTGCAAAAACTCGATTTCACAAATCTTGGACTCTGTGCCTCTTTCTCCAAACACTTGGATTCAAAAATGAGATGCAAAATTGACCTTTATCTGAGTAGAGGACTTTGAAACCACTAGGCTACAGTCTAATCCTCTTTATCCAATTCTGATGTTGTGTCCGGTTGAGTGTGAGTAGTATGAGTGTCCTCATATTAGAAGCAGGACAGCTGTAGATCCTGTCCTTTATCGGGCTCCTGATCCACTGACTCCTTGTGAAGCTCTCCCAGGTTCATGTTTCAACTTTTTTTGACAATACCTCTGTGGTTGTGGTCATTGCTTTTCTGTTTACATTAAACGAGTCCATAATGAATCACAATTCCAATTTCTCACAAAACTGTTGAAAAATATTTAGCTTTTTCAAAATATTCTAATTTTTTCGGCTGCATCTATATCGTAGCTATCACTATCACTGCAATAAGCAGTACTGTAACTAAACTACACAGCTATCAAGACCTGTAAAAACTCTAAAAAGAACTTTGGACGAGAGAAATGAAGAACGTTTAGAGAGCATATGATGTAACAGTCAAAGTTAAACACCACAGTAAACATAGTTTGGATTTTTCATGAAATACTGACATTGTGAAAAGTATGGCACGACACATTCAACCCAAGAACATGAACTATCATCCCAGCATTGCTGAATGAATAAGCATCCATTTCCTGCCAAGGCTAACTCAGTAAAATGGCAAGCTGCTGATTTGTCCATATATGAACTGACATGTCACATTATTTCCAACACTCTTCTATCTGTCAGACGCCGACTGTAGACTCTCTAGCATGTGACTTTTGTGATAAGGTTGCTATGACATTTTCCAGATGGCGGCTGAAAAATGACGGAAACAAAAGGCTGGTTAAATGGATTCCATCCTTCCCCCCGTGGGTTTGATGCTTTCTTATCGACAGGCTAATTCCCCGAAGGAATAGGATGTGCCAGGGGAGGAGACTAATGGAACAAACGGAGGCTTGTATTCCCCAGACATCCGATCCGGGTCTTAACTCACCTGCATTTGGACTGCAGCTCTCCCTGCTCCTCTCTCTCTATATATATATATATACGTATTTTCTTCTCTGCATCACTTGCCACCTTGGGCCGGGGTTGAAAGGTCAAATCAACACTAGATTTGTTTTTGTAATCTTGTAAATGCAGCATTATTCTCTCCCACCATCCATGTAGCAGGGAGAAAGATAAGGCCCTTTTTGCGGTTTAGAGATGCTCAAAGATGCTGCATGTTCAGTCAGTCAGACAATGACACATGACAATGAGTGCTCCGCAGCCCTCAGACTCCCGGTGAGAGTGGATCCGCAGTGACAATACAGCAGTATAAATAACTCCAGCAGTGGATTAGATGAGGGAGCTCATAACAGGCTGTTCACACCATTTAGACTGAAGCAAATAAACACAGGCAGCAGGTGACATGTCCAACAGCTATTGTGCCGTTGAAGAACGGGACTCCCGAGGCAACATGGTGAACTCTCCAGATGAGAAGAGCTCAGAAAATCATCTCGCTGCTGTATTGAAATGTCAAACGACACAAGGGTTATATCAGGAAAAAGACTGTAAAGAGGACCAGCGGGTTTACGAGCTTGTGTGCGCAGATATGAGTGCATTGTAGAAAATCTCACAATACCACACTTGATACTGTTACTACTAGTGCTGCACTGTTATTTGAAGAGATGTCTGCAGAAGATGGTGGAAACCCTAATCAAAGCCCACTGAGATCTGACAGAATCAGACAGGTCATGCCAACGTGGGGTATACTGTACATTTATATGTGGTCAGGCTCTGGTCAGGTTCAGTCACCGTATTCTGATTCAAGTGTCACTGCAGAAGTTTTTAGTAATATGACTGTAAACATGTTCATGCTGCGTTCCAGTTACCTTGGAAGTCGGATGTCAGAGCTGGAAATGAGTAGGTTTATGGCGTTCCAGTAAACAAGTAGGAAAACCAAGGTGGACGCCTACTGTTAGCAGTTGTTAGCTGTTGTTAACAATTGTCAGCTGTCGTTAGCCATTGTCAGTTGTTGTTAGCGGTTGTCAGTGGTTGTAAGTTGTTGTTAGCTACACCAGTTGTGAACAACGTATAACACAGTATTTTACTCTTACAAACACCGTATCATCGTGTTTACAGTTAGATGTTGAGCAGAACAACAAATACCACTTATTGAATTTCACAAAAACAAAACAGAAGTCAGACGTCGACTTTAGGGGGGCGTTCCAGATGAATTTCCGACTCAGACCTCGGAAATCCCAACTTCAGAATACAACTGGAACACGCCAGTTCTGATAAGATAAGATGGCAATTCAAAGGGTGCAATCGGAATCACCATGACAACAGTATTTTACAATTGTTTTACACTATTTTACAGTACTACAAACTCAGTACTCAGTTTACATGATCTACATAGATCTTGGGTTGGATCTGAACATAAAAATGGTGTCATTGGTGGTATCATCTGGCTCCTACTGTCTAGGAGACCAATGAGGTTGAATTGCAACAAGTGACAGGGTATAAAAGAGCGCTCCAGAGAGTCTGACACTCATCACACAATCATTTCAGTACTTCATCATCTACAGTAGATGATGATGATATTCACAGATTATGAGGAATCTCTCTACAAGGTTCAAAACTGTAAAACTGTTCAGTACAAAAAGGGAAACAAGATATAAACCCGATCCAGATAGGCCAGCAACTTCTCCAGCGCCCAAGCTCACTCAAGATGGACTGAGGCGAAACAGGAAACTGTCCTGCGGTCTGAGGTATCTGACGTTCTTTTTGGAAACCATGGACACTGCTTGGAACTGCCCGGCTTGTGATCAGAGCTCTAACACCAAATGTCTCGGCTTGACATAAAAGAGGAAGTCTATGAAACTTTCTTTGTGGTGCCACTTTTTGAAAGCTTGAATATCCACTTTTCATACACAGTCTACAGTCCAATACTGTCTAAAATGTTGTTGAAATAATAATAAGATGCTCTGCTCCATCTTTCTACGTGCACATTTTCAGTAGGAGTTGATTTTTGATCCAACTTCACACAAATGCAAAGAAGATGGAGAGAGCAGCTGGTCTTGTTCCACAACAGTGGGACCCTTTGGCAGTGGGGAGATTTAGCGTGTCATTGATGATACAGCGTGGTGCGGTGTCTGCAGAGCTGTTCATATGTGAAATGAGCAGAGCTGCAGTTGCAATCAAGGCTCAACAACAAAACTCAATCTAGACCTGATCATAAAACAACCAGGTCTGACACCAGCACCATCCAAACCAAGGCTGCTGAGAGCATCTCCAACCATCATCACACTTAGTTTGATTCACTGGATGAGAAGAAACCATCCGAAGAAACGTAGTGTGTTGTCTCTGAGCAGAATTAAAACTGAAGACATGAATAAATTATTTTTAGATGCCGAGTCCTCGCACTGATTTTTACGAGTTATTATTTCTCTAAATCAGATTCTTCCACTGTAAACCCATAATGATGCAGAACTGTTACAGTCCTCCATAGGGACTGGATTAATTGAACAAAACTTGAAGATAACATTTTACAGTCACTGCTTTGAGCGGACATATTTATCTCTCCATCCTCAATTTAAACTTTTCTTCGGTTGCTTTTTAATTAGCCGTATGTCAGTGATTCTAATTAAGATACATTTTAAATTAATGACTTTTGCCATGAACAGTTATCCCGGGATTTGTCCTTTGTTTGCATTTACTTATTAACTGTATTTCAGAGCTGATAATATAATTAGGCTCCGTACAGCATGAGCAACAAACAGTTTTTGAACCAATGAACCACATGTTGCTCCACACGGGGAGCTGTGTGTGTCTGCCTGATGGGATAAAAAGTGAAACCTGCTGAAAGATAATCTCTCAACACAGAGGGGCTGATGAGGATGTCTTTTTGTGGAGGAGACAAAGATGTCCTGCAGGACGCCGTGGTGTGCAGAAACATCAAAGCTCTGAGGATCCAGTAATCTCAATCAATAGCTTTCCCAAATAACAAAGCCAGAGACTTGGAGAGAGATTCCTGTGATTGTATCTTTTGTATGTGTGCCTGAAATGTTTGTGAGCTATACATTACTGAAATGATTCACAGTTAGGAAAAATTTCTAAATTGATTTTAGGGTTAAAAAAGTACTCAGGGGTGGCATTATCAGCAAACCTTTCAAAAAGCAAAAACCTTTTAGTTGATTGATTTCATGCTGAGGATTATTTTGATTTGATCAGACCGGCTCTCATGAGTAACCCTTCTTATCTTTTCTATGTGAATAGTGTCATAGTGTATTGTGTATATATAATGTATTGTTTCTATGTTTTTAAACAACTGCCTTAGGACAACGGATTAAAATGAGCATTTATGCTAATTCCTAATTAGATTAGTTTACTCGCCTCCTACATCGCAGGCTCTGCAATGTGACTATAGTGCACATGTACATCGCGATGACGATGCTCAAACGATATATCGTGCAGCCCTACCTCTCTACTGATGATACTGTGTTCCACTCCCACGGTTTACTCTGAATATACATATCCTCTCTCTCAACTGAATAAATGACATGGGTCTTATACTGACTTTGTGACATTCATATGTGATGTTGGTTCTGCCTCTCTGCCTAGTGTGATGCTGTTTTCTTTTAGAGTGTGTGCTCCTCTCTCCTCTTTGCTGTTTTTTAAGAGTGTGGGAGGAAAAACTCTTGGCCCTGCCTCCTTCTTCTACTGCTGATGCATTTTTTTAGCTGTCCAAGTAGTGGTAGGGTAGATTAGCCTTTAGTTTTTGCACATTTTGTTTCTCCTGTTTATGTGAGGGAATCGGGTATGTTTTTTGTCTTTGGGACTCAAATTTGAGACTTGTACTCACATTGCACTTAAGTTGCACACCAAGGTGACTTTTGACTTGACTCACTCAACCCAAAGAGACTTGAGACTTGTCGCGGACTTGAGCTTTGGGACTCATGCACACTCTTTATTTGTGTTTTTGTCTCAATAATATCAGCAGCTTATCATCATTTCCTCTTATCATGTGTAATTTTCTGCTGCTGGTGCTGGAGGGGATTCACCACATCACCTGCTGCTGCAACAGCACAGAGCTTCTCAAACATGGGCCACAAGGCTGCTCAAGCATAACTACAGACAAATTTTAGGCAGTTTTCATCCACTCGATAAATAAATGATCCATGCTTGCTCCTTGTGAATAGTGTTTGCTCTGCAGGTGATCTGGGATAAAGACAGGCAGACATGGTAGTTCATCATTTTAATGTGGGCTAATGGTTGAGATCAATGTCAAACATGTTTTAAAAGTTCTTCACAGCTGGGTGCTGGGTGCTCAGTTTTGGATCATTATCACAACAGGTGGTCATCTGCGCAGGTCACCTGTCGCGATAAGAAAGCCTTCAAATATTGAGTTGTGTTATTCAGGGTCCTGCTAATGAGTCAGATACAAAGACACTGCAGGCAGGAGGCAGGCCTTAAGGCTAAAAATGACGAGATGCAGATGCCAGGGGTGGATTAAGGGTATAGTTAGGGGTGCCCCAACCCCAGGGGTGCCCACACTGAAATTTGATTATCCAGATTGGACTTAAATGAGGAAATAAATGAGAAAATAGTGTTTCAGCTCTTATTTTTACAACAGTATGATTTTATTTTACTTTAATTTTATTTGACTTCAGCTTGATTTGGCAAAGGGGACTCAAGAATTGACTTGGACCTGCAAAAAGTGAATTGGTTGTGAGAGACAAGGGTTGCTCCTATGTTCATCCCTGGTTTTCCGCACTTCTGGGTGTAACACCAACATAAACAGCCCTTATCAGTAAATACATACTAGTTCTCCTTTCCATCTTCTAAGTCCCAACACAGTCAAAACTTGGGTCTCGAGTTGAGTTGAGTTGAGTCTCGAGTCTGCGGCTTCAAGTCCAATACATGGACTCATACTACAAAAACGGTTGCTCATAACCTGTTTTCTTGATTCTTAAGAAAATGTAAAAACTTTCTGAAAATGGGAGCACTTTTGAATGAAAATCACCTGTAAAAATCACTATTCCAGAGAGACTTCAAAATCTTTAAAGAACAAAGTCAGATATCGTTGTATTTAGGAGGCTGGAACAAATATGCAAAAACAATCGTGTTCGTTCTTAAAATTAGTCACAGATCAGACGGTAACTCAGCAGCTTTGTTTCCAACTTGTAAAAAAATCATCTCCGACACACACAAAAAAAAACTCCGGTTGTCTTGTCCCTGGTTTCACTTCTCTTTTTAAACTATCCAACTCAGAGGGATGAGGTTTTAATGTACAGAAACGGCTCCTAACCTGAGTGTCCCCTTGGATGTGAGATTGACTGGTCATTAAATACCCAGTTAGCCTTGAGGAAGGGGGTGAATTGCAGACTCGACAGTTCATGGCTCAGTCTGATTCAGTCCAGAGATTTGGCTATAACAAGACTATTTTTCTCACCAGGAACAACCTATTCAAGCGACAATGCAAAAGGATTTCTGGATGCTGCTCACACTCCATTCAGGACTCAATTTAGCAGAAAGAGGGGATGGCAAACAAAGCCAACAACTGTACAAAACAAAGAGGGTGCTTTAGTCCTGTGCTGGTGTTTCCCAGAGCTCAACAACAGGTGAGTGCTCTGAATGTAAAGAGAAGTGGCACCTGAAATGTGCTTGTTGGTCTTAATTAAACAGGAGAATTAGCACACTGGGGACTATTTGTGGGCCTTGGCTTCAGATGAGATCGTAGAGTTAGGTACCGCTAAATTAATGTGTCCATCTCTGGCTCCCTTTCTCATCGAGGACAGATACTGTACTAATCAGGCAGTAGCTGTTTGATCGATTTAGTACATGTTACTTTAAGCTGTATTTAACACTCAGGCTTCATTATCATTATCATTAACTAGTGCTAAAATAAACCCTGTTACTGTGCTGGTGTAAAAAAAAACAGACCACTGTGACTTTTACATGTTTTGGTTTTACGTTGTGTCGCTATCATTGTAGGTTTGTGTAATCAGCATAATCTCATAGTGTTTGCAGATTACATGTCCCCTGTATCTTCTTGGCAGAGCTGAGTCAGACATTGGGGAATGACTCAAAATTAAATACAGTAAAGCTGCACATTCAGCTGCAAAATAATGAGTATCAAAATCTCAGTATACATGAACAATACACCCGGGGCTAAAAGAAAAAAGGCATTAATATAACAGCCGTTATTGTGAAGTAGGGCCACATGATAAAAGAATTAATGACCAGCAGAGCGATTTGCATACTGTATGTTTTTTGCAGTGCTTTAAGCACATAGACTGTATATAGAATGGACAGCGTTTGCCTCCTCGTTGGGTGAAGCCACTCCGAGAAGAGCACCCTCTGTTGACAGGCTGCAGTATAGGTCATAAATCCTGACTACGCCAGCAAAGCTGTGAACAAACTTAAGGAATTTATTACAGAGTCAGAAGTTGAATTGGAGGTTAATGAGCTGGTGCAATTAGGCAGAAATTGAAACAGGCATGTGGCAGGTAATCCATATGAAAAAAATACCTTAAAAAAAACAATGTTCACACTTATTTTTCATACACTTGAATCATTGTTCAAACAATCACTGGATCAGTCCAAATCAATGAATCCTCACGTCTCCAGTGTTGAATGTTACCTATACTTAAACCCTCAGAAGTTCCAACACTCAAATACACTTTGACTCATTTTTATCAGCTGAAAAGTCAAATATTTGCTGCTTTCTGCTTCTCAAATATCACCGTCTTTTCAATCTCCTATTTGCCGCACTCAATCCAAAAACTAAGAATCTCTGGATTTGCCAAAGCTGATGAAACAATCATGGTGTACCCTTAAAGCTGTGTGTAATGATAATGTCTATTCGTCACTTTTTTCTGCTCGATTCAGCTGTCAAAAGAATTAATCAGCTCTGAAATAATCACTGACAGCTCTGTTGGGAATCGTCTGAATACCACTCACTGAGAGACTAAGCTGGGTTAGGAGAGTGGATGTTATCTTTTCTTTTTGAGAATATCGAAAACAGAAATGAGACCTTCTTACAGCCACAGATCAATCATAAAGATGCTGCTCTTACACGGCTCTTTTAGCTCAGGAATGTCTGCAGCATGTTTTTGCTTCTTTTACGCATGCGGTAGTAAACTTGTCACTATAGCAACCTTGAAGGTATGTTCACACCTGCATTATATATAGAGCTGGAGAACATGTGATCCGGAGGTGAGGTTGTCCTGTGCTGCATCCATAATCCAAACATCTAAACAGCATTAGGGTTAGGGTGGCTCCGGTGGATGGATTCCTAACCTTGGCAGTGTGAGGTCGATGCTCTATCTATTGAGCTACACATGTCCTAAAACCCTTAATCCTGGCAGTGTTAGTATATCGCTCTGCCAGCTCAGCCTCAGAGGACATGGGATACCCGAATCTGGAAGCCCTGAAACACCTCAGTAAGCAGGGGGAGATGTAGCTGAAAGTAAAGGGGGAAAGTGAAGGCCAAGGACGAAAATGCAAAAGGAGAAACATCCTTACTCCAAACGAACGCCAGTGGAAAAACCTCGCTCAGTTTGATTTCCCTGGTGGAGAAAAAAAAAAAAAAAAGGAGAAGAGGGGCCCTAGTGGCTAAAAGATACGCTGCTGTAATTAGAAAGTCACGTGCCAAATCCCATGACGGCTAACACAGTCATCAACGGACCGTTCAAACGTCCTGATTTTTCTCTGGCTTGTTATATTTTGCATGCACAGAGCACTCCGGCCATCAGCTACACTCTGGTTAGGGTCTAATGTGGATTAAGCCATCTGAACCAAACCTATCACGTCCTGATTGAGTGTCCAACAGTTTCTTAATATAAAATTGCATAAGCCTCCCACCTCTCCCCCCTCCTATTTGACTAAGTGGATGACTTTCAATACCAAAAGAAATAATTATCCCTGGAGTCATTTGTGCAAACGTCTGGAAATGACCTAACAAATAGGCTTGTTAATGCATATTCTGAAATAAGCACTCTAACAAATACGGGGGAATTTGCCTGTGCTGGGTAAATCAATGAGGGTCGCTGTTTCTCAGAGACAATGACGTTTTAATGCCAGAGTGATACACAGACTTTGGACTTTGCCTTTTGTTCCTGCTGAATGCCAGCGACCGTTTCAGTCCACGAGCCAATTAAATCAAAGCAGAGCAACAAATGTGTCAAACAGGCTCATAAATTGGCTGTCTGTTACTGTCTGCACAGCCACAGTGTCTAATCTTTGACATATTTTTTATGAAAACTGTATGTTAATTATTTTGGTTGATACGTTTATTTGGCAGCGTCTTCCAGGGTTCATTGGGCCACGGTAGATGAGCAAGAAAGTCAATTTTTGTTCACGGTAACAGGCAGTTTTATTTTTGATGCTGGCATCACACAGCAGCAATAACGGTGCGGGTTATGGACTCAACAAAGAAACTGAGACGAAAACAGCATTTAGAGCAAGAGAGGTTTAAGGACACATTAAAGCTCCTGTAAGGAGTTTTTTGACACCTAAGAAACAGGTTGAAATTCTTATAGGTGCTGTTTTATGGTATCTATAATTAATTAATTAAAGATCATGATTTGCCATGCCTGAAACCAAAGCCCTCTTTTAAAATCTCTTAGGGCTGGGTGATATGGCCTAAAATCAATATTGCGATATATTGAGCAGTTCACCTCGATAGCAATAAATGGACGATAACTACTCCACAAGCTGCTCACCCCCCTCCACATTAACTTCGTCTACTTCAGCCGCCGCTCCAGCCACTTCAACTTTTGAACTGTCCTCCATCTCCTCACCTGTCTTTCCCTCTTTGTTACGGACTGGATGGGTCGGAGTCATGTCTCTGATGTAGGACAGCGTCTTAAAGGGACATGAGACCATAGCCTACCTACACACATCCAAAACCAACTTTTATTTATTCTTTTTTTTTGACACCGAATATATTGACATGGGCAAAATGACGTTGGTTATTGTCGTAAATTTCAGTATCTGTAAATTTTCAGTTTATCGCCCAGCCCTACAATCTCTAAATATAAATTCACAATAAATGACACATGAGACTGTCAAAAGTCAGCAGGATGAGATCTCCCTGTCAGCAGACATCACTTAAGCATGTAGGGGCCAAGATAAGTAAAAACAACTTTGTCCACAGGGGGCGCCAAAATTAACACTTACTGAAATTTCCTTACATGAGCTTTGAGGAAGAGACAACCAAAGCTTTTGAGAAAAAAGTCATAAATTTACCAGTTGTATGAGCATTCAAACAGACTTATTTGGGAGTAAACTTGTAAACTGGCTAGATTAAAGCTGTAATCTTGTGAGACCAAACTTCAGTCAAAAGACAAAATAGTCATAAATGTATGAAATAACTCTAGTGCATTTACAAGAACGGATGTAATCTGGAATACAATGAGAATGAGGTGATGAATTTATAATAGTTATAAATTTACAAGATTACATCCTTAATATTACGTGAATAAACTCATAAATTGGTCCTCCTGCAGGTTAAGAAGATGTCATCTGTGCTTGTTTAAATCCAGATAGTTAAGCATTATCATATTATGACCGTTATCAGAGCTACAGCCTCGGCTAACAGTGCATGGCTGCGCTACACAACATAAGACTAACACTTAAAGCCTACAATAAGAAGAATATTATGGTAATTATTCTTGTAACCCTTTTGTTATTCTGCCAACAAATAAAGTTAACAATGTTTAATCACTTAGGCGACCAAATGCAAACAACCCTTATAACAGCAGACTATCAGTAAACCTGTCTGGCTCTTTCTCAAGCAGCAGTTTCTTCTATTAGCTTTGCACTTAGCTTTATCCTCCTCCTATTCAGAGAAGCTGATTAACATGCACAAAGAGTGAGGGTGCTATTAACCTATTGTGATTAATCGTGAGGTAGAAAATGGCACACTGCAGGGCTTGTGCATGCACAAAACCGTTCAACATCAATGTGAGTCAGCAAAAAAAAAAAAAAAGTATGTGCAGCTGTTCAGTTCATCTGCGCAGAGTTCAGGTGATTTTGCAACTTTCATCTTCCTGCAGGGTCATGTTGAAGGATCAGAAGTCCATGTCCTCAAACATTTATTGCCCTAAATCCAGTTAGTGTTAGCGAGGTGAGCCCCTATACACAAAGAAAAAAAAAAGAAAGAAACATGCCAAGAATGGTCGTCCATGGAAGTCTGTTTGTACAAGTGGGTCTCTTTCTGTTTGTATTGACTATAAGCATGAGGACAAGACTCACGTCTTAGTGTTTGATGGCATTGTTCAACTTATTAACTCATTTACAGTAAAGCAGCAAGAAATATAGCAACAAAGTCACAGTAAGAGAAAAATAAACACTGCAGTCTCATTATGTGGATGTAAATGGTGTAGGATTGACTGTAATTATATTTCAGATATTGGATTGAAACCACATTTGTGTGGGTTAAAGGACAGACAGCAGCATTCAAGTGAGAAACAAAGGATGTTACAAACATTTTAATTTAATGTACAGTCTAAAAATGATCCTTTTTCACTTCTATTAATCACATTTAACATTTTCTTTCAAGGTTAAATCCGAACAGTTTTGTTCCGCCAACAAAAAAACAACACTGTTCGCAGTTGGCGGTGAACCAAGCGAACTTTGCCAATGTTTCGTTACCATGCAAAAGTTGTGACTTTTGACATAAGCTCCTTTCATCCTGACTTTAGATGGTCAAATGTGTCATTCATTGTGATAATCCAGATGTAACTTGTAAAGCAGGGCTGTTTCTTCAGCTGCTTGGCTGATACCTACCTCCTCTGAACATTGTTTTTTTTTTCAGGCCTCAAAAATTATGACAGAAAAATCATAAATCTTCTCCCTGTTGGTCTTGTTTGTTACCTCCGCCAAGGAGGTTATGTTTTCGGTAGCGTTGGTTTGTTTGTTGGTTTGTCTGTTAGCAACTTTACGGAGAAAGTTACAGACGGTTTGACCTGAAATTTTCACCAGAGGTGCGTCTCAGCCCCAGGAGGATCCCATTACATTTTGGTGATGATTCGGATCGCCTTCTGGATCCAGGATTCTTTCTCATTGTGAGATAGGGCAAATTTTGGAAATTTTGCATTTAACTCTATAAAAATGGCCAGAGTCTTCAGTAAAAAATGACACAAAAGGATTGATCCTGATCCAGACAAAATTCCGGATACTGTGATCCAGAACACACAAAAATAAGGGTGTCGTTGGAATTTTCAATGCTGAAAGATAAGCAATGGGCGGCACAGTGGTGTAGATGGTGTAGATGGGCGGCACAGTGGTGTAGCGGTTAGCACTGTCGCCTCACAGCAAGAAGGTTCTGGGTTCGAATCTGGGTCAGGGCATTTCTTGTTTTAGGAACATTATGAACAGTGAACATACCAGTTTAGACACAAATAAAAGTTAATAAAAGACACGTAACAGTAAAAGTTTTGGTGTGAATCACAATATAAGGGGGGACATGAGCTGCTTGGTGGAGGTCTGCGCTCTCCGAGTGCTTTTCTAGTTTTTATATATCATGAAAAAGCATTAGTATGAATTCCAGTCTATTTCATAAATGTCAAACAACTCCTCATTGGAGCTTTAAATGCTGACTTAACACTAAACTTTTTGGTCTTTTTCTCCACTAAAACTAAAACTTCTACTTTCATGACTCTCCAAGAATGCGGCTTATTCTGAAAACTGCTGTATTAGTGGGATTTTAGTGACACAAACAGAAACCAGACTAAACGTACTGTATTAATATGAGCTGAGAAATTTGTGCATATATCCTCAGCCTCTCTGTCGAAGCTTTAAAGCACAGTGGGGTTTGTGTAGATTACAGTGTTAATGTTTACTGAGGGAAAACTCCAGTATTGGTGATAAAAACTGAGAACAGTAATAACGGTGATGGCTATGGGGGAAAAAAAGGGACGACAGAGAAAGAGGAAGAGCAAAGATTTAGAGGCCATTTGATCGCTCATGTGAGTGAAGATTACCAAGGCAAGTAAACAAAAGGTAGAAAATGATCAAATGTACATCATTCGACCTGCACCGTTTTACATCAGAGTCTCTTTTTCAAAGTTTAAACATCGTGCCGAGGTTTTATTTCTCTTTGATGTGTTTTAAGAAGCTGTTTTCACACCTTGACCACAGACTTCAGATGGAAAACAGCCTCTGGGCTTATCCTTGCAGTTTTTAAGACATGTATTTATTAATTTGCTCTGCCCCCTCTCTCAAATGAGCCAAATATTCAGGAATAATTGCAGATGCTTACACACTGGGGGGTCTTGTTAAAAGTACTAAATTAATATGGCTAGTTAGTTTGCAGCAGGAGGAGCGGTTTGTTTTGCCAGAGACTGTGACCTTAACTTCATATGATCTTGACAGGAGCTGTTCCTGCAGAAAGAACATCGCGACCATTAGTGTGTATGATGACACCAACTCCGCTGTTTTAACAGCTACAAGTGTACAGTTGAAGGTGTAGCACAACGTGTTCCCTGTCAGGTCTAAGGGGGTATTTTCACACCCGGATCCTCCTCCTGACCTCATCAACCTGCCACGAGACCATCATTCATCAACTTAGCCATTAAAAGTAATGACCTCTGTGGAGCTGCAGCATGATTTAATGAGCGGCACTCCTCATAGACAACTTGGTTAAAAGTATTGTTTACAGATGAAGAAAAAGACTGTCAGGGTAATGAATTTTTACACTTTAAACTCCCTCTACTTTTTCAGTTTGCAATATTTGATACGGATATATTATTGCTGCTGCAATGATAATGATGCTGGGACTAAAAGAGACTGCATATTGCTGTGTTAAGTTACTGCCTGTGTGCAGATAAAATAAACATGAATTATACGACAAATTATGGGCTCCATAACCATATGTAACAGAAGCTGATATGTCAGAATCTGCAAGACGAAGTAGCAAATTATCACCTGAAGCCAAAGTGAAACCTGCACAGCCAACACAGAAAACAAAAGATCTTCCTACACTGTGAGGCTTAATGAGGCAAAACACCATTAGCATGGGGAAGAAACACACCAATAAATTACTCAACCAGTGGCGACTTCATTACCAGTAAACTGATTGAAGTGTCTATAGATAATTCAATGTTACACAGCCTTTCCACTGCAGTAATATTGCAGTCTACATAAAGCACATAAAGATGTGGTAATATGTGTGAAGGCACTCAGAAATCCATTTAGTCCCGCAGTCCAATATTGCAGCGTGGAAATCTTCTTCCTGTGATGTGCTGTGCAAATGAGATTTTTGCATCTTTACGAGATGAGAGCGTCGTTTGGTCATAATGATGCTGTAATGCTCAAGGTTACTAACCTGCTTATAAGGCAGAGGGGGGTAAAGAAGACTGAGTCACTTCTGAGAAAAGTCTTGGCATTACACACAAATCACAGCATTTCCTCCTTAAGAGACAGACTGACAGGCTTTTATATGCCAGACAGGTTACAGTACTTTCCATCACTTCTCACATCATTAAATCAAACCCCCATACAGCAGCTTCAGTTCGGTATATAGGCTACACTGAAGCATATCTAGATGATATTCGAGTATTCCAGAGTTGAAAGTAAAATATCTTGAGGTTTTCAGGTAGATACTAACACATTTTCCCAGTTTGGGATTAATAAAGTCCATCTATCTGTCCCTCTGTTTGTCCATCTGTCTAGAGCTGCATGATATTGCAAAAATTACTGGGCTGTGATGTGAAAGTGTGGTGCATTTCAAGTAAATATTTTAACATTTTCAATACCACAGTCATGCTGTTTATAATTTGGATTTTTATCTGTTTTCTGCCGTCAAATTAAATCTTCTTTTAACTTATACTCAACATTCAGGCCTCTGGAGAAGGCGATTACTTTGTGTCAATGTTGAAAATTATCTGCTGGACCATAACGGTTCCTCTAATTCAGCTAAAATGCACTCATCTACACATCACTATGATGTACAGTACATGCACTACAGAAAACACTCTGTGATGCCGGAAGTTCAGTAGTCTGTCCATGAGCCCCTGATGTTAAAGAGCGCCGAGATGAGGCGGTCAACGTGGTCTTAGAAAATGAATGTTAAAGTCGTGTACGGTCATGTGAAGCAAGAGACACTGTTGATTAATCCTGACAACAAGGAACTAACAATAACATATTGCCTTTCAGGTCATGTGACTAACATTAGTGGTGTGACTAATGCACATGTGTATATTGCAGTTGAGATGATTAAATTCTATATTATTAATCCCTACATCCATTTATCCATCTATAGACTAATTTCAAGTACAGCTGATAAATTTGAAGTCATATGAGAGAAATTGAAGAGTTGCAAAAGCCAAGATTGTTTCTTTAAATATGAAAGACTTCTTACTGTTTGATGTGTGATTGGTGATAGACAGCTGTCAATCATTAGTCAGTTATATAGCTACACTTTCAAGGCATAAAAATGGCTATTGCTAAAATAGCGAAAATTGAGGAAGCATTTGTTTGTTTGTGTGCTCGAATTCTGAGTTCATAGGTCTTTTCTTACTTGCGGGTTTGCCAAACAGCAAAGATGATACACAAACAGAATGAGGCTGATATCTACGCTGAAGCCCCTTTACAAACCCAGACAATGTGACAGTTGAGAGGCCAGTTAGCAGCACAGAAATTAGTTTTCACCCGGCCTCACCATTAGACCATCCAAAACCCGGAAATTGCCTCAGTGATATTAACCAATGGAATTTGAGGAAGCATTTTTAAGTCAATCTGTGGCAGTCGCCTAATTGGAAAAGCTGACTCAGCGCATTTATATGCCAACTGAGTAAGTGGCAGAGTAGAGCTGGGCTTTTAGCCTCTTGGCTAACAGATACTAATCAGCTTTGCCCCCAATAATGCAAAAGGCAGCAGGGAGGAATGAGCTGTAAATGTGTAAACATGTTAAACTGACTTTTTTCTACAAGGTGTGAGTGGAGAGCCATTGTCCTAATGCCTGATTTCCCACCAGGGCAGAGACATACATTTATTTTCTCTTTCCAAACTTCAAGATCCATCCCTCTTAGGCCTGGATCTGGTTTATGTCTCTGTTTTTTAATCAAATATGAAGGCAGGCTGTCAGTAATGTCTATAGTTCCCTAGGCAGACTGCTAAATATATTTGTGTCTATATACGTACGTGTGTGCACTTTCTTGTGTTTTGATTGCTGAAACTTAGCAATGTTAAAAACAAATTGTGTTTAAAACGAGTCTTACTTTCAATTAAGATAATGCAACAAAAATGAGGAATAGCAATGACTCCAGAAGACACAAACTGGTCTCCAACTGATGTTTGAGGTTGAAGGAAAGAGGTGGAAACTGTTGTCTGGAAAATGACGGACTCCCCTGAGGACAGCAGGAATCAAACTGTGTTTTTATATCATCATTACAGAGGATGATGAGAAGAAATGAGTCTGGATCCTGCTGAGTTCTTGTTGGAAAGTTGATTTCACTTAAAACAACAAGTTGTGGTTCAATTTGTGATGTTTATTTGTTGTTGCTTTTTTGGCCTTATTGCAAATATCTCCCTGCATAGAGGGAGTAAAGTAAAAACGCCTTTTTAGGGTCTATTCTGCATTGCTTTATTTTTCAGAGGAAACAGTCTTGGTTATTAAACTTTGGCTATGTCCTCGATAACTATGGGAAGAAGAGACAGTAATTGGTTTGTAACCCAGGGGGGTTCGGTATACATCAATTTCCTCCAGCTATCATATCACTAAACACAAACTTAGCCTTATGTAAACAGAAACTTAACCTTATTTGGCACTGTGTTGTGAGTACAGCTACCTCGCAGCATGGTCAAATCGATCATGGTCCCTGCTTTCAAACAGCAGTTCAAAGCCATCTGTCGTCAGAGGGGAAGTGTCTTTGTAACTGCAACTTTCAAAAGCAGGGAAATCTTTTGAGGCCCACATAAGCAGAAGAATTATATTGTAGCAAAGCCAAAAACCAAGTCCCCCACGTACATCGCTCGGTGTTTTAGCTCAAAGACAAACAGATGGACACACATCACAAGTTTAAAGAGAACGGAGACACATAAAAGTTGAATTCTGTGTTTCTTTCTCTTTAACTGGACGAATAAAAGGAAAAGGAGATATTTGTCATTTAAGCTCACAGGATGTTAATTTTCTTTTAAGATACCGTTATACGACTGTGGTGATTTCTCTTTATTTATCTTCATTTTTTGGGGGGCAAGTTCTCGACTCTTTATCATGTGGAGTTTTTGTGTGGGTTTGTGTGTGTGTTCCCTCCTTGCAGAGATTAGGCAGCTCCGTCCTACACTGGCTCCACCTGCACCTTCTCAACTGCATTTTCTCCAGCGCCAGATTATTCCCACACCTCAAGTGGTGATCTCGGCCAAATCTCAAGAGTTTTCTCAAGTATTTGCAATTGTTTTAACGTCACAGCCTTGTGTGTTTCATCTGTGACTCATTTTCGCTGTCCAGCACCTCCACAAGCCCCCAGTGCTGCTTGCCACCCAATCTCCGCCTCGCTGCCACACTCTCTCCTTGGGTTCACTCACCAGCCTCCTCCTCAAGCCCTCACGTCTCAAACCCTCACCTCTCCTCCGATTCCCTCCTCCAGCTCTGGACCCTGGATCTCTTCCCTCCACCTTTTTCCCTCTAAATAAAATCACCAAACTGCCTCAGCTGCCTCTGGTTCTGCCTTTGGGTCCAAACTACAACTACTGGTTTTTAAAAACACAATACTCATGGGTTTGAAGACGTCTTTCATCAACAAAAAGTAAAACATATTACAACATCCACGGTCTTTCTTAGAGAGAAGTTTAAAGAAACTTTGGTGCAGATGTTGAATCAGAGCATTAAAACATATAATGGTTGGTAGTACTTCAGTCTTAGTTTTAATTAGCCTTCTTGAAGGTTAAAGTTGAACTGAACATTTTCATTTATAGTAAGGTCTTCAAGTGGAAACAAAGTCTTTCCATTAGCATTCTCCTTAGTTGCACATGTATAAGCTCCTCTTCTTCTCTTGACTTCTCTTTCTACGTTTAATCTCTCTTCGAGTTTACTAACACCGCCAAATCTCATACCATGCTACAGTTTGTGGTTTCTGCATGTCTGTTTTCTTCAGTTTGGTAGATGTCTCTTAAACATCCCTTGCTGCTGCAGCATTTATTGGTCAGATGAGTTTTAGTTGCCGCTGTTAACAAGACAAGCTAGAGTATAACAAGAGATTGTGCAAATCATTGATTTTAAGTGATAATCTCTTACAAATAAAAAAGAGATTATACTTTGGTGGTTAAAAATAAACTTTCTCAGGGATCTTCTAGAGGGGAAATAGTGTAATACTTACATTTGATAAGCAGAAACCAGCTCATATTTGTCATTTTTTTCTGAGAATTTTCTAAGGATGATCTTTGTTATCAGCCTCTAGATGAAAACAGGTGTACTCATTTGCAAGTTAACATACTTTGATGTGAAAATCTAATAAACTAAGGCTGCTTAATTCTAAGATTTTATTCTGGGCAGTAGTTCCGCTGATAAATCCAATTAAATGATTTAAAATGTTCGGCGCTTTTAAGGTTTTATATCTTTTGACATCTGAGTGTTTATCATTCGTGCGGTCTGGAGCAAAAGAAACAGAGGAGAACTGGAGGGAGAGAGATACGATGGGAACAAATCCAGAGGGGAGACACAGAGACTTTGCAGATAACAGAGCTCAGAATGAAGGCAGCGGCTCCACAGATATAAACTTGAACTTGCGTGAAATTAAATTGTTGTTGGACCTCTCCGCAACATGATAACGTCAGCACATCTGTCCACCCACTGTAACACATCTGGCATCCATCTTACATCTCAGAGCAGATGTGGGGGTTAAAAACACGGGAAAACACTGATTTACTCCAAGGAGATGATCAGCGGCTCAGTCTTGATGTCTATAACCTTTGTGTGCTTTCATTATTTTACTTAAAGCTGAGTGATAGAGTGCAGCTGTGAGAGGAGGCTTGAAAGGCTGAGCTGAGAGATGAATCAAAAGCTCCTGTGCTCTGTCATGCTTCCTGATGAGGTGTTCATATATGTTTTATATCCGCTCTTTCATATTTCATTTGCTTTTTCCTTCTTTCTTTCATTTTGCAATGTTTTGGACTTCCTTTTCACTCCCACCTTTAATACTGCAGCCCTACAAATGTTGGATTCTTGAATAATGTTTAGAGAGGCGGCAAAATGAAAGGAAGCAGGAACGTGCGTCCAAATTTAAATGTCATCAACCTTGAAAGCCGGCACTGGAGATGGAGATATTGCTGTATAAAGGCTGTATCTGCTTAACTCCACACACTGTTTTCTTTTTGTTTTTTTTTACCTTAAGAATGGTCATTAGTTACTGGGGCTATTATCAACCAAAGAAATTCTAGGTCGACTGAAACCCTGGAATTTTTTACCAAAAATCGACTCCGACTGGCGGCAAACCCTTCTGCAGCGAGGGGACAACGCAGCTCAGCAAAGCGCAGCTTGGCAGGGTGAAAATATTCCGATACCAGCACAAGAAGGCAATTACGCAAAAGGCAATTCAGGGAATATACTCAGCAAACCACCGGACGTTGATCGACGTGGATGCTCTTAAATCTTCCTGTCTTCAGTGGGTTAGGCGAATCCAAAATGGTAAAAACAAGGGGAGTGTTCTGAGACAGGGGTGCTCTGAAAACACCCCCATTAGGACTTGATGCGTTCTTCCTGATGAAATTAACCATAGACTGCAAATTGACGTGGAAAAAAAATTGAGTCGACCAATCAGAATATTGGTCGACTCAGCACGGATCGACCAATAAGTCAACCAGTCGACTAGGACTTCACAGCACTATTAGTTACAATTTAAAATCTTATTTAAACAACCAGGAAATAAGTCAACTACAACCACCGAAACTCAAAACTCTACTACAAGATTATGTGTTGTCTTTAAATCCATAAATAAACATATGATACTTCCAGTGCACTTCTTACTAGATAGAAAACAGACAATCTACCCATAAATGTGGAGGAGAGTCTAATTTTTAAATCTGACTATCCAATGACAGATCAATAATCGTTAATTGATTGTTTAACCATATTTTAGCACATTATCATCACTCAGATCCACAATGTGTTGAAACTTCATGAGCATGCTCTTTTGAATGACATAAATTTACTTATAGATCAACATTGATAACTGAATTGAGGAAGACTTGTTTTGGTGGTCCACCAGAGGGAAGAGGGCCTCGATTGTAGGAGATTTCTCTTATAGTAGTGCTGTAGTTGGGCTCAGTCTCCCTTGACTTTATATACCAGATATACCAACATTCTCTGACCCTGAGCTGTTAAAGCCTGTTCTGCTTCACTCTGTGTCCCTGAACTCTGCACAGTGATGCAGACGCGTACAATGCAAAATGACTATGTTTACATGCACACTTATGTTAAAGCTTGATTAGGTGATTTAACTGGACTAGTGTCTTAGCCCGGTCTACAAGCACTGGGCGAGAATCAATTTATTGACCAATTTATGTCCACCTTTGGTACAGCAGGCAGCAGTAAGCCTCGACTATTGTGGCATCCTCTAGATCAACCCTGTAAGTCTTGGATCAAAACATTCTATGAGTGCATCAGCAGGATGCTAACAGATTGTATGTTGAGTGAAGAAAGAACAGACAACTTTAAAGCAGACAATACGGTAGCCCTATAAGTGTAACCTCCTTTCTCTCCTGTCAAGGTTGTGTTTGCTACTGGAATTCCCAGAATGCATGTTGATGTGTTGTTCAGCAGGGTCAAAGTGCATAACTCGTGGGCGAGTATCATAGACCGTATAAAGAATGGACGCCGTCTACCTCCTCGCTGAAGCCACCGCAAGAACAGCACCCTCTGGTTGCTGACTGCAGTATAGGTCGTAAATCCCGTAAATCCCGCCTCCTCCAGCAATCCCTTTGGAGCTGTGGACAAACTTTTGAAATTTATTACACAGAATATAAATTTTTCTACCTCCTGGTTGTGATGTTGACATGTAGTTATTGTAAGACTGGTTTGTGCTCAAGTCCTCTTTTAAAAGTTATTCAGGGTTCATGTTTTCTATGATGGACACTTGATACAGCCTATGGGCGTACAAAGATAGCGTAGCTCACCCAGGGATGAGCCGAGCAACTCTCAGCAACTCTCCCGCTGAATTGTCTAAAACGCTACTGCACAAGTGATGGTTCCAGGAAGTGGTGATTATCCTGGAAATACTGAGAGCAATTTGGCTTCAAATTCGTATAATGATGGAAGGCAGAGAATTGTTGTCCATAGTATGTACAATCTATGGCCAGTATCAGTCCAGCTGAGGTGTAAACATGACGAAGTGAACTGCTCCCCTACCACATAATCTAGGTAAATTAGTCCTGCAACCAGAGTTTGAGTTTGTGCAACTGTAACATGTTTATAGTTTCAGTTTCGGATCTATAGTTTATATTTTCCGACTTCACTAAGTTGATTATTTGAGGATGTAAACACACTGAATAAACAGAGGGGCTTATTTCCACTGTTAAATCTCATGCCGCCGCTACTCTTGTGGTCATAAATGCACATTTCTGTGACCAAGCTTGCTTATGAAGGACCATCCTTTAATGAAATACTGTCAAACAGTAAAATACCGCTCCCTGCTTTTTAGACCGCATTTCGGTAGCAATGGTCCAAAGGATGCAGCCAACTTTTTTAGATGGAAAGAATTAACAAACTCAAAAGTATAGTATCAAGTTTTATAGTAGATCTTTAAAACTCCTATCAAGTTTGTGTTTTTTTATTTTATTTTCCTTTCTGTGAATATTTTATTTGAAAAATATGTTACTTGAGCCAGAATCACAATATTTATTTCATCCACAGTGCCCAGCCCTATACTGCCCACACATTACTACCATCACTTTGGGCACTTATTCTGAAAAAGCCCCTTATCCACTCCAAAACTCCTCGTCTGAGTCGCAGTCTCTACTTAATTCAAACAGAGAGTGGAGAAGGAGCTGAGCAGCCGACCAGAAAGCTCTTAGGGAGTGATGTAAGGAACAGGAAAATGTGAAAGGCTTGTACGGAAAATGAAAATGGAGGACTGAAACATCAGCAAATGAAAGCCTCTCCAGTCCAGTGGTGCATTTAAGGGTCCTGACTGGGGGAGTGCAGTCTGGAGCTGTGCTTCAAAGGTGTGTAACTGAGAGTGTTTGCGGCAGCGTCCGGCACGAAACAGCAGCATCAAAACAAAGGGAAACAGGAGGATGCTCTGAGGACAAAATTTATACCCATGCTGCTTTGTTGTGTCACAAATTGAGTTAATGGGTGGAAGCAGAGGAGACTATAGACAGCCTGTCTGCAGCTTTGTGTCTGTTGTTTTGTTTCCTGCCAGCACTCCCTAAAAATCAATGACATTATATATTGATGAGTCAATACTTTCAGCTGAATTGGAGACAAAATAACTCCTGATACGGGGATGTGTTTTCCCATCGGAAAGCAGAGATGAATAGATCTAATAATATCAGAATTGATAGGAAGGACTCAGAGACTAAATGTATTTATTGCTTTTGTATCATTTAATTGGGGGCTACAGTGGCCCCCTTATACTATCAAATCTTCATTATTCAGACTGCTCAGTGCCAGGGTGGAGATTTGCAGAGCTGTGCTGGGAATACACTCATAGAGGAGGTGTTTGTTTTTTCTTTTTCTTTGCGGTTTTAATGACGGATGTGATTTTAAAGCAGCTTTATAAAATATACATCACTCTCAGATAAGACATCAATTATTTCTCGGCACATTCAACTCCATTATTTACTGATTTGCATTCAAAATATTGTTCAATTACATCAAGGAAGAAAAAAAATCATTTATTTACTTAAATTATTGACTGTGACAATATTCACTTCAATATAATATGATCAGGTTTGTTATACATTTATAAAAGGATGTTTCCTCGTTTATGAAATGATTAAAATCTAACTGACATCCGATTTTTTAAATAGACGGTTTAAAAAATAAGAAGGTAATAAGTATTTCTTTTGGCTGTGCATTTTTATTAGTTATTTTAAAGATGGGAGGATGATAAAATATGTCTGATTGTACACTGAGCATTAAAAAGAGCAGGATAACGTGCAAAAAGGACAGTTTGGTTTCTAACAGGGACATCCTAATAAGCATGAACATGTTAGTTTCTATGACATGAGAATACCTCCATATTTACCTCCATATTTACCATCTCTAGACACATAATGTATTATCTGCACATTGATATCTCAGCACCAGACATGGAAAACAGGGTCTTTTCGCTCCAGGCAGTTCAACAGGGATGTAAATAACAGCCTGCAAACCTGAACTCTAATTAAAAAGCCCCATCCTGAGTCGTGGTATTAAGCAAATGTGCATGAGCAATTATCCACACCTACATAAATAAATCAAAAGGAGCAAAACATCTGTATTAAATGATTCAACATGACAAAGGGAAGTTTAAAGGTGCAGTGTGACGTTTTAGCAGCATCAGCACAACAGACAAGGCACAGAATAATCTAATTATGAGGGCTACAGGTATCAAATATCTTAGTAATCAAGTATTCAACCGAATATTCCATCAATTAATCGGATGAAACATGATTTTTTTATTTAAAGTGCAATTATCGCAGAACAAGTGTGTGCGTTAGTGGATTGCAATACTCGTAAGAAAGTTGATTTTATTAACTTTCATCATGCCACTAAAAACATTCAAGTCTGAGAGCTGAATGGCTTCTGTGTTACCTGCTTCTGCTACTGCACCGGCAATGTTAGGCTACAAGCTAACGTGAAGAGGAGTGTCCAACGACTCAGAGGCGAAGTGCTGGTGAGCTACTGGAGCTCTACAGAAGAAAAGCCCCTCTCATCATTCATTTTTTCCACTCCGCAAAACTAAAACCACGCTTACTCCTCCTTCTAATGTGGTATGACCTTAAAAATAATCTGTGTGAAACAGTGACAATTTGATCTTATAAACGGGTACTCGATGCAGAGAAAATTCCTCAATAATTTATTGTAATCGAGGTACTCGAGAAATCGTTTCAGCACTACTTAATATCAGTAAGTAGTTTATAATCAGCTGAATATAAAAACCTTTGTTTTTTTGCCTAGTTTGAGCCTCTAAGGCGCGGCTCCATCCTCACATAAGCCAGTTGATTGCACAGCCATGTTTCTACAGTAGCGCTGAACTCACAACACATGACGTTTTTGCATTTGGTGATTGGCCACCCAAAATGCCCGGGTTGAAATACCCAGAAATAGACAAAGAAAGAGTTTTTTGATATGTGAAAAAGAAACTGCACTGACAGATTCACTGAATTCATGAATTTATATTTGTTTAGTTTGTTTATGAGTTCCTTCAAGTGTACTCTCTCCTCAGTTCACATTCAGTAATAAAAGAAAATGATGAAGTACATGTGACTTGACTAAACACAATCAAAAGCATGCACAGACTGCACCTTAAGTCAACACAAGATGAATACAAGTTTGCCAAAGATGATTTGAATTTCTGCACCAAATGACACATGAATCCATCAAACAGTCACCAAGACATTTCAGTAAAACCACAAATGTCAACCTCATGGTGTCATTAAACACTGAAAAGAGGAGTGAAGTGATGAGAAAGGTCATAATCATGCTTCATCAAGAAGACATTAACGTCTATGCAAAATACTTTCTTTTGTCGTGCAGCTCCGGCTAAAACTTTCCACAAGTAAAAACTTTAATGCACAAGGAAAAAGTTGGATTGCCAAAATGTTGTTTATCCTCCAGACTCCAAATGTGCACAAAGTCAGAGCTGAAGAGAGACCAGGGCAGTGATCCGAGCTACCAAAAACCAGCTCTGCCCTAGAGCAACGCTGCTGGCATGACCAAGAGAGCCAAAATGTTCCTTCACTACCACGGTCAAATAAAAACATTTTACTAAAATGCTCACAGTTGTATCCTTGTTTGGATTAAAATCCATCAGCCAAGAGGTTTTGTGCACATCTTTTAACCCCAACAACCATGAATTTAACTTTAGTTGCATGTCTCTTTCTCCCATCGTGTCCTTTTTCTCTCCCCACACTAACTGGACTTTCAAGAAGTCTCTTTAAAAGTAGATTTTATCTCAGCATTATAAAGACTCATATCTTTCTTGGATTGGCACAGATAGGATGAGTCAGACTGTATGGAGTTAAGAGCTGTGTTGGTTTTGAACCTTTGTGGAATTTGTTTACAAAAATGTTGAATATCAGCAGCATTATCCTTGAAATGTTCTTGGAGAAAACAGAATACAAAACCTGTTTTGAATCCACTTTAGCTCGCACATTCAAGGAAACACAGATTGGAAATTCACAGAGCTACGACCTCGTATATATGTTTACTGGCAGGCATTGAAGAAAACGTGTATAATGTTTTTTTTAAAGTATTATTACACCTTATTAAGTTAAAGAAAAATGTATATGGAAAATTCCAGAGTTTGAACGAAGTGAAAGTAAAGGAATTTCAGGGTAAAATACTTTCTTTACTGTCACAGCGTCATTAGTTATTGAAGGAAAGTGAAGTTAGAACATCAGCTCTGCAACTTTGATTTTATTAATAAATAAGTCTCTGATAAGAAAGTCAACCATCAGTTTCTAAAACAACCTTGAGAGTTTGAGTCCTAGAAGGTAGGTAGATTCAAACGTACACGGCTTTGGCTCTACTGTCTGTGGGTCTCTTATCAGCGTAACATTGGAGTCCAAAGTGCATCCGTCACAAAAAGCCCTGCGTTAAACAAACCATAATATTCACAATGTGCGCAGACTGAACACATTTCAACTTCTTACATTTGCGCTTTCTAAACAAAAAACAGGATGACTCTCGGTGTTCAGAGAAGTTCAATCACAACACTTCAGTCACCGGTATAAATAACTGTATCAGTCAGTGGTCGATCAATTTAGTTTTTTCATTTGCAGATGCCGGCTGTAAGAGAGCAGGTCAGCTGATGGCCGATACCTAACAATCATGTTTTTAGCATTTGATACCAGACCAATTCAAACATACTAAGAGATGAAAAAACAAAATTGATGAATCTGTTAATAATGGGAAAATTAAACAGGTGATTATTTTGGTTAAAAACAACAACAAAAGATATTAAATCCAGCTTTACCAATCTAATTCAGACCATGAAAATATACACTGGACAGTAGAAATTAGGAACTTTTGGTTTGTATCACCTTGGCGCCCCCTGTGGACAAAGAGGTGTTTGACAAAAGTAAATTCTCATCTTGCTGACTTTTGACATTCAGATGTTTCATTTACTGTGAATATTTTATGTGAGCAGCTGTTTCCTAAGCTGCTCAGCAGACACCCACCCCCTCACACCAGTTTCAGACATTAAAAATAGCATTTAAAAATCAACAATAAAGCAGCTGTTTGCTTCTTGATATTATAAAAAGGCCTCAATATGATTTTCTGACCATTTTATAGATGTTAAAAATCCGTTAGTAATGAACCACTATCTTTAATTTGCAAATAAGCTCTTGTGACCAGCTCACACACTCAAATAGGAATCAATGCAAGTGGGGTGACTGCTTCAATGGTGTTTGCTAGTATCAAGTTTGGCAACAGGGCACAGACATTCTATATTTTTATTCCAACCCACCTGTCAATATGATGACAGAAACTTTACCCTTTAGAAAACCGAACTGTTTTTTTATTATTATTATCATTCCTCTGGCAGACCCATGGACGAATCACTTCCTGGACAAAAGATAATCGTCAGTTTAACTGAGATTGAAAGTACAAGCAGCTGTAGAGATGTTAGCGAGTCACAGTCAGTGATAGCTTGCACAGCGTATTTGTTTGTTTTTTCAGTCCTGTGTGTCTTTCATATCAGGTTTGGAGACACTTTAAGTGTACTAGGGACACTCAGCACTATCTTGGCACAGCCATGATCCAGTGTACTCTGACTATTCAGACGAGCCAAAGAAAAATGTGCTGTGTTTCATGGTACAGCCCTTAGGGCATTATCCTTCCGCCGCCTCGTCTTATCTGTTATTAATATGGACAAGACATTCAGACACATTTTCTTGCCTTTTCTCCTCAGTGAGCACAGACCTTTGATATGGCTCTGTGGAAAGGGAGAGGATAATTGGCGATGCCTTACTAAACCCTACCACGGGGCTTTTTTCTGATAATTTTCTGTGTGTGTGTGTGTGTGTGTGTGTGTGTGTGTGTGTGTGTGTGTGTGTGTGTGTGTGTGTGTGTGTGTTGTTGTTGTGGACTTTGAAAGAGTTGGAAAGAAGGATAACTCAAATTTAAAATAGGAAATTATTTTTACATGTTCAAGCTGTTGATGTGTTTGTCACTTTTAAACCTTCTGTGACCTTTTGTCGCCATGGAGAGAAATTACATCTTGGCTATAATTCATGTTGCTTTTATTGTCTTCATTCATTGATGCTTTTTTGTGTAGCATTGTTTGCAGAAGCATAAAAGATATGAATATGAATATGAAATCAAGATGCAGCCATTTCTGAAAAGTCATTTTCAGACAATCTCATGATGGAAATGAAAATGGATCAACTCCAAACAGTTTTCAAACTTTTGAATGCTGGACTCTAGATGTTTGCAGCTCCATTTAGAAAATGATCATCTAAATCGACTGGCCAAAGTTTTCAGTCACATTTTTGATTTCCCTATTCAAGACAGATTTTTACAGGATTATTTGTGGTTCATTTGGTTTTGTTTTGATTTTATTCAGCTGTCTGTTTTGTATGATTTTATGTTTGTTTTATTGCCTGTCTGCTTTCATGACTTGTGTAGAAACTATTTTAGCCATGAACAAGGTTGATTGATTTATACGCACATATGTCTAGTAAAAATGGCCTTAATTATGTTATTCAAACAAAAACAAAATCTCAAATCACTGTGATTATTTGTATATTTTAGCAAGAACTTATGATATTGCTAAAGTAGGTGTTACCTCCATAATTTTTATTCAATTTTAATAAATATACACATTTTGCATAATGTTCATTACTCATATATTTTAGCAATGACACAATCTTTTGTACATTGATTATTACTTTGTTTCACCAACAAGATAAGCTCTGCATACAGCTCATTGCATTTCTTATTCATATTGGCAATTACATACGTTTTGACACATTACAACCCTTCTTAAGGATTGAAATCTTAACAATCACTAAAAATATACTGATCTTTTCAGTTGGATTGAAAAGCCTCAGGGTGTTGCATAAAAACACAAAGTTTAGTATCAAAAAGCTGCAGTCTCACAGAGTGAGTGGATTTTACAGTAGGTAGATACATCATACCATTTTTTCTATTTGATTTTTTTTAGCTGATCTTGTAAAAACAACAATGTACCGCCATATTAAACAGTAATTTGGATCACACCTTCTCCGCCCACTATGATTACCTGCTCAATTCTCAAGATGCATCCCATTCTAGTCTTGAACTGTCATCTCACGGCTCCTGTCCCAATGAATGTGCAGTATAATAAAAGAATAATTACAGGAATGCAGACAAATTACATTTATGGTATGAACTGACATATCAATTGTATAGTATGACTAATTTATGGTATATAGAATACAAATTTCTTACATTAGGACCATTTTTTTGTCTGAAGGTACCAGTTAGCCAAAGGTTTTGCTTCCTTTTTATACTTAGCAGCTCCTCCTCATCCCAAATAGCTGACAAACAATAAAAAATTTACACCAAACAAAGGCCCTGGTCTCGAGAGATACTCATGTTCACTTGTTTTCTGTAAAAATACTCAAACTTCACATCCAGAGGGAGACTTTCCTATTCCAAATGACATTCAGTGACATTTTTCTCTTCTTCATTATGTAAGTCTGAGTAATGAGTAAACAGAGTGTTAAGAGGACATTTCAGTCATTACAAACCTCTACAGCTTTTGTGTTCGAACGTTTCATAAATATAGGAGATGTTTTAGATGCTCTGTGTGTTTTAAATCATGATGTTAGAAATTCTAGGTTGAACAAGTTCTGTCATTTTCTATGTCAGGAGTTCAGGATCCTCTCTAAATAAATCATTCTGAGTTTTTGTTTTTCTGCAAAAAGCCTCTCCACTGATGCGCTGCTTAATTTCCTCCACACGGCTTTGACAAAAGGAGAACCAGCCTCAAATATCTGATATCTCTCTTAATTCACTCTACACTTTAATGTTACCCCGATGACAGTAACATTGTGATAATGTACAGTGTCAGCAAGTTGTCAGCTGCCTGCTTCCCTACAGAGAGGAGTAAAGGGAGCTGCTGCCTGCAGTCTTCTGGGGTCTTTTCTAACCTTTTTCCTGGGAAATCAGCAGCTCCTGAAGCGAGGGTCTTTGATGCTGACTACAGTCTTTGAAGAATGTCATCATTAATTACCTCAGAAATCCATCTCGACCCCCTGCAGCCTACAAACCTGCCACCTTGTGTGGACCCCCTGTGTTTGTCAGATTGAGCCCAGTCTCTGACTGTATCTGGAGTAAGAACTGGAGATTAAGATGCCTGAGACTGTAAAGAACTCTGATTACATCCTTGGTCATATCTTCAGTCAATCATGGTGTTGATATAGTTTCATGAATGATGGTTTGTGACAATCTTTTAAAAGGACCATGTGTCTCCCTCTGGTTTTAATATAACATAATCATGTATTTCCTGGTAATTAATCTGTTGTTTGTTGATCAGAGTGACTGAACTCAGCTAAAAGTCTCGCCTACTGCAGGTTAAAGGAGCAGCGAGTAAGATTTACTGCTAATTTGAGGTTAACTTCTGCATTTGAGCTGAAAACTGCTCACTTAAACTTCCTCCTCAGAGCATGTCGCAGGATATGCAGTGGTTATAAATCGCCTGATAGAGGCGACAAGCCTGTACTACAGTTTACTGCAGAAACATGGCGATGCAACACGGCAGCTCTGTGGAGAAGGATACACCATGAGAGCATCAATGTAAGGATACAGAGACACAATGCTATTTTCAATACACACATGAAAACACGATCTTTTGTTTGCATTTTTAATACTGCATTGATCTGAAGTATGACAAACACTCAGTAAAATCAAGTTATTGCATTAGTTTAACTTAAATTTTCTCTGTCATGTACACGACTCAATCGCACTGACACTAGCGTAAGTGTTCATGATTGAACAGTACTGATGCACTGCTAAGAAGCTAGGTTGTAAACAAAACCTGATCTGATGAAAAAATGACATAAAAAAGAAGAAACTTTCCAAACAAATGGCACAGAGCTGTAAAAGTGATGTTCCTTTAGCCTCTTGCCAATGCACTTTGCCAGCTGTTTTGATATGTCGGTGTATCAGCCACGATAGATGCCGGTTAGTTCTGCCTGTTCACTGAGAAACTGTCGGGAGGACCAGCAGGCTAACAGCTCTCTGCAGACAGGGTCACCACTGCCTCGTAATTTAGCTTAATTTGAGAGATCCAAACCACCGCACTCTTCACGTTTTAAGAGCGCACTCAACATCAAGTTTTTTCAGCACTTTGTCCTCAGACAGTCCATTTGTTTTTGCACTATCTGCAGACACAACACACGTCACTGCCAGAACATTGATCAGATAACAAATATGTTCCTCTGCCCATTTGACTGAGAGTGGTTTTCTCTTATATTAACTTCTGTTTTTCATTACTATCACCATGTCATTATCCTGAATGTTGCAGTATTTGCTCAGAGTTTCCTTGTGTTTACAACACTGTAAGGTTGCAATCTTCTCTAGTAGAAACAGACGAGTCATTTGACACCTGGGTACTGGCTGCAGGTGAGAGGCTCTAGTACGCCAAAAAGTCCCAGTACCCTAAAAGAGTTCAATTAGAAGTGGCAGTACTGTGTTTCAGAGCAAACTGGTCTACTTACAGCACTACTGGCAAATGATCTCCCAATTCCTGTGTCTATTTTCTGTTCTTTATGTGTTACATTCATATTCTGTATATGTCCTTCCTAAATGTAAAATGCTTCTCCTCTATCTGGTTTATTTAATCTGAGAAACTGACATCTAGTTTGAGCTTCACCTGACTGCACCCAAAAGGTATGAACACATGACCATTATACCCATTCCTCCAGGCAAGAGATGCACATGCTGCAAGAGTAAGAAATACCTGTTTTCAAAGAATAATTTCCCTCATTTACTTCAATATGTTCAGACTTTGCAAGCCTAACTAATCCAAACATCTCTTGAAAAAGCAGCTTTTTTTCTTTAATTACTTTGAACTTTGTCACATTTGACAAACTGCACCGATGTGAACAAAACTTACATTAAGTGGAGGTTTTTTTTTAGACTTACAGACAAAGCATGATTGAACTAAACTACAAGAGTAAAGACTGACATTTTCAAATAACCGGCTCTGAGTCTAGTCTGAGAGACTAATGACGTCTACACACACATAATCAGCTGTAACCCAAAGTGTGTGGAGGAGAGTGAGCTTCATCACTGCTGACTGCCAGGCTGACACTTTAATGAAAGCCTAATTTGTGCAGTAATTAAGATATACGAAAGACGTAAGGATCAGACACGCAAAATTAGTCCATCTCGCACAAGGATCTCTATTGTTATATCAAATATTTTTTTTCATGATGACCTTGAGCAGATGTATGACAACTAATTAACATTTAATGAAAGGCTTGTCTGTGGAGCCTTTCTTTATAGATTGTAATTAAGACGCCCCTCACACCTCCTGCTCCTCCTTTAATACTGAATCCAGCTGCGGCACACCTCATGACTGCAACATAATCACATCGGCATAATGGATTTCTTATTATAGTTACAATAAAAACAGTCTTAACAACTTTAAAGAGGAGCTTTTTTTCCTTTGTCCAACTTCCAATCTTTCTCGCCATTTCATTTACAGATTTTTATCCGAGTGTGAAGGGATGTGGGAGTCACAAACTCTCACTAATACCTTAGTCCCTCAGTTGAATTTAATTCCCCATTAAATTGAGTAAGTATGAATCGCCCTGCCAGAGACCCCAACGGCTCATTGTTCGCAGCCAGTCTCATTAAATCTGTCAAATGCCCATTTCCGTGCACGCTTTTCTGCCCTCGTATTTTAATGAATAGTGGGAAGATTACAATAACTTACAGTTATGGATGGTTGTGGCATGCGGTGAAACCAAGGGTTTATACCAAAAAAACGTGATCATTATGGAAAGGTGGTGGCTGCATGGAGGAATTATTTGACTTGCATGAGTTGTTTTCCCCGCTCTTTTTTTTAATGGTTTCCCAAAACAGGAACAAATACGGTGGGTAGTGGCGGGTATGGCAGGACTGGAGCTCGCCTCTGTGCCTCTGAATCACCATGAAAAACGTTCACTGCAGCATTTATGACGATATGACGCAAGTTTGGGACAGGGATTTTATTAGTTAACCTTGAAGGCAAATTTGATTTGCTAAACTCATTTTTCACTTCGACAAAATTTATGGCTCAGAGGAAATTGTTTGAAACTCAAGGAAAGCAGTTTGCTCTGAAAATGAAAATGAAAATTTCCCTTTAGAATTAGAACAATTTTGACTTAAAGGTACAATGGGTGACATTCAGTGGTATTTAGCAGAACTGAAAGTAAAGAAACAGAAAATAGCATCTGTGTTTAGCTTAGTGTATAATCACCTGAACATCGACACTGTATTTAATCCAGGGCCAGCTCTACCTAAATTAGTGCCCTAGGCAAGATTACTCTCAGGAGCCCCACCACCACCACGGCACATCAGCCAAATGAACAATCCCATACAGTTTAATTTTAACAACAGCAAACGTTAAAGTAATGAGAGCAGCCAAAAGAAACCGTCACCTGTCTGTGACTTGACCTCTGATCCCTTGAGCCCTGAGGTGCACACCGTCATGTGATCAGCAGCACCACATTCCATCATTGTTTATTCATTTAATATATCAAATAACATATTGATATAACATTATCAAGAGAGAACACAAAAAGGAGGCCAACTGGGCAAAGAAAATTACTCTTATTTTTATTGTTTTTATTGATTTATTTATTTTTCCTTGAGGCCAACAGTGCCTGGCGGCGCACCTGCAGCAGATGGCGCCCTAGGCGACCGCCTATATCGCCTGATTTAACCACTAAAAATGAACTTTTTATCTACTTATGAGCAGGACCCCTACCACAGAGGTCACCATCATGCACCCCTATGTTTCTACTGTAGCACAGAATGGACAAACTTTACAACAAGCACATTTCAGTATTAAGTGAGCAGCCACTGAAAATGCACTGGCTGGAAAAACGGGGGGGAAAAGTGGCTGCAGCAGAGACCGTATAAACTATGGACAACTTGGTTCCGCCTCCCGCCATTATACGGATTTGAAGCCAAAAGGCTCTCTGTATTTACGCAATTTTTGTTCATTTCCTGAAACCAACATTATGCAGTAGTGTTGTACACATTTGGCGGGAGAGTCGCAGAGAGTCGCTATGATGACGCTCGGCTCAAACAGCGTATCCCGTGGGTGAGCTACACAATCCCTTAACGCCAATAGGCTGTATCAGGTGTCAATCACAGAAAACATGAACCCCCTAATATCCTTACCTTAGTCTTACAATAACTACATGTCAACATCGCAAGCAGGGGGGAGAAATATTTGTGTAACATATTTCTACAGTTTGTCCGCAGCCCTATAGGGGATTGCTGAAGGAGATGGGATTTATGACCTGTACTGCAGCCCACCAACAGAGGGTGCTGTTCTTCAGGTGGCTTCACCCAGCGAGAAGGCAGATGGCGTCCATTCTATATACAGTTTATGGGCTGTAGTTGTGCACACAAAATTTGCAATGACACTTTTTTGATGATAAGAATTTGGAAGATCATACTTCTCATTCATCACTGGCGTTACCTTCATCTTTGTCCCGCAGTTGAATTCTTTCCTCCACTGTCATATCTAATACAGAAAAGAAATGCCCTAAAAATATAACTTCAGAAATTTAGTTGTTCTCTATAAAGGTGACAAAGATGCAAAGATTCCTGCTATGATACAGGAAAATTCTCAGTGATGGTTATAGAGAGTGATAATGACGGGAGGTTCTTGGATTTGTCGTTCAGGACACGAAACACCTGCGACGAAACACACTGAAAACAAAAGGTTGCTCCATGTGGTTGAACCCTTGGAGCAAAAGCGATACGTTTACAGTGAGAGCCTCTGATTAATGGCCTTACCGCTGGAGCTCTATCTTAACATGTATTCAAACCCTTGTGCCTTTTATATTATACATCAAATTCAAGATAGAACAGCTGTGATAGTACCTGCAGTATTAATTCCCTCCCTGCCCAGATGAGATGTTCCACCTCTGCCATCCTCCACTACCCTTCAGGTGAACTTAGTTACAGTAGTTGTTCTCTGTGACAGTAAAAAAGGCTGTACTCTCACCTTATTCACAGCTCCTCACTCTGTGCACAGCCCCTCTGGGACCACTGCCGCAGAAAAAGACTGCTGCCTTTGCCTCCAACTTTGTTTAATGCAACTGCAAAACTATAGGGCACCACTTTTCTTTTAGAGCTATAAAAAAAAGCAAACACTCTCCCTGTTTTTCCTTTTCTTCATGCACCATTTATTTTATATACAATGCTCCCAGACCAAAAAAAAAAACTACCTTACACCCACATGGGTATAGTGTTCAAGGTATTTGTTCTTACTGTACTCTGCAAACAGGGGGATGCTTGTGGGCATTGCTCAGCTCATGCAGCCATCCAAATCAGTCCCTCCAGGAAACTGCAATGTACTTTCTTACAGTGATAACAAATTCTCACAGTCTGTGGTGCATTCATTTAATCTTAAAGCGTTTGAAAAATCTGGCTAATCATTACAATCCTTTTCCAACTTGTACGGTCATATTTCAAAGCACAGATTGTCACCAAACTCACTTTTTTTTGTAATGTAGCACAAAATGTTAACTTTATGAGATAGTTGTTGCTATAAAGATATCAGATTACTGTATGTTTATTACCCATGGAGCACAATTGCTAGAATCTTCCTTTTTTGCTGTATTGCAGACTCTGTCATGAGGCTGTGTAGTGCACTCTTTCCTCTCTAAGGCCAATCCCAACCTACCCTTGAATAACACTGTGTTCTCTGGAGGCTTTTTACAAAGCATCTTGAAGGTAAAATACAATACTTAATGTCTAGTTGTGATAATTTATCCTTTTTTCCTTGGCTGAAAACAATCGCCTGTCCTTTTAGATGCCTTGGGTTGAGTCAGTCTGCCAATCGTCTGCTGTGTTCATGAACTCCAACCAACCTCTGAGGCTCTGAAACTGATGCGTTTGGGCACTCGTCTCCAAGAGGCATCGCAAAGTCAGATGTCCCCTTCACCTCATATTCTTATCAGAGTCATTTGCTACCAGCACAGAAGCTGAAATTGTGTTTAGGAAAATATAAGACAAATGTAACATGGAGAGTTTCCTTCACCCATTTGGATAATATTGTAGAGCCTATACACAGTGAAGGAAGCATTTCCTGGCTTTATAGTGTAACGGTACAACAATATATGGCCATCCTGGTCTGACACAATGCAAGTATACTTACAATGCTGACTGAAGTTGTGGGGATAAATATTTCATGAGTATATACATACAATGAATTCACAATATTTCTTTCTTTTAAGTTAAACATGCTGGTTAATCCCATCTGAGAGTTCTTTCACTGTTTGTACTCACAGAAAGGTCTGGGGTCTGAAGTCATTACATTGAACAAGACTTAATAATGGCAATAGAAACCCTACTTGAGATGCATATGTTTCAAAGTGAGAACGCACTTTCTTATTGATCATAGACAGGGAAGCCAGGGAATAATAACACAAAGAAAATGTGTAAAAGGTTGGCAATTATACTTGGCCGGAGAACATACACTTCAGCACAGCTAATCTGACTGTGCTGATACACTAACAATCAGGCAGATTAATGGAAAAACAAGCCTGTTACCTTTTGGGGGCCTTTTGTATTTTTCTATTTATCTGGTAATTTTATTTTCTACGACTGTTTTACCTCTTACTGATTACAATTAGATCTTGATATCAACTGTCCAAGTATCATGTATCTTATCGTATCAAACTGTATCTTAGTGAATTATATTGTATCATACTGTGTTGTATCTTATCTTATTGTATCATGTCATAAAGTATCTAATCATTAGATATTTATCTTGGGTCAGTCAGGGATTTAAAACCCCAACATGGTGTTCCACTGTCCAAGTGTTATGAATCGTATTGTATAATATCTTATCGAATCATATTATATCCTAACGAATCGTATCGTATTGTATCATATCATATCGTATCTCCTCAAATCATATCGAATTGTATTATATATCATATCAGATCACATCACATCTTATTGTATCGTATCGGATCATATCGTATCCATAGACTGTATATACTATGGAAAACTTGGTTCCGCCTCCTGCCTGTATAAAGATTTAAAGCCAAAAAGCTCTCGGTATTTCTGCGATTTTTCTTCATTTCCTGAAACCAATATTGCGCAGTAGCGTTGTACGCATTCGGCGGGAGAGTCACCAAGAGTCGCTGTGATGACGCTCGGCTCAAACGGTGTATCCCCTGGGTGAGCTACTCAATCCCTTAACGCCAATAGGCTGTATCAGGTGTCAGTCATAGAAAACATGAACCCCCTAATAACTTTTAAAAATGGAGCTGTACAGAAAAAAAGAGGACTTGAGCAGAAACCAGTCTTACTGTAACTACATGTCAACATCACAAGCAGGGGGTAGAACATTTTATATTCTGTGTCATAAATTTCTAAAGTTTGTCCACAGCTCTATAAGCTTTGCTGGCGGTGGCGGGATTTATGACCTATACTGCAGCCTGTCACCAGAGGGTGCTGTTCTCGGAGTGGCTTCACCCAGCAAGAAGGCAGACGCTGTCTATTCTATATACAGTCTATGATCGTATCACATCGGATCGGATCGGACTGGATCGTGAGTCAGTCAATGATTCCAAACCCTGATGTGTTTTTTAAATGATGTTTTTCTGCCTTTCTATTTTGCATTAACAATCTTCTCAGACACCTTCCTCCAGTGAATCCAGAGGACAAACAGCTCAGTCAGCCCATACATGGGTCTATTGGAGTGTTTGTCCCCTTCGTTCACAGTGGATGTGTTACATTTTACACTCAAAGCTTCAAACATGCATCTTAATGTCATAAAACAGCTGCTGTGAAATCAGGTACTTTGTACTGCAACAATGACAGGACAGGCCTGGAAATACTCAGGGGACGAATAAATGCATTTCGTCTTGAAAGACACTCTCGGGTTGAATGTCACATTTCTGAAGCCGCATCAACAAACAGCATCAGCCTTGTGGAGAGGGCAGACTTAGTTTATTTGTTGACTTCCTACAACAAATATGAGGTTTCACTCCTCTCCTTGAGCCAGACATAAATCTAACAAACACAATAAGGCTGGAGCTGGAGATCATTAAAAAATCTCCCATGGTGTCAAGTTTACTCTGGGAGATCTTCACCTCTGAGGGAGACTCGGCCACACGGAGCCTTTTGTGCCGAGGACCATTTGTACCCTGTTGCTGCTGGCAGGGGACTAATATCTGGTTCCTGGCACTGCTGCTGCCAGATTTTTTATGAGGTCTTCAGCCTGTGAGTGCAACACCCCGCTGCAGTGACAATTACCTGCTAATGCACATTGGCTAATTTGGATCTGGGGAGAGGGTTATTATGCAGCAATCAGCCTGAATCTAAAACCACAGTGTGTGTGCAAAATGACAGTACAGTATGGGTTGCTAATGGTGTTCTAGTGCTATGGTAAAATATACGTATGATATCACTTTGGGTTATAGCCTCTTATCACAGCTGTGTTATTTTCCAACAGGAACAGATGCAGTGTGAGCATCTCCACTGTGTGTTTGAGTACTTGTTTTTATGTTCAACTTGGAAATGAACCATTTACAGACTACTTCTAAAAAATGTTTTTAACCTGATGGGGTTATAAATCCTTGGAAAGCAGCCTTATGTAATATGAGCACATTTAGTCCTCAGTGTTCAGCAGATGTTTAAATCCCCTCTCTTTTGTGTATTTTCAGCGAGGCAAGTTTGAAGAATCTCCATTTAGCTCACTAAAGGTTGAGTTACAGACGTCTGAAACGAGATAGAGCTTGTTTGCAGTTTTAAAAGCTCTCAGTTTTGTTTCCACTCTCATTGAAGCCCTCGATACAGCGATTATCAATGTGAAGAGCAACACAGATTCCTCTAATGCACCGTAACAGATTAAGATGTGAAACAGATAATGCAGTGTAATTACTCTTAACTTACAACACAGATGATGTCAAACCGCATGACAAGGACCTCCTCTGACAAGAATAATGGGATGAAATGTTATTAGCCCCGATTATTTACAGATATAAAGTATCCCTCTTTTTGGGATTAGAGTGTATTGGTTTAAAGAGGATTTTGTTTGAAACCATTTTGTTTTATTTGAACCCGCCTGAAAAGGTGTTTATTTTTCCTCTCATGTGCACGTGGTTTTCAGTGCTTGTGCAGCTGGTCTCAAGCAGGACCTGCAGATCGTAGCACTTCTACTTCAACTTCATTTCTCAAGATTGGAGGCTGACATGCAGCATGCACTTAAAGGGATATTCCGGTGTAAAATTGAGTTAGGGTCAAACACACCGTAACACAGAGTTCGACACCCCCTTGAGAGATGAATGTTGCCGACCGCTTGCTTCTCTAGTAAGCCACTCTATAGCCACAAATGATGCTCAGAACAGCACCTAACTTCATCAACAGTGCATATAGGGTCCCAGCCACAGCACTAGCCACCAAACATCCTTTTAGCTTTGCCTGATTTCTTTAGCAGAGAGACTAAACACAACTCACCCCCTCTCTTTCAGCAGCCGCTTGTTTGTACGGAGACCTCCAGGCGAGTCCATCGACTGCAGTGGGGTTTCGCAGCTCAAGGAAGAACATTTAGGATTATTACTTCATGGAAATGCAATCAGGCCGAGACGCTAAGGCGGAAGAACTACCGGGTATGCAGTGCTAAATTATTAATATGATGATTATTACTTCAAGGAAATGATAAAGTAATGATCTTAAATGTTCTTCCTTGAGCTGGGTCCCCCTGCTGCAGTCGATGGACTTGCCTGGAGGTCTCCGTACAGACTGTTTCTTTGAGCTCGCATAGTTAATCTATCTGTTGAACTCAATGCTCTCTCTATACTTCGAGGGCGCGCTGAGACAACAGCACATCTGTAACACCTTCATTAACCTTTACTTCATGTCTCCTTATATTCATTTCTTTAGCTTATTGTTCACACAGTGAGCTGTTTTGTTCTCTTTGTGTGAGTAAAACTCATAATAGCACACATAAAAAGCTTAAGCCAAGTGTCCATCAGCTGCGGACAGAAAGCAGGCGCAACACAAGTTTTACAAATGAGTCACCCATCAGGTAAAACTTTAACATGACAAAAGAAATGATTTTCCTGACAGAGGGGAATGAGTTCAGTCCATTTTATGATGTCTTAACTACAGGAGACCACTGGGTTCGAATCATGTGTCAATTCTTACTGTCGTACACATATTCAGAAGCTCTAAATCCATCTTCTGGAAACAAACTCTTATGGTGACTTAAAGAACCTGAAACACAATAAAACTAACTTTTATTTGTATTTCATGCTTAAGAATCACAGCCAAAGAACATTTTATCTATAATGACTTCATACTTGTGGAAAATTTAGAAAACAAAAAATCAGCACTAGACGTCATATTGGAGAAAGGCAACACTAGGGTAGAGCAGCATGTTGCTTCATAAACTGACTGACTTTCATGTTGTAATGTTCGGATATATATTTTTAAGTAAGAGATACTTCAGCAAAGACAAAAACTCTGTCTTTCTCTGTGATTCGACGTCACACGTTGTCCATAAACAAGAAGACGAACAAAGACAGTGAGGTAGTTTTTCTTTAATCTTTCTGCCTAGAAAGTTTTGGCTAAAACTGATTAAAGTTAGACTAAAATAAAAAGTTTGAGACAGAAAGACTGAAATATGATAAAAGTTTTGCCCTTTCTGACTCTGTTGTTTTCTGTTTCAGACAGAGCAGTAGGTGTTGCAAACTTCCCTGCAAACATCACTTTTGAGCGACATGTTTGAACTCCTGATGGACTGAGCGAGACACGACACACAACACAAAAGAGCAATGTAATCCTGCAGCAAAAATATAAGTACACCAAATGTTTTCATGCACTAATGAATATTTAATTAAAACATTTAATTTTTCAATGATTTGCGTACAGCCTTGAGAGATTTAATAGAGCTTTTAGAAAATCTGGTGGGTGGAGTAAACATTTTAATGGATCGTAAAATAATTTCTAAAGGACAGAAAAACAACTTTCAGTCGTGTTTTTATGGCTTTTTATGGTTTCTGCAAACTTGTAACTTTTAATTAAGTTAATGTTGCTGATACTTTTAAGTCAAGTTAGGAAAAAGCTTACAGAGAAAAATTCACATTGATCGTATTTTCTGTTACTGTGATTAAAGCTATCAGTGAAGATATGTGAAGATTACATTTATAACTCAGGAGAAGGAATATTTGTAATTACTCCGACTGATTCATCTAACTCTCTGTAAAAGAAACTATTACGCTTCATTTTATTTTAATTAGTGTCTCTTGACTGTGTCTCACTTTAATTATTTTCAAATTTAGTCATCATTAAGCTTTGATTTGTAGCCCAGCCTTTAAATGTTTTTCTCAATAATTTCACCACGTCTTTACTAAAGGCAAGATTTAAGTGAGACAGGCTATTTATGAATTTTTTATACATAAACTTCAAGAACTTTTGAACAATAAAGATGGTAAAACAAAAAAGGCGGAGACCATTTACCTTTAAAAAGATGAGATTGTCCAATCAAAACAAACACACACAAAGTTACAGAACAGTAAAAGGGACAATGTTTTTATCATTCGATGTACGTCCTATTCACCACTTGCAGTAGACGACCCAGTAGTAATGAGCTGAAATTGGGAAAGTTGCTAACTGTCGTAGTGAAAGTGGACATGTTTCTGTTCATAATCCAGTTCTTGACAACCTTACAGCATTTTGTTTCTTTTATTTTTTTCAATATTGCCATGGCTACCAGTAAATGTAAATGTGACGTTTAAGAGGAAGCAAAAATAAGGAGGCTGCTCACTGCACGGACCGGAAGATGAACAAATTGGGACTTCTGGTGGACGCATTTATTAGTCGATACAAACAGCCACACTGAGCTAGTAAAAAAATAATAATAAGACCCTGCGTTAAGATGAAACCAGCTTTTATTTGATGTTTTACAGTTTATGTTTTCACGCTCGCAGACCCATCCTTTGACAGCTATTAGCGGGGGTGATTTACACCTTTTACCTTGTAACTACAGATGACTTCTGGGAGTTCTTTTCATTAAAATGACTCATGGTGGGAAACACTGCAGGGTGTGTGCAAAGCGAATGCAAAATAGGATTGCGTTATTTATGCTTTCTAGTTAAACTTGCATGTTTCTATGTTGCATTTCAGCTGTTTATGATATTTAAAGAAGTAAATATATATTCCAACTTGACTGACCTATAGCTGGGTCGTTATAGACTCATTCTTTGCATGGAAAAGGACCACACTGCCCTGCATGGTCGTAGGTATGTGAAGGCGTGTCTGCGTAGGGGAGCCCATGAGACCTTGTGGATATTGTTAAGTGAGATTTTTAGCCCTGTCCAGATCAGATGTACTAATTAAAGATCAAAGTGATGTCATCATGAAGTGTTCGCAGATTTTTAGGATGCTGAAGGATCGAGCGGCGTGATGGCTGATTTCATTGCCTTGGTCTTCACTTGCATCATCTGAGATTCTTTCCAAAGCTCCTTTAAAGTGCGGGAGGTTTTTGGCGAAGGGGGAAGACTTTTGGGGAAAGATGATTGTAATTTCACCTCGTGTCTTAAAGGGGATGTAATCTTCTGAAAATTGTTTGATACCGGTTGAAATTCAGGTTAAAACAAATCTACACGCTTATCTCCTGCCCCAGAGCGTCCCATATTTATCCAAACACAGTGTTTGGTTTAAGTTCAGCTCAAGTGTTTCTGGCAGTCAACGTCAAGCCTCCTGGGAACGAGTGTTCTTGTGAGCTTACTCTGACAGAGAAAAATGACTCAATTTAAATTTATGGTTTGTGCTCTATAGAGCTGTTAATGTGAGCTGACCTGAAATTCTCCACTGGGTTAAGTGAGCGTTTGTTAGAGTGGGACACAGTTCAAAGCAGGAGTCAGTGCCTTTGAGGAGTGTAATTATGGTGCTTAACATTAGCACAGTTCACAAATACAGCTTTCCAGTCTGATCCCACGTGGTCAGTTAAAGTACTAAAAATTATTCTTAAAATCTAGACTGCTGCAAGCGGAGTCTAAAATCTCAAACGCAGTGGGAAATAGAGATGAGGAAAGAAATAGAGTTGCGAGTTTGTCAGATGTATATAGGGTATGTCTCGCTGTCATATCCGTGCGTTTCACAGTCAAACAGATGTTAGCTCATCGGATATTTAACTTGCCATCACGGGAAAAGCACAGGTGTTAAGTGATAACATTAATGATAGCTCTGAAACATTCAGGAATCTTGCCAGTCAGCCAGCGCGCAGACTGCTAATGCAGAGGCACAAACACACCTACAGTAAACGGGGGGTGCAGCTACAATTAATGTTATCAGTTACACCAGAGTGAGCTGTGAGGAGAGCATTTGGCTGCAGGTATCAAACATCTGTGTAATAACTGAGGCCAAGAGCCAAATACAGCTTCCAACTGAGGCTAAAAGATTCAATCAGAATGAGAGGTATCATGGCTGAAAGTAGAACTAAATCATGTCCTGTAGAGAAATATATGCGGTGTTTTAAATTCTGTATTGATTCAGATTTTTTAACCAACAATTTTAACAAGTGCCAGAGATTGTCAAATGGTGTGAGACAAACATTTTTGTACACAAAATATGGAGTTTGGTTCATTTTGTCTTAACTATCAACACTAAATCAGCTTTTTTCTGGACAGTATTTGTCATCGTGTTGGATTGTTGCATTAATAGTATTAATAACACATTTACATAAAGCAGTCCACTTTCATTTGGATGGGAAATATATGATCTTTGTCCCTTTTAAGTTACAACAATCACAGATTTAAAAATGCTTGGTTAATTTGAGATTAATCGCGATTAACTATGGACTTTCATGCGATTAAGATATATTAAATATCTTATATAATAAATATATAAAATATATTTTTTTAACAGCTCTACATTAAAAGGGCCTGTTTATGCTCAAGGGAAAATTGTGTTTCAGTTCATTTATATTTTCAGCTGTTCAAAACATGTCTCAGGTGTTTTAAGCAAGGCTTTGAAATGATCACAAATAGAGTCTCCATGGAAGGTCTGCAGCCTCTCAGTTTTTAACCTCAACATCTATTTGTGAAATGAGTGGGCAAGGATGAGGTCCTGCATTGATTAGCTGTCTGAATGTTGTCTGAGGAGGAAGGTTCAGAGCTGTGCAACTTAACATGGCGAGCTCTCCAGAAAATGTTCCTTCTCTGAAGTATTACAAAGTGGGGACACCAACCAATCACAGCTCTACTGTTGTCGGTTTTTACACACAATGGTTGAGGATCCTTTTATGGCATCTGTTTTGAATCAAATCCAGCTTGATACTGACATTTGTTGAAACAGTGTTGGGTGAAATGATTGGCTCAAACACATTCATTGATAGCTTTCAGTGGCATGTTTTATAAGAACAATATTAAAGATGTTAAAGAAGCTTCTATAGCAAAAGACTTGAAAATGTGTCACTAGTATGATTAGGCTGATCAATCCAAATATTTTACGATTTTATGTCTTCTTTTTTATCTTATGAACAAAAATAGTTGTCAAAGTAGTGCTGGGCGATAGGACGATAGATATCGTGGGCACGATAGAAAATGTCTATCGTGCCATTTTTCTTTTTATCGTTTCGGGCGATAGGCTGTATTTTATCCATAGGGCTTGTGCCATCAGATGATTCATAGTAACAACAACAATAATTGCACATTCAGTAAGTGTATTTGGTGTCGAACGGGAAAGAAAACAATATTTTCTTACAAAGAAAAGGATGCGTTGACATGTAGGCTCGCATTTCTCTTTCGATTTTGCGACATGACGCCGCTTTACGTGCCCTCTTCGTGTCCAGCGTCTCCCGCCGTTGCGGGTTACCTGGGTTACACACGTGAGGGGATCATTGTAAGCAGTGCTTAATTTGTGCCGGAGCAAGTCGGAGCGCGATCCGGGACCTCTTTTGATCGGATCCGGGACCTATTTCAGCCGCTCCGGCACCTGTTTCATCTGCTCCGGGACCTTCCCTGTAGAGGATGGCATTTTTCGGGAATTCCCGTGGGTCACGTGATTCCCGCGGGAATCACACGGGATGGGAGTCATTTTTTAATTAATCCCTTGATCGGGACGGGACGGGAAAAAAAGCAACGGGACTGGGCAGGAGCTGGAACAACATTAAAAGATGATCATTTTCAGCCGTGTTTAACAACCAGATGAACAGGTGCGTCCATTTTTGTTAGTCATCTCTCAGTGAGAGCCAACACTCTTGACCGCGCTAGCAACACAAAAGAACTACAACAGTGGTTTGACTTCCTGTCAGCTGGGAGCGCGGCTGCGCATCTCTACCCTTCAAGCCAGCAGCGAGGAAACGTAATTTTGTGACATTCTGTAGTTTTTCAATCATTTCTGGAGTCGTGGCGAATCAAATCACCTTACCTGTCTGCCCCTGATAGGCGAATAAAGCGCTCAGATTCATGCTCGGGTCTTCCCACGTGCTTCAAGAGTAAAGTAAACAATGATGGAGGCAGAGAGCAGCTTTGGAGGAGAAACATCTAGCAGTGTGAACAACCTCTTCAAAAGGGCCCTAAAGACCTACCTTTTTAATAAAGCCTTTGGTTAGTTTTCCTCTATGCTTTATGCTTTTACTACCTTGCCTCTTACATTGCAACTCTATATTTTTTATTTTTTTAATTCTTTTTTTTATGCCAATCTGTGACTGTCATTCTATTGCTTTTTTATTGTTGCTGCTCTTTTTTTACTGTGTACTGTAGCACTTTGAGATTTTTTGTAAATGTAAAGTGCATTACAAATTAAATTTATTATTATTATTATTATTATTATTACTATTATTATGGAGTGCTTTGGCTCACACTATCGGCGTTTTCTGTGAGTGTTGCATAACTTTGGGTGAGCACAGACACGTATTTATTTATTCATTTTTCTAGTTTTAAGTGCTGGTCTTGTACTGGTACTTGTGCAGCTGTATACACTTAAATTTTTTTATAGAACTGAAAGCATACCATAGCTATATCGTGATATATATCGTTATCGTGATATAAAATGATCCATATCTTGATATACATTTTTTTCCATATCGCCCAGCACTATGTCAAAGTATTGTGTTTTGTCTGTAAGTCTCTGTATTCAACTCAAATTCTGTGATAAAACACAAGCTGAGCTGCTGACAGCGTCGTACATGGGGTTGATCAGGGTGGACATCAGCAGGGCAGGTTTTAACATCACTGTCTGGTTCAAAAGTGGTCAAAGTGACTTTACAGACATTTTATTAGCAAAACTGAGAACTTCAAGGCTCCAGACAAGCCTGAGTCATCTAAGCTTTAAGACTTGGTTTGGAAAGGAGGGGAAAAGGCTGTCTGAAAAATTAACAAGCACATGAACAGTGTAAATTACTGCAACTACTGCAAAGAAACAAGGTCTGATGAGGCATATATTGCATTATTGAACAATGCTGTTAGGTACTGCAGATCCTCCTCATATAGTGCAGGTGTTTCAGATAAGCTGCTGTCCTGTAGCTCCTACAAGACTCTGTGTGCAGTAATGAAAATGCAAAGATTTGACCCACAAAATACAGTCTTACACTGATGACCCCAAACGCACTTTTGGGAAAGATGGCAATGATGGCAACTGTTCCTCGATTGGTGTGGGTCACATATTCTACAAGTTATGCATTGGCTTAGCACTTCAATCCCATACTCCATGTGCAGAGGTTATAGTCCTTAAGCAGGCGGGCAGTGTTTGAGTCCAGCCCTGGATCTTTGCTGCACATGTTCCCCACTCTCCCTCTCTTGTTTCATATTCTCGCCACTGTGTCTCTCAATAAAGCCCAAAAGTAAACTTGAAAAAATAAAGACCTTCCAGAGTAAAGATGAGCAAAGCAGACTTTCTCAAGTCTTTTTTTTAATCAATATTGACCTAAAATAATTAAGAGAAGGGAAAGGACTCAGAAAGCGGGAGAAAAGAGAAGTAGAGCTTCCTTTTGTAACTGCAGCAAAAGTTTGAGTTCAGGTTTACAGTGTTCGTCAGAGGGCTTTTTAGCATGCTAAATGTTCACTTCTAATAGGTTTGCTGAGTCACATATGGCCCTGAGTAATAAGCTCGTGGCAGGTAGTTAACACAGATTGATAAAAGACCTTTTAGAGGACGCCGCAGCCTTTGTGAGTCTCTTATTTCCTTTTGTGTCCAGAGTGAAAAGTGAAAAGCGAACAAGAGAAAAGAGATGTGACATTAGCAAATGGATAGCTGGGGTTTCAATCCTTGCAACAAAGCATGCTGCAAGGAGACAACAGAATAACCATTAGCCTTTCCAGGGGGCTCTGGAAATTAGATATGTCTCTTTTAAGTGATGAGTGCAAGGTTTTGGTCTCTAAATTAGCCTTATGTTGCTGTTAGCGACTGTGTGATGAATTCAGCCTTGTACCCAGTGTTAGGTAAGATTAAAAGAAACTGACTAGTGCATGCATAATGAGTTTTTTTTATCATGATTATTGTTTCAACCCTAGTAAGAGGAGTCCAAATATTTCAATTAAATCTCATGCTCGGTGTGGTTTGGTCTAACAGCAACATCTGAAATACTGTCTGCAATAAGCTCTGTTTAGAGAGTCATATACTTTAGATCCCCCTACAGTCCTCCTCTAACAAAGTCCATATATTTACGATATTATTTGGAATCACACATAAAAGCTAGAGCCAGAGCGGTTTCCTTACAGCCGAAGGAGAGAGAGGATGTTACCGTTAAATCAATGGACAGGGCTTTACTGCTCCAACATATGGGAGTTTGGGAGTTAAATCTTGCTTGGTTGCTGATTGAATTTTACAGCCGGAGCCTTCAGGAGAGTGCTGGATGGTAATTACCCCAATGTAGGAACAACCAGAGTGGAAAGAAGTGCTAAAAAAGGGAATGAGAATGAATAGCAGCAGGCCAATCCTTGGGTGTAACCCATCTGCTTTGAGAAGTGGCAAGTTTAAAAAAGGACAGGGGAAGCTATAAAAGGACAAAACTGCAAGGAAGACACATTGTGGCTTTGGTTCTTTAATGAGGTTTAGATACTTTAGGGGCAGGGAGCTTCACTTTTTTGTCAACAGTTCACAGTAGCTGGGAGGATCTTAATTTAGCCACCAAATATTAGGTGTTAAACCACCTGATAATGACTGCAGAATACAGTCGGTCCTTCCAGTGATGCGTGATCTGCTGCAGCAAAGTGTGACAGTCGAAGCACTTCACCACATGACTTCACACGCTCTATGTGACTTGGAGGATGCGTTAGGTAAACTCATTTTCAGTGGCTTAAGGACTTTGCTTGGAGATGAGTGGCTATTATAGAAGAGCATGTGTTATAAAGCAAAGAAGAGAGAAGATCAGGTACATGGAGCAGATGTACTGTCTATCAAAAGTTTCAGAGACTTGTAGTTTTTTAATTGCAGAACCTGATTGTGGAGCATGTTTGGAATCACTGCCTTGACAGTGACAGAGATGATAAATTATCACATCATACAAGTTGTAAAATTGATGAAACATAACTGCCATATGACACGCCTGTTTTGCTTTCCATCTGGCAGTCAGCTTGTCTAAATCAGGAACGATCAAAACAGAGTAAAATAGACATGAAAATAAATCTACAAGATTGAAATACTTTGTCAGTCCTTCCAGTATGTAATAATTCAGGCGATTCTTATTAGAGAATTGTAATATTAAGTGGTATGTTTCACAATCATGACTCCAAATTTCAAACTCTGAAATAAACCCAAACATTATAATAAAAATAAAAGTCACAAAGCCAGCTACAGCTACCTTATTACAGTGATGATGATCTCGGCCGGATCAGGCCAATTACATCCACAGAACACTTTACTGGAAGTATCTAGACAGTGACAAATGGCTTTGGCTGTGTATGTTGGATTTGAAATGAAACAATAAAAGGAGTTTAAAGTGCTGACTTTCACTTTTAGGAGTGTTTGAGGTTCCTCTTACACTGGCCGCCAATTATGAATGACAACAGTCTCAAATTTAAGTCAGCAGTTTGAAGTCACGATGGAGGTTTAATCTAAAAAACAATGAGGAGTTTAGAGCCTACCCTTGAAAACTTTCTACTGTCGCTAGTTGACTCAAATATCTATGGATAGTTTTTAATGATGAAGCAAAATAGACAAATATTAGCAGCTTTCAGATTGTCATGAGTAAGAACCCGTTAGTATATTTATAAAATGAACACTTTAATGGGTTTTTGGATGGTTGATTTGGTTTAATTGGTTTACCATAAAATAATCTGAAAGAATCATTTTAAACTGATGATATTTGTTTTACACAGTTTCAGAGATAACACCAAGAATAACCAGGTTGAAGATTGATGACTGTCAGTGCTGTAAAAAAGATTTACCAAACCTTTGAGCGTGACACAAAAAACACAAGGGGGTTTAGCAGTTCAAGACTACACGGGTCAGGTCCTGTTCTAGTTCTGATTAGCTCTGTGGAGAGTTCAGGTACTTATACGCCTCTCCTGATACCAAATCCCCACCTTACTCTTGTATCCTGCTCTTTTCTTTCAGAGAGACAATTTGACTCCTGGCTTTCTCTTCGCTCGCAGGGAGGCGATTGTTTGCCATTCATCTCCTCTCATTGGAATTGCCTGCCAATCGTGTTCCTGCTGATTACATGCTTTGCTGCAGGGTCCATCTACTCACTTTGCCTCCAGACAGGCTATGACTGGAATTACTCTGTTTGATCACAGGGTGAATGCTGACTTGACGGTAGAAAAGCAGGATAACAGTGAGCAAACTAAAGGGTAGCTTTACCTGAAAACTCCTGAAATGTTCACCCTTCCCTTATGCTTCAGTCAAGAGATTTCAAATGCTCTACATAGGAAGGTTTTAATAAATGCCAGGAAGAAACCTTAATCTGTAAGCTGTTTTCTATTACTCATAATAATAGCTACATTTACAGGAATGTATTCTCTTCATTATATTTATAGAATACACTATAACCCGCATTTTACTGCTGTTGGCTCATAAAGGAAATTCAAGGTAATGGTTATTTTACAGTGGCCATAACACTTAATGTCACATTTAGTGAACTATGTGATAAGGGACCAGAGGAAAGTATGTAACATTTCATTTATACTGTCCAGTGAGATTTCAGAGTGAACAAACTCTACAGTATTCTGGGAAATAAATTGTATAACAACGCCAGAAAGGTGTATTTGTTTGTGATTACTTGATTACTTCCTTTCAAAAGTTAAACTGAGTAATAATCGGTCTGTCTTCTCAACTAAATTGTTTTATACTAGTATGCAGATAAATGTTGTCAGAGGAGAGTCCAACGGGTGGCCCCTTAAAATCTGGTTGGTAATCTAAGCTGCCACCTCAAATCTTTCAATGTGATTGGCTTTGTACCTCACCAGAGGTACGCCTTTTGTTAATAATTACTATTGAGGCTGAGATGCTAAAGGGTACGGGTTTAAATAGCTTTCCATACATTTAAATTCAGCATGTTTCCCTTTTTAAGTTTTGATTGTGTCAAAGTGCTCCTCACTAGGACTTACTGTTACTAGATCAAGAAAGCAGTTTTATGGCACGTCATCTAACTAAGAAAGTGACTATTACAATTGTTTTAAATTGTTCTGTCTGCATCATATTTGCCACTAAATAAAGACATTTTTGGAGAAAATGTAAAATGTTTTTTTGTTTTTGTTTTTGTTTTTTTTACTTTTGGAAAGCCCTCAACTCGGGTGTAACGTCATTCCCAGCTCCGACATCTGACTTCCGAGGTAACTGGAACGCAGCATTAGTCACAACATTATCTGATGTATCTATGTGTGAATGTCAGTTCCTGTGTTGACTTTTTCATATAAGATATGTATGTGACTTTGATTAAATACACCCAGTAACATACATCAGACCACCAGTTGAAAGGAAATCAAATTTTGGTATTTCAACTGCATGATGTTTTGGGTTATATTTGACTATTTTGAGGTAAATATCAAGAAAGGAATATTCTATTCTATTCTATTCTAAAAGGAGCTCAAGTTTCATGTATTAAACAGAATTATTGACTATATTCGAGTCAAAAGCGCAAAGAAATATGGGTGCTGCAAAAATGGATGAAAACTGACTGACTTAGAATTTTTTTGTAAACAATTGCTGCAGGTTTGCTGTTTTCACAAGGTCAGTTTAATCTACAACTGATATTTTTGTAAGATTTTGAAGTGCATAATCAAGTTTATGCAAGAGAGTTTTGTTACACAAATGCATCAGATAGAAGACAGCAGAGAGGAAGAATCTGCTATCAGACACTGTTATAAGGTCTTTCAGCCTTGAAATGAAGTGAAGCTGAAAGCAGAGAATAAGAAGTAGTTTCGACTCAAAGTTTTATTCAGCAGTCAGAGTATTAGCAGCCGGGGCCTTCGCACATCACACTATGAACCTTGAGCCTCTTAAATCTGGAAATCACTTCTACTTTCACACAACTTGCACAGAGAGAACGGATGCTCTATGATTACTTCACAAGAGGGCATATAATGTTCATCCAGTCACAGGGAATATGAGTGGTCCCCAATCTGCAATTTTCCCATGATCCTTATCTTTATTAGCTCATTATTTTCATGGAGCCCGCTGTGGCTGCTGATCTGTGGCATTTATCCGGGCGAGCAGAAACAGCCAATTAGTGGGGGCTTATCTCATCGTAGATAAGGAGCTGCAATAAGAGTTAAATAGCAGGGAAACTCTGGAGCTGGATTTAAATGAGGTTACTTTACGTATTTGTTTATTGTCTAAATTTGGTATTGTTGTGGACTCTCGAGCTGAGGGCAAAATGTCAACAACATTTACATACAACAGCAAAAGCAGTAATAGTCTAAATTCATGATAGTTTTATGGCTATGCATTTTCTTTTGTGGCTCCTACTACAATCCTGTTTTATGTTTATTCACTATAGACAAGGCTTGTGTGCTTAGCAACATAGCAACATAGACCTGAATGAAAGGATGAACAAGGCCACAACCAGAGCGAAGTAAGTTGGTTTTTACCAGCTTTTGGTTGATATTATCAGCCAGAATGTCTGATGGCAAGAATGTCAAATAAATAAAAATCTTATAGAACTGACTATAAAGCTATATTTTTTACGTTTACAACAATGCAGTAAAGTACCTACATTGTTACTCAGACCCTAATGCCGCATGTTGCATTTACTGACAAACACACAGCACAGGAAAAAAAACAGTGGGACCTGGATGCTGGCAGACTGTCAAGTTTGCTACAACAAAAGCAGGAAAAACCCTTCTCTGCCGATAATCTTCAACGTCTGTTTCAGGAAGGCAGTAAACAGGGAGGATGGTTGGTAGTGAGTGGAATATGAACAGGTGAATCCACAGCTTAGATCAAGATTACAGTCTCTTAGAAATTGATCACAGCGAAGGTACAGTACACTTGGTGACAAGAGGGACTGAGAGGACTCTGCTATAAATGCTGGCTTTATGGATGAAAGTTAACGTTGTAATAACAAAGACAGTGAGTGTTTCACCCACAGGATATTATACTGGAGACAGTGAGTGGACTGGGTCTGTCCCTCACAGCCAAAATAACACTTCCCCTCCCATTACCTTGTTGTTTAAAACCTGATGAGTAAACCTAGCAGGTAAACAGTCAAGAAGAGTAGCTTGTGTGTTTTCAGGGTGACACCTTATGGGTTAGATCACCTAGTGAGGATGGTTTTGCAAGGATCCCGAGTGGTTCTTTGGCTTTGACTGGGCCCCATTTGTAATTATCTGAAGTATTTATCTGCATTATATCAGAATTTAATTGGAATGATACGAGCGAGCAGGAGCGTCTGTTTGTGGGTGGGGCTTTCTGGAGCAGAGACTGGAGAGGAGGAGCTGAGAGGAAAACTGGTTGGGAGGGGTAGTGTTTGTATTCAAGATTTCTCCCCAAAAACTGGCACATCCTCAGATCCTGCCTGCCCCAACTTTAAGGTTGAGTTTTATCAAATGATTAGGATAAGGCTTCTTGGTTGTGCATTTAAATTTGAATGCACAACACTATGGTGAGTTATTTCTAAACTTTAACTGAGAGATCCATGACTTATGAATTTGTTTTTGTCATGAATCTACTTAAAGTTTGATGGGTGGAGATTGCAACTGTGCTCTGTTACTTTTTACTGACATGAATGCAGCTGTTTTGTCTGATTATTCCTCGCTGTCACAGCTCATGGTGTTTACACTGACAGCTTCTTACAGCAGACAGTGTCCAGCTGTGTATTGCAAAGGTACCATCCTTACATATATCTTGTTTTTTCTTTTCTTTTGCATGTCCTTGTCTACGCTTTCTTATTTTATTGCCAGAGATCCAGTGACTTGAATTTTAATTCATAATGCTGTTGTTTTCAGTGGAATAACAAAAGTACCAGGACCTACTCTGAAAGCAAAGTGTCTGTTTGTGTTACAATCACTGAAAGATGAATGTTTGAATAACAAAAAATGTCCAAATTACACACACACAAAAAAAAAATGAGAAGAATTCCAATTTGAACCAACACGTCATCCATTACCCTGCACCTGCCAGCATCCACAATAATCCACAACAATCAACACGACAATCAACAAAAAGTAAATTGCCTTTAAAAAGCTACTAACTTCGTTTCTTATCTCAGAGGTGGTGCTGCTCGAGTGCCTGGAGTTTCAGGTCTGAACGGAGAAAGTGGAAAAGGTAGGAAAGCCACTTAAATGCTGAACAATAATGGATTTACTCAGGCTTAACCACAGATAAGACACTTTAATAGACATATAGCCTCTCGTGGCTTATTACAGGGCAAATCCTCAGAACAAAATGACAACCTGTGTAAATGAATAACCCAACAGGATAGATTTTTCACCCTCAGCTTTAATATTCTGGTTTTCATGCCCAAAGGGCTAAACCAACACATGCTGAGTCAGCTTATACACCGCTTTAAGGTTGTTTGTTAAGCCACTCGTGACGAATGACTGTGATAGTAACCTTTATAGACATGCTGAGGACCAGTGGCTCATTGCTTCTCCTGCCATTACCTCTGTCCATTTGCATTTAAAGGTTTTCGAGTTCTCCGACTCCTTCAGAGGTCAATCAGACACAAAGTTGCGCTAAATTGCATGAAGTTGTGTGAGAAAATGACAAATCATGGGTAATTGATATGAACTCTGATATTAATTTTGCTCAAAGAATAATTGTGACTGCCACAGTCAAGCAGCCCTACTGTGTGATTAACAAATAAATTAAAAATGAGATGAATAACTGCATTTTCCTGCACCAATGCCAGCAATGAGACACCTCTGAATGTAGGCCTTTAACAGATGGAGGGATACAGCGAGAGGGTGGACAGCTTTGCTTTTCACTGACATAAAACATACGTTGCACCGTGTTGGGTTTTTTTCCCACCAAGCCGCTGAGACAAAGCACCGGTCCACCCACGCAAACTCTGCAGTCACTGTGAGAGCAGGAACAGTAATTAAGCACAGTTAAGATCCCGAAACACCAAAGGAGTGGGGATGTGAGGGCATCTGATTCACTGAGACAGTAATATGAATACAGGAACACTTAACATGACCCACAGTGCACACGGCTGGATCGATGACATGAACACACAGGGAATGACTAGCAGTTAAGTTGACTTTTAAGCTGAATGAATTCACCATGATTCACCGTGATCTTAGAGGGAAAGTCCGGCGTAAATTTAAGTAATGGTCAAACACACTGTAACGCAGAGTTAGACACCCTCTCAAGAGATGAATGTTGCCGACTGCTTGCTTCTCTAGTTATACCAACTTCAGCAACGACCGCACGATGGCAATACACAGTGGTCTACGTCTGCACACGTCTGCACAAACTTCGTCATCAGTACATATAGGGTCCCAGCCATAGTACTAGCCACCAAACATCTTTTAAGCTTTGCCTGGTTTCTTTAGCAAAGAGACCAAACACAACTCACCCTCTCCTCCAGCAACTGCCTGTTTGTTGGGTGAGCCCTGACGAGTCCATTACAGAGTGAAGCGGAGTTTCACAGCTCAAGGAAGAACATTTATGATCATTACTTCATGGAAATGCTATCAGACCGAGACGTTAAGGCAGAAGAACTACCGTGTACCCCGTAGACCCTAACTCAATTTTACACTGGAACATCCCTTTAATGTGACACGGATAGAATCATAGCTTAGCAGGAAGTACCACGGCTAAGTCATCTCTTTTCTTTAGTCTGGGGTCGATCTGAAAAATGGATCAAACTATGATCCTTAATCTGTGACATGGACCAAACTGTGAGCTTTGTGATCCGCTTCATCCCTACTTTTTGTACAGTCACTGCACACAGAGGACCTTAGAGAGTTTGTTTCAAAACCCCAAATGTCCAGATTATCTGCCTACACAATGAAACCCCTTTAACAGCCAGACAAAACACATTTTTGGGCAGTGCTTTTATAGTCTGGTCTTGTAGGAGTTTATTTGTTAAAATATGCATCTTCCATTTTAATGAAGTAAGAGTCATGATCCAATTATAAAAAGTATTTGGCGTCCATCTCTTTACATATTTGTTGCTAAGAAAAAAAAAAGGTTCCTAAGTTTCCTTAACGTCTGTTTTTCAGGGATTTTTCAGCCCAGAGTAGCCACAGGGCCAAGATAAAACTAAGCCAAAGATAAATATGATTTGCAAAGATTAGATTGTTATCCCAAGTTAAATCCTTTGGTTATTTTCTTGGAAATCGCCTCATCAACTGACAGCAGCACCGCCTGTCTGAAGGCCAGTAAATCTTGGACTTATGTGTTGTAAATATCATCAATAATTCAGAATATTACAAACAACTATTGAACGAAACTGCAAGAAACAACCAACAGTAAATGAAACATTATTTGACCGAGTTCTGCAGTAAGATTTGTCTTAATGAATTCTTTTGAAAACTGGTCTCTCTGGCTGAAGCAAAGCATTACAAAGTCTGTTTTTATACATTTTTGGACTGGGCAGTATGAGTTCAAATTTTAATCACAGTTTTCCCTTTGCTTTTTGCAGTCACAGGATTATATCCCAGTGTTAGAAATTATGAAGGAATCGTGTAAACAAAAGTTCACTTGCTACTTACTGACTGACAAACTTGGAGAGACAAGGGCGCTAACTTATCTGATTACTGTGCCCTCCTGAATCACCAGGAGGCTCTTCGCTGAGTGTGTCTGCGACTGTGAGCGACTCTGCTCTGACCTGAATCAAGTCTTGTTGTTGTCACTCAAAAATCAGTTTGTTACTTATTTTCTACCTGTAACTATGGCTGCATCAGTGCTGGGGGAAGTAAACCGCCATTGTGTGACAACTACATGCTTTATGTGTGTGTGCAGAAAACTCAATATGTGTCTGCCTCCTCCTGCTCCTCTCCCTGCTCTCCTCTCTCCACCCATTGCTGCCTGATAGTTTTCCCCACAACATGTTAAGGATGCAGTGTCTGAAGTGAAGGTGAGAGCTGTTTGAGAGGAGGGGCCGCACCCTCACTCTGCTGTTAAAGACCCACTCCCATAAAAATCATGTTTTTCTTATTGTCTGCATATTTATATGGCATTTTTCTGATGCTACAGAACATATCATGAGAAAAATAAGTGCAAAATTGCATTTCTGAGTATTTCTGCAGTCAAATCGGTGTGAAACTCTGGCAGACCCAAATGGCAGGTTCAGATTCAGTGAGATTTCCTACGTGGTAGGGCTGAGCAATAAACTGAAAATTTACCGACACTGAAATTTACGACAATAACCGACGAAATTTTGCCCATATCGGTATATTCAATGTCAAAAAAAAATAAATAAAAGTTGGTTTTGGATGTGTGTAGGTAGGCTATGGTCTCATGTCCCTTTAAGAAGCTGTCCTACGTCAGAGACTCCACCCCATCCAGTCCGTATGAAAGAGGAAAAGACAGGTGAGGAGATGGAGGACAGTTCAAAAGTTGTAGCTGCTGGAGCAGCGGCTGAAGCAGACGAAGTTAATGTGGGAGGGGCTGAGCAGCTTGTGAAGAAGTTATCGTCCATTTATCGTTATCGAGGTGAGCTGCTCGATATATCGTGATATTGATTTGAGACCATATCGCCCAGTCCAACTAGGTAGCAAATCCAAGCTCTGCCTCCAGAGCCCCACTATGCAGGCCAGTCTGGGAGAAATACAGAGGACAATCGCGGAACAAGCGTGTGCGTAAGCGGATTGTAATGTTCATAAGAAATCTAATTATGATACCTGCCACTTCTACTACACAGACAATGTTAGGCTAAAAACTAACGTGAAGGAGAGTGTGCAGAGCAGCGCTGTCTCCGCCCATGACTCAGAGGCAAATTGCTAATGATCTACTGGAGCTCTGCAGAAGAAAAGTCCTTAAAAATGACACGGATAATGCGATTTTGGCTAAAAATGTCATAATCACAATTTGAAGACCACTGATAACACTTTAGGTAGTAAAAAAAAAATGATTGGAATGGAACTTTAAGGAAAAGAGGCAAGGTGCGCTTCATTCAACATATAGGACGTAACGGGGGCAACAGCAGGTGGCACAATATTAAAATCTGATTAATTGCCCAGCTCTAGGGGATGGCACTGAAACTAGTTCACCACCTATCACTGGTATGTTCCCAATAGCTCACAAACTGCACATAGTTTTTTCACTGACTGATTGATATTGTCATAAATCTGGTGGTGACCACTTCAATTGAAGCAAAGTTTAATTTAGGTTTGAGTGCAGTCACAAGAGGGACATGGTGTCCCATTGTGTTTGTCCTGCGATTGTCTGGCATCAGGTTGACACCTCTGATTACTGGCACATCTGGATTCTGGCAGCAGAGGTGCACTGTCCCATCACTGCCAACACATTATCATGGACAGATCTGTGAGCCAGAGCGGTGACACAGCAGCAGAGCCCGTGTACAGGAGTCTATTTTTAGTGAATACACAGGGATCAAGAAGTAAATGAAAGTGACGTGCACCAACACATGCATGCGTGTGCACATGCCGGCTTAGTAGGTCACATCTTTCAAACTTTTTCAAAGCAGATGGGATAATAAATCTTGCCAAGGTAACCTTTTCCATAAAATACATATTTTCCAGAGGCTAAAAGAGTCACCTAATTATGTGAGGGTCAGTTTTTATTGTTGGTAATCTGTGAATGTGTGGGGGAGTTGAAGAGTGCTGCAACAGGAGAGAGGATAGCTTTTATAAGTGGCTACTCAAAAGAGTCTGGGTTGTAGCAATGCATATAAATTATGCTGATGTTCTCCAGAGTCATTTAGGAGGACGCTTTACAGTAGGTAGTGGTGCCTGACCCTCACTCGAGCACTATTTAATTTCTGTATCATATAATGCCTCTGTATTACATAAATAGGACAATTATGTAAATGATAGCTATTTCCGCATAAGAGATGTGGCTGTTGTTTAGAAATGCAAGTTGATCTGACAACTGACGGTGAAAACTCTTTGTCTTTTGGAAAAGAATGAAAACAAAATCTGCTCACAGAATGTTAATCAGCGAGCTTTGTCTCCTCTCTGAAATGGAAATGACAAAAGCATAACCAAACATTGATGGACTCAAAGAAGTTCAATAAAATTCAAATTAACTACGCTCACTGTCGGATTTGCAAACATATTTCTGGTCGGCAAAGGCTCTCGAGATGGGAAGAAAGGAAAAGGTGGTAGTGCTATAATAAAAAAAAATGAATGATTTGTACGAACAAAAACTTGCAGTGTTGCTGTTGAGTCACTAAACCTTGAGTCTGAATCAAGTCTTGATCCAAGTCAGGGTTCAGTCTGAACCACTAAAGATGAACTCCATAACAACAGGATTTATAGAGGAGACTGCTGCAACCCTCCAAATTACTCACTCAGCACCAGAATTACAGGCTGGTTACATAAATTACTTATATTTTTGTTAGTGGAACCAAAGACCCAATAAACCTGAACTGTCATACATTATGGTGGAAGTTAGGGTTGGGTGATAAATTACCGTTTACGATTTATTGTCAGAAAATTCCTCCACGATATATATTTGCAAGTCTCACGATAAACACGATAAATGCAAGTTGATGATGTAAGCATCAGCGACGGACTTGCAGCCGTACCCCACACAGACGAGTACAATCAGGTATGCCTGACATCGGACAGTAGATCTACTCACTCTGTGCAATAAGAGTTTTCAATTAATGTTGAAAATGTTTTCACATTTCGCTAGCTTTCTCTATAACCTAACACTTCAACTTGTAGTTACATATCTTATTTGACTATGCCAATCGGTGTCCTCAAGACAGGATGAATCAAAAACATAGACTGGAATTATAATATTTTTAATCAAGACTTTTATCATTACAAATCTTATCATGCTAAATTTTTTAGCCCCATCCTTAGCAGAAGTGTAGCACAGCCACCAGCCTCGAGCCAGAGCTGTAGTTTGGTTCATGGCTTCTTCCATAACTATAAAATGCATTATTACATGAATGTAAACAACAACACACAACAGACAGCAGCTCAAACTGCTGCACAGGTGTGAGGATGTTATCCTATAACAAGGACTTAAGGTTAGAGGTCCAAGCTCTGCTGGCATTAGTCATATTTGACAAACCAGTCTGGCATCATTGACATTAACCTGAGGACTCGATGAACCTGTGTTCAGCTGTGTTAAATCAAAAATCATGCTTATTATCTGCAAGTACACACTGTGCCTCCCTTAATGGAGAAACGCACCAATCTGACCTCAAAATAAAAACCCTGAACTGACCCTCCATGACCCAACCCACTCCCCATTAATCAGAATTACCACCAAAACTCTTCATGCATTACCATTTGGGATTAACATTTAGTATCTGGTTCTTTCACATACCGAACATGTTGTGCTGCTCCTGCTTGAAATCGCTGTACAAGCCAAACATGACTTGTCGAGTCTCTTGAGACTTCCTGGCAGGAATTACTGCTAAAAAAGACTGCAGGTGAACATGTTTACCGGTAAAAACAGCCAACATTTATTCCAACATAAATAAATGATCAAGGCCTTGTTCAAAAACTGATAGTACAATTAAAAAAAGGGTTTACAAGTCGAAGTCCTCCTCTCCATCGTCAAAGTCTGAATCCTGGACTTGAGTACTCCAACACTGCCGTCTCGATTAACCAAAAATGATGTTTACATGTAATGTCGTTATTATGGATTATGTGTTTCACAATATGTCAATTATTTAACAGCATCAGCTTGGTTAGAGATTGAAAGATTAAAACATGAAGTATTGGATCATCAAGAGTTCAACACTGACCTAGAACGAAGTGCAACTGATGTTCTACTGCTGCAGGTGTGCTGATGTCCTTCCTATGTGAGGACAGATTTTGGGTTGAATCTGTGAACAGCTGTGTCTGGTATAAAAAAGTCAAAAACTATGAGTCATGTTGGGAAAAAGGTACATCAGAGGATTAAGTTTTGTGAGCAGACATTTCAGGGTTAGAGACATTTCCTATGGAGAGTGGCACCAAACTAATCTGAAAGTTTGAGGAAGGAAACAAAATCTATAAGAGAGAAAGTGACAACAATGGCAGTCTCATTTCCATACAAAAACCTTCAGACCCTTCCTCACCTTCTTTATCTGGTGCACTGTTGCAGAATAGAGGAAGTACACAGCAGGCTGGCCCTGTGAGGATTAAGTTCATGCTAAGTGGGACTGCAGGAGTCTCAGAAAGTCTCCGGGCGGTGATTGCTTCAGTTAGACACTGAAATGAGCTTCTGCTGACCACAGGGGACAGCAAAAATCACCCCGCTACAGCTGGACTCCGTGTGTGTGTGTCTGCATGTATTCGTGCGTGTGTGTGTGTGTGTGTTTGTGTCATCAAAAAGACTCCTCCATACTTTGCCCACATATCTCTGAGCCCGTGGCTGTTTAGACAGCGGGGCAGCAGGTCCAGAATCTTATTACCTAAGAGGAGGCTGAGCAGCTGGCCGCCTCTTCAATTCACGAAATCTCAATATCTGTTGTTTTCTTATATTTCTGTGACACAGGGCGGCCACCACTTTCTGGAGAATATATAATAATATTGTGGGTTTCGGCACCTTAAACACTGCTTAATGTATTATGCTATATTCTGGTTATTATTATTATTATTATTTATATATTATTTATTATTATTAAAGGCTTCGGCCACTGGATCTGGACAATGCTTTTGATGAAGTTTACCTGCAAATTGTGTCATCTCATGTTTAGCTGTGTTGAACAAATTATGATAAATTTGCAGTAATTTCTGATCATTTTCTTACCTTAAGAGTAGTCGGTCTGTTGAAATCTACATTTCTATTTAAAAGTTAAATGTGTAGCATCTACCAGTTGGTAGAAATGGGGTACAATAATGTTGTGTCCAAGTATGTTAATCATTAAATGTACATCACTGTAATATAAATATCTTTTTGTTTGTACTAACTTAGAATGAGCCTTTCGTATCTACATAAGAAGCACGTCCTCTTCCACAGAGGCTGCCAACTTGAACACTACCTCAAAGCAACCAGGAAACAAGTCGCTCCAGAACATCCTTGATTGAGATATTCTTCCCATAACAACGTCTAAATGTGTTGGCGGGGTGTGCTAGAGTACACCATTACTGGAAAGTTACAGGCAGTACACACTAACACACGAATTTACTCTGAAATAACAAACACGATCGACTACAAAGAGCTAGTTTTAGGAAACAGCAATTAGAAATATTTGTGACAAGTTTTTGGTCCCTTTTTTTCTTTTGTGATGCTTTCCTCCCTCTGTTAATTAGCCAAACAAAGATAACGCAACATTTCAGGACCTTCCCAGCAAAGAGCAAGCAGAGGTAAACTACTTAAAAACTTTCAAAGTTGTGGCTTTGGGGTTATCTAAAGCCAAAATAGTAAAGTAAAGCACTACAGAGCCGAGGGGATTTCAGTGGCAGCGGAGACATTTACTTTTGAGGCTTGCTGCGGTGTTATGATTAGTTTCTGTGTTTTAGCTGACTAATGATTCATTTTCTGCTCCAACAGTCCTTCCTGCCTACTGCAGCAGCAACAATATTTACTTTTCCCTGTGAAAAGCATGTTTGTGCTCGAGTTTACAGGAGGGAGGTATCTTTATGTAACTAACAAAGCAAGAAATCTTTTCATTAGTCCAGACGACGGTATCTTGCAGGCTGACCTCGATGTTCAATGTTCCATCACCAATACAGCTAATATCTGAGGCCCGAAAAGTGGATGTTTTTGTGGTTTAATCTCTTTATTTTTAAAAGAAATGCTTTCTTAACAGAGCCCTCTCTATGCAAAAGTTCCACAGGGGTTGTAAAAAGGCTTGACCCCAATACTTTGGGTTTCCACACTTCATTTGAGAGTGCTTTTTAATTATTTAGTCTGCAGCCCTGGCTGAGGTCCGGCTGCGGCTTGGTGAGAAACAACACTCAGAGTGCTGAAAAATGGGTTTGAGCCGCTAATAGCTTCCGTGATGAATCTCGCAGTCTTTGCTTACTGTGTTACTTGAAAATGAGACAGCGAGGCTTTAATTCTGTGAAGTGAGGGGGAAAATATTCTGATAGGACGTGCTGTGTGAAATGATGCACAATGTGTTCAAGAAAGCTGCGAGTTTGCTTAAGCTCATTTTGGTGTGTGTGTCTGTCTTTGTATCAGTGAGTGATTTTTGCTGCTGGTTTTCACACTGACCGCACCTCTTGAACCAATCAAACCAAGCCCCTCTGCTTTTATTGATATGTTCATGTGTGGAGTTTAACCTCTACACAGCTAGGCAAAGCTGGCACACCAGTGTCTCTGCATACCAGCCACACTGAAGTCTCCTGAGCGTGTGTTTACTGCAGCCAGACTGATTGTGACCTTGATTGCGCCCCCGTCTGCTACCTTCCAGACTGAGTATGCTTGTTTTTCTGAAAAAGAACAAGTATGCAGAAAACTAGATACTGCAATCTGAATTTTTTCTTTTCCTGTTCTCGTTTGCAGCAGTTCCATATTTAGTAGTTTGGGCCTTACTCTGTGTGACGATATGTCGGAGAAGGTTCATTTTTAATTTGATGAATTTGTTTTTCAAAAAAAGTTAAACTTTCTTTCCTTTCCTTTTTAGTAATTTGTTTATTTCCGCTGCATAAATCTAAGCTTGTTTGCCTTTCTACCAGTCATATTGCTCCTAGCCTATTATAAAAGATGTTTTTGACTGACGCTCTGAATAAATCAAACAGGGTATGATTAGTTGAGTCATACAGCATGAAGCACCACTTAAATTACTAAAATCATTAAAAAGTAAGAACCAAACTGCACCACCTCATTTAATTCATGACTAGAAGTAGTCCTGTGTGTGGACTCTTCTCTCCTCTTCTCTCTGACCTACACACTCACAACACTACGCTTCAGTTCACACACAAGTGAGAGGAATTTTCAAGGAATTATCAAAACAGGCTGCACCATGGAGAGTTCATTTAAATGTGCTGAGTTTGACAGACACCCACTGCATCCAACGTTGTGCTTGAGTAGACCTGAGATAATTTAGTTTTCATTTTATTCTAACAATATGGATAACTGACACAGTACTGACATTGCCTCTCAGGTGGTCAGAAGAACATGTATGAAAAATAAATCCAATCTCAATGAAAGTAATTGGAAATGTGTCCGAAAGCATGTCAGGTGTAACATGCCAGCCTATATAAGATTGATATTTAAAGTCATGCAGATAGTTTTTGTGGTATCATAGACTTCAATAGATGATTGTTAAATTGTTAAAACTGAATGAGATATTTTTTGACAGGTGATGGTTAAAAAGACTGTTAATGAACCCTAAATTTATAACTAATGCAGTTAATAAGTGAGGAAATGTGATCTGGGGTGTTATGGCAGAAAGGAAGGTAGATTTGGGCATCATCGGCACTAACATGAAAATCGATTGAAAACAAGAGTGGTCCGGGAACTGACCCATGGGGTACCCCACAGGACAATCTTACACAGTATGACTGCAAGTTTCCAATAGCACACTAAAAAAACCTCCCAGTTAAACAAGTTCATGATTATGGGATCAGCTTAAAAACAGTAACTTCTGGCAAATAATGCTTAATATTTAATGAAAATATCAGTCGTTTAACCTTGGACTTCCAGCCATGACACCTCTCGCTTTTAAAATGTTCTTCTCTTCTCTTTTGCTTTCTTTCTAAAATTCCATTTAGGCACTCTGACATCTCTGTTAAACTGTTTTTTACGGAGTCCCATCTGTGAATGTGTGGTTTTAAGCCCACGTGTGGAGCATGTTCAATAACAGAGTAAAAGTAATTGAATTCCCTCTAAAAGGTTAACAGACTCAGTCTTCTTCTTCTTCATGACATTTTTGTCATAAAAACCCTTAAATCGATTTGTAAAGCACCTATTGTCTCACCACATCGAGTGCTGCTCTCAGACTTGCAGGCAAAAGGCTAAATAAAGAATGCTGAAAGTAAGAGGAAGGTTTTTTCAGTGAAAGAGTAATAGATTCAAAGTCTAATAAAAATAAGTTTGATTTTTTTATATAAAAGAAAAACTTTGGAATTATCCAATTACAATTTTACAATTTATCTTATTTTATCAGAATGTGTGTGTTTAAAGAGGAAATATAATAACATAACATAACATTTTTAACAGACATTATGCAACATGATGTGGAATTAACATCAAAATAACTACTTAAAGAGATTTAAAAATGGGTTGTTGTTTTTTGTTTTTTTTTTTACAGTATTTTACTCCCCCAATGTGTGGAATGTTATTGGGTTTAAGAGTTTCTGTATAAAAGTTAATCCTTGTGAGTCATGGCTGCGCTACACAAGCCTTTGGTTACACAGGAAATAGTTGTTCATAGGATTTAATCGTTCTTAGTGTGGGGCTTTTCATTTGATTATAATTTCAAGGAGAAAAGTCTTTTTTCACTCCAAGGTTAAGGATCATTAACACAAACTTAAGGGTAGGAAATGCTGAAAGCAAATTTCTGCTAATCTCATCTCCCACTCAGAGGTTAACTGGCTAGATCTTCATTGAGATCACGATTCAGCTTTTTCGTAGACCTATTATACTCATCCTCACCTTTTATCATATCAGTCTGGGACTCCTTGAGAGTGTATTGTTTGATTTGCAGCCCATAAAACTCCACATCATCTATGGCATCAGTGAAAACCCTCTCAACAGTACTTACTGCCCCATTTTTGGCCACTTTTCCACTAATATGTGGGTTCTACTTTTTACACAGCTTCTTCGTCATCAAATGTCAGAAAGTGACAGGAGCTAGCTGTTAGGGCACACGGTGGCTTCCCATTTAGCCACATTGGCAAACTTAGGCTGTAGCTGCATCAGCTGTTGTTGTAGTATTAGTTAAAGTTTGTGGCCCCAGCTTTCTTGAAAGATCCATGCACCATAGACTGCATATAGAATGGACACTGTCTGCCTCCTCTCTGGGTAAAGCCACCGCGAGAACAGCACCCTCTGGTGACCGGCTGCAGAATAGGTTATAAATCCTGCCTCCTCCAGCAATCCCTATGGAGCTGTGGACAAACTTTAGAAATTAATTGAACAGAATATACATTTTTCTCCCCCCTGCTTGCGGTGTTGACATGTAGTTATTGTAAGACTGGTTTGTGCTCAAGTCCTCTTTTTCCTGTGCATCTCCGTTTTAAAAAGATATTAGGGGGTTCATGTTTTCTATGATTGACACTTGACGCAATCTTCATACACCCATAAGCTGTATCATCACAGTGACTTTCCCACCTAACGCGTATAATGCCACTGCACAAGTGGTGTTTCCAGGAAGTGCAGAAAATCCCGAATATACCGAGAGCAATTCGGCTTCAAATTCATATAATGATGGAAGACGGAACCAAGTTTTCAATAGTATATACAGTCTATGCTTTGCACACTGAACAGCCCCTGGCTTCTGTAACAGTTGTGACCCAAGTCCAGCTAATACAGGCCTTTGTTTACAACAGAGTCATCAGTGACAAGAGGGGGCACAGACAGCTACATTCTAGTCCCCAAACCATGAAAACTTTCTGCCCGTTTCTGGTGCCTTTACCTTTGAAAAGAAGAAATAGCTGTGACTTTCCTTCTCTGAGAGTTGCACGTCAGTGTTATTTTGGTTGTGAAGTATTAAGTCAACACAGTGCAGTGAGGCAGAAAAAGACAAGCAGTCAGGGCAGACTCTCCAGCTGCTGGTTGGGTTCGTCCTTTACCGTCTTTAACCTGTCATCAGGTTGTGGCCATGTGTGAAAATGAGCCATTAAGGCCTGGAAGGCATGTCTGGGAACAACACCACCATCCCTGATCTCATGTTATGGGACTTTTCTGCAGTTTAGTATACAGATCCAGCAACTTCAACATTATATGAATGTATTTCAATGAAAATTAGACTACTTTTTGTACAATTGTTCATACAGACAATATTCCACCTCTGAGAGCAGAATATGTTGATATTTTTTCAGTAAGAAAGGTATAAAGGGGCTCCTTAGTTGAGAATATTATTCCATTTTTTATCCAAATGTTTTGACTCTGTGGTGCAGCTGTACACAGATGGATCCACAGAGTATTTGTATATGTTTATATTTTAGGGCTTTACTCTGGTTTACTTTGCCAACATTCATTACTGGTGTCATTGACTGTATTCATGTGACCATCAGGCTGCTGAGCACACAAAGACAGATTTACAAGGCAGGAAATAAACAAATGAGACCATTGAGCAAACGCAGACATTAGCATTTTAACTAAATATGAAAATCAGAAAGTTTAAATGTGATTTAATTTTCTTCTCTGCTCTTTCCATGTTTTTTAGAGCAGAATATCAACCCTGACCCTACAGTACATGACGAAAGCTTCATGTGCTGACTATTTTCTTATTAAATTTCAATTAAAACACAATCTGATACACTTCCACAAAGACTTCAGCCTTGAAAAATGACGGAAATTATGTTGAATACAGACTTCCCTTTACCCTTGACAATAATGTAATATTTAACAATAATACGTTCATATTGAGGAAAAAGACATTTCATTAATGGAGGAGTTCATTACACACACATTTTTCATCTAGGTGAGGGCTAAAGGGCAATCAACTCTGTGCTCAGTATTGTGCAAAAAACTGAATAGAAAATACACCACATTTATGGTTAAAAAAAAAAAGACCAGAATTTTGCTGGATGGCAAAGAGCAGCAAAGGATTTACATATAAATGTCTGCGAGAAGAAGCCCAATTTCAATCCTTGGATAGCAAACAGGGGGTGTGCAAAGTCTGAAGAGGGCACCAAATCGAACATTGATGCAATAAAAGTGACTGAAACAAGATCTACGGCAGGATTATCAAACTGACTGATGAAATCTGTGTGAAAAGAGCCGTTTTGACTTTCAGACTTTAAAAAAAAAGATCATTTCTATGATTGAAGGTAAGAAGAATAACCTGGACCACACCGACATGAAGAAAAAAATGACTAAAACATGAAATGAACTACATTTTTCATCATCTTTATACCTATGATATTATACTGCATAGGTGTTTGAGTGCACATCACAGCTGCCCCGCATTCCCCGTGTCTACTTGGTACATCGGCTTTGCACATCCCCAAAAATAACTGCAAGATGCATGAATGGTAGGCGCAGTGTGGAGGCAGAGGGGTGTGACAGGATCAACAGAGCAGCAGGGACAACAATGCCTGAGAGTTTCAGGAAAAACCACAAGACCATGTCAGCAATTATCCACAACAGTATGATTTGTCATCATTACAGCAACAAACACGCCAGTTAAAATAAATGGTGGCAAATCAGGTTCATTTTAGAAGTAGACGTGGAAACCTGCAAAAATAAATAGAGGCAAGTCCAGGACCATTTATTTATTGCAGAGTGGGGAAACGCTTTTTCTACTGTGATCTCAGATCCAATAGTGTGCAAAAATCAAAACTATACATCCAAATGTTAAATACTCCCTGAGCTCTCTGGTGTGCCCTCTGGTGTGAATAGTCAACTATGTGAAAAATATTAATGTTATATGTAGCAAGAAAACAAACAAGTAGCTACACCTCCGGCTCAAGTTGTACTTTAAGTTGTACAAACCAAATTCCAAAACAGTTGTTATGCTGCATTAAATGAAAATGCAAAAAGGATTTGGTGTTTTTCAAATCACTTAAGCCACATATTCAACTAAAAATAGTGTGAAAAGAATACCAAATGTTGAAAATGAGGAATGTCAAAATTTATGAAAATATATTAATTCGATTCTGGCAACACATTTTAAAAAAGCTGAGACAGGGTTATGTTTACTACTGTGTTGCTTCCCTTCTCTTAACAAATCTTTGAAAACATTTGCGAGCCCAGGAGACCAGTTTCTGAAGTTTTGAAAGTGAAATGTTGGCCCATTCTTGCCTAGTAATAGTTCAGAAACTGGTCTCTTTGTTTTTTGCTTTTTGTTTTGGTTTCAAGATGCACCAAATGTTCCCAACAGCTGTCAAATTGAGACTCATGACAGGCCTGTGACGTACCCAGACTCCTCTTCTTTACAGCCATGCTGTTGTAATATATGCATGATGTGGTTTGGCATTGTCATGCTGACTTATGCAAAATCTTCCCTGAATAAGACATCATCTGGATGGCAGCATTTGTTGCTGCAAAATCTGTACTTCAGCATTAATTGTACCTTCCACACCACGGGCACAAATGCATCTCCCTTCTACAGTATGACAGATGCAGTCTTTTGAACTGTGCGCTGATAATAAGCAGGCTGGTCCCTCTTGTCTTTAAAGCAAAGGATGTAGTGTCCATGATTTCCAATAAGAATGTCAAATTTTGATTTATCTTCACCAAAGTCCACCTAATAGGGACAAAGGCCCAGAGAAGTGACAGATATTTCTGCCAGTCATAGTTTTCTACTTGCATGGTAGAAATTTTTTACCTGTGTCAGTGAATGGAGCAACGAAATATTCATAGACACTGTTTTTTTTTAAGGGGTTTTGAGCCCATGCTGCAATTTTCACCACGCAGTCTGATTTTTAATAGAGTGCAGGCTGAGGGCCCAAAGATCATGGCCATCCTGCATTGGCTTTGGCCTTGTCCCTTTCGCACAGAGATTGCTTCAGATTCTCTGAATCTTTCAATGGTATTATGTACTGTACTTGTAGTCGTTGCAATTTTATGTTTCACAAGATAACTCTAGAATTGCTTAACTATTAACTTACGCTGTCTCTAAAAGTCGTGAAGCACATGCGCAACTAGTGCATGGAAGCTAGGGTATTAGGAGAAACAGATAAATCAATCTTTATTTTCAGGGTTTTATATAGGGATGTCCCGATACAACTTTTTCACTTCTGATACGATACCGATATTGTAGCCTTCAATTTTGACCGATACCAGTATTTAATCCGATATTGGCATAAAATTGTGCATGACAAGTTTTTCACTCAGCTGCAATGTCTTTTTTGGACTTAAACAAAAAATACTGCCACAAGGACATCACTCCTACTCCTCGCTACTTTGTCAGTACCATAGTACACACTGTTGTTGTGATTTCGTGGGCTTAGTTTGCTGAATCAGGGCGCTGCTAGATAGAGGTGCCGGAGTGGAGTCTTTAATGGACTGCTTGTATTGGAGTGCTGATACCGAAGATTTTAGATACAGGCTGATATAATCCGATATTCGTTTTTTTTGCTGATATCAAACCAAAGTCCTATTGGGACACCCCTAGTTTTATACCAAATCAAAAAAAGCAAAGACCCCTTCTAAAAGCACAAGATTGTCGATTGCCACCTTCATAACACAAGAAGAGTAATGTGAAAAGCACCAAATGATATTTCTCATCCAATTGTGTGGTATTAGCTTGCTAAATTACCCTTAAGAAGAATGTTCATTTGCACATAAAGAGAGGCAAGTAAGCTATCCAACCCTTGCATGTGGCTCAAAAGGCTTGACAAACATACATAAACACACCTGCGCATGATTTTTTTGAGGGGCGTTACCATATATCTGTAAGAATATTAGATGTTTTATTTGTCAAAATGCTATAAGATTTTTTTTTAACAAACAGAAAAAATTCCCCTGAAATAAAATGCCTTATCATAGTTTTTCAAAATAAAGTATGCACAGAGGATTGCCATTTACTTCAGAAATGAAGTGATTTTTTTTTCCCCCTATTTTTCTGTTTTGGTAAAAGAAAAATATGCTGGAACAGTGGCCTGACTGAGGCTTGCAGAGCAAAATGAATGATTGCATTGATGACCATGACTGCTGAATTGGGAAATGGGTCAGACATGACAGAGAATGAGCGCTGTGTGATCACGGCTGGTTTACTCAGTGACAACTTAGTGTTAGCTGAGCCCCAGGCTCTGTGTAGATGGCTGTGCTTCTGGTATACACTGAAGAATTTTAAAATCTGTGGAGAAACAACAGGCAGTCAGCACTGATGTGTGCCTCTTGTGATGGGTTGTATAGTCTGAGTTGTTGTAAAACATGTCATGACCTTGTACTGAGCAATATTGCAACCGCCAGCATTCAGTATTCAGTGAGGCAAGGAGGAAAATAAATCAGAGGTGAAAGATAAGAAAGGATGTGAAGGAAGGAAAGCACACTCACCCAGACGCTAAATTCTTATGGGAATTTGTGGATTGTTGCAAATATTTACAGCAATTCTGCTTTTTGTAAGGGACATAACTCCATGCAATTCATATGAAATTGCAGGGCTTCAAATGAGAGGTGTTATTATTATGAACTATCTGTTTATTATTCAGTGTTTGTAAGGGGTGTGCAGCTCTCCTTTACAGAAAAATTGTTAAACTACTTGCTCACACAGTTTCTAACAGAGTTGTGAACTTTCACATCCTTCCTTCTGAATGCAGTCACATTATGAACCTGCACAAATGAACCTGACAAGCAGGAAAATGCTCCTTCAGGTCTGCACAGCTTTTTCAGTTTGTTTTCCCTGACCCAACTTTTTTTAAACATGTTGCCAGAATCAAATATAACCAAAAAAAATTAAGTTTAATCAATTTACATTTGTTTTCACATTATTTTAATTTAAATATAAGATTTAAATGATTCACAAACCATCAAAAGCTTTTTATTAGTATTTTGCACAGCATCCAAACTTGGGGTTGTATACAGAAATCCAATTTCCTCTAGATATCTACCTTCATTGGCTTTGCAAAGCTCTGCTGGCACCTGCACCATAGCACTTATTTCCCCTGAGTGCACAGACATTTTCCCCTCTTGTAAAGCTTTGCTCTTTATTTGAAAGTTCTTGTTCAAGTTTGTCCCTAATTTGAGAAACATTTCCATCACAGCCTGTTTAATACAGTCTGTTTGGTACAGTGCAACTCTGATTGAACGTAAAAGCAGTATGTCAAAAGGCCATCACTCCACACACTGTAAACCTCGGCTTCGTTGTAAATCTCAGCTATAAAACTGGCTACAGTTGTTGTGATAACCGTAAACTCCACCTTTGAAGGTTTACAGTCTACATGACTTGATTTCCGAGGTGGAGACTTGATTGCTTCGTCAATCTCAGTTGTTGTTGTTTTCCCCTCTGAGCCAGCCAATTCAACCGTACTGGACATTTATATGACAGTTATTCTTTTGAAGGGAAAAAGGTCTCTTATATGACAGGTATGCCACTAAAAAACACACTAAAAAGACAGCAAAACCTCAATAAACAAGAACCCAACTTTGAAACTAGGCCACTGAGCTGTTTGTGAGACATTTTTACCGGGTGGACAGGTGCATTCAGATGTTACAGGGATATTCCGGCATAAATTTAAGTTATGGTCAAACACACCATAACACCGAGTTAGACACCCCCCCAAGAGATGAATGTTGCCAACTGCTTGCTTCTTAGTTGTTATAACAACTTAAATAATGACCGCACAATAGCCATACCTAACCCAACTTTATCAACAGTAAATATAGGGTCCTAGCCATAGTACAAGCCATCAAACATCTTTTTAGCTTTGCCTGATTTCTTTAGCAAAGAGACCAAACAAAACTCACCTACACTCTTCCAGCAGCTGCTTGTTTGTGGGGGGGCCCTGAAGAGTCGATCACAGATTGCAGTCAATCATTTCCTTGAAGTAATAATCATCATAATAATCATTTTGCACTGCAGATGCAGTAGTTCTTCTGCCTTAGCGTCTTGGTCTGATTGCATTTCCATGAAGTAACAATCATAAATGTTCTTCCTTGAGCTGCGAAACTCCGCTGCACTCAGTGATCCACTCGTCAGGGCTCCCCCACAAGATGTAGACCGCTGTGTATTGCTGTCATACGGTCGTTGCTAAAGTTGGTAGAACTAGAGAAGCAAGCAGTCGGCAACATTCATCTCTCGAGGGGTGGGGGGGGTGTCTAACTCGGTGACACGTGTGTTTGACCTTAACGTCAATTTTCGCCAGAATATCTCTTTTTTATCAAGATCAATGTCGGATTCTAAATCTTTACATCTCTGGTGAGTATCAATCTTCTTGTTGCGAAAGTTTAAAATGTCAACAATATCCAAAAGGCTTTCAATGCGAGTTTGATGAATGTGTTTGGTTTTTCATTACAACTCAGCAGTTTTTATATGTTAGAGTTGGCACCGGATCTCACTATCCACAGAGAAATCTCTCTGTAATGCCAAAACCGAAAGAAGGAAAACAAACCATCACAGCAAAACTCAGTGAAGAAGAATTGTTTTTGTAATTGCATAACATCTTTGTCTTATTTTCTGCTGTGGGGTTATTCAGAAGTGTATCTGTCTGCGTCCTAATATTACGTCTTCGCTTTGAGTATAGCCCTCTGGTTATGCAAGCTGTTGTGATTTATTATCATAGTTTGTATTGAAATCCTACATTTGACCTTTAAGGCAAGTAAACATTTCACCAAGAACATTTCAAAGATTAAGAAAAGTTTGAAAAATCACTAAATAATAAGAAATGAACAGCAGCAGAATGTTTCCTATCACAATTGTATGCAAATTGTTCTGCTTTGCCTCATGTAAATAAATCTCCCTGCATAAAGCATGCAAATGCTTTCTGCCCTGAGCTTTAAAAGGTCCGGGCTTGTACCAAATAAAAATGAGTGTTTCTTTCCTGTCTTTCATCTCTTACGAGCTCCTGGTGTCCCTTATAGAATTGTATGTAAAACCAGGTCCAAACTTGACCTCTTTTGTAATTAATTCACATACTTCGCAGCGATTTGTAGACAAAAATATCTCCTACAGCTCGCCGCGGAGATAGTGTTCTCTCCTCGACAGATGAATTCAGCCAATCCTCAGTGGGAGACTAACACTAAAATCGTCCAAAAAACAAATATCTGAAGTGGCCGCTGAATTTCTCACCCTGAGTCTCTACGTCCTGTGGGTAAATATGCCAATTTTCTCCCTAAATTGCTGTGTAGAGGAGGTTATTTATAAAAGAAACACAGAATAAATTGAGATGCTACCAGTAATAGGTAAGGTGTGGGTGTTTGGAAGAAGGGAATGTTAAACCAGTACCCTGGGACCAGATGGTGGCTCCATGGTGTAATGACTATATTCCTGCTTTGGTTCAAGCTGCCCACACAGGGACTTCTTCTAAAACAGGTTGGAGTCTGCTGAGGACTGACTTCATAATAAACTAGGAAGGATTTTGTCCAGGGTGTTCTTGTTGGCCAGCAGGCAAAACAAAAAGTTGGAGCTCCTGAAGCTGTGTTGAGAAAACAGCATAACTGGATTCGGTTTGTTTGTTTTATGATATAAAAATATGAAGGAATTGTAATTTCCTAATTGATGTAGGATTTAACGTGGTCTGGTGTAACTTTTGCAGCTGTTTTCAAATTAAAAAGCAACACCAGTGCTAATATGAAAAGAGTTCAAGTGCCTCCTTTACCCAAACAGCTCCTGAGTTGTTTCTTTTTCTTTCTGTTATATTAAATTATATAAACTTCAACCACTCTTCCTCATCCTAACAATCTTTGAGGAAACATTTTTGCAGTCTACATCTCACTGCTTGACTTCATTTCAACAGGTTGTAGCTGATGCAATACGAGGCCAATCACCCACCCCATAAATCTTAAAATACCTGCAAAGATCAGCTGCAAGCAAACTAGATGATCATACAAGAAAAAACGAATGAAGGTACAGTATCACCACACTGACTTGGTAATTTTGGACAGCACCCTAGGAGGTCTTGAATACCAGTGCCCAGCTCTGCATCACCTCTTCAGCCAATATTTACTCCTGCAGAAATGTGCAAATACTGATTTTTTAAGCTGTTAATCTGCTGATAACGATATCGTGCTGTTGTTATTGTACATCCCCAATAGTTTTTTTCTTTATTGTTGCTTCGGTATTACCTTTAACCAGTATTGTAGTTGAGTTCAAAACCCTCAGGTCCAAGTCGGATCGTTCAAATACAAATTTAGGTGTTGGTCACCAAATAAGGATCTGGGCCAAGATAAGTTCCTGTTACAAGAGCTATAGTTCAAGTTCAGGTCAAGTCCTCATTATAATTACTACTATTTATTTTATATATATGTATAAATTGTTTTAAACTAATCAGTGAATGAGCCTCTGCTGACCATGTGATACTTTTTAATGTTTAGAAAACCCCCTCATTCAATAGCATCGGGTCTGTCTGTGTGTCTGCAGATCCAAATATTCAATTTAGTGACAGCGCTGTGCGTTATATGCAGATGCACACCAGAACTCTCTCAAAGTGGAGACACGTAAGCTACTGCTGCAGTGGAACTACTGCAGGTGTTTGATAAACTCAAAAATATCCTCTGGTTGAGTCACCATAGAGACTCAGAGTACCAATTAGGTTGCTAACAGTAACATTATCAACACTGAGAGGAAAAGGCGTATTTAGTATTTCACTGTCTTGGTGCACCCTGGACTGATGTCTCAGTCTAAGGCTGTCCTCATCTTTTCCTCCATGTTACTTTTACGTATTGAACATGTTGCACAACTCTAGCTTACATTTGCAAAAAGAGAATCATTAAAAGTAACAGGGAAGAAAACTGCATTTTAACATTCATTCAGATGAATACTCCTCCAGCCCTTGCTTGAAACTAAAGGGTATTGTTCTAGAAAAACTAACAAAAATACAGTACTCTTTACTGCACGTTAGTTTTCCTTTCCATCTTCTGAGTCCTGATGCAGCCAAAACTCAAGCTGAGCTCTTAGATGCAGCAAGCAACTCAATGTGCCAACAGTAAACGACGGCCTGACATCCCTTTCAATCTTTTATCTTTGAGATTCACAATAAAACCAATGACACTTTAAGGAACAACATGAGCAAAACACCAAGTGCTTATTTTACCTGTTCAAAAATGAATTCCTCTAACACATGGATTACATGACAGCAGATATTTCTAAATGTGGCCGTTTAGATCACACATAAACAGTTTGGAAATGTCATGTGGAGCAGACGTCTGTCACGTCACACACAGAAGGATGCTCACTATGAAATGACTAAAGCTGTTTCTTGCTTTGCCTGCAGGTGTTTTCATACACGGTACCTATTAGTTTTACTGTTGGTGGTAGCGTTCATATGTTTACACCTGCTTCTCTGAACTTTGGGTGGTATTTTTCTACAACAGGTGGCATGAGTTGGCTCATGTCCCGTCTGCTAGTGAAAGAGAAGCCCCACTTTCTTCCCCCAGCAGTGCATAAAACAAAATGTGATAAATATCAGGAAAGACAGTTCTGAAAAACAAAGAACTTAGCTGCTGGTTTCAGAATGGTCAAAAAACATTTCACGCTCTGCTACTTCACATCAGTCAGACACAATTGGGGCTTTCCTTCTCTTTAACAGGTCTGCATCCCTAAATTAGCGCTGTAATTGGACGGTTAGCTTACATTTGTTAGGGCACAGAGAGGTAAAGAGGGACACGCCGTGCATTGTCGTATTACAGCCCTTTGGTGAAGGTGACAGGTGGTGAACAACAGCTGGCTTCCCATGCTGCTCAGCTCCGGTCAGACCTGTCCAGATCCAAAAACTCCCATCTGCCCTGGCTGGCCACCAACCTTGCCTGCCACTATCTCTTAGCCTGTTTTCCTAACAGTAGCTAACTCTGCATTTGTTCTGTGATTGGCTACTTGGGTATCTCTGACTGTGTTTTATTCCTCTGCCTCTGTATCGAAAATTGAGTTTTTAATTGTGTTAACATGTCCATGTGGCGCTTTTCTCTCCTGACGAATGGCATATTAGGAACGTAAGGGGCAGTTAAGGGTTAATTAACAGAGGGGCAGTATTGTGGTCATGTCTACCAAACCTCAGACCTGAGGCTCAAAGTCTGAGACAGAGTCAAGTCCACAGCACCAGAGAAGATGTGAGTCAAGTTCAAGTTAAGTCCTCACTACCTGATGAATGCTTTAGATGACCACAGTCCAACTCCTATGAAAAAAAATGATTTATCATATGAAGGGCTTCGAAACTGATTCCAGTGGGTGGCATCACCAAGAACATGGTTGTGTTTTATACAATCTATGGTCCAAGTCCTCTTTGCCACCTCAAGACTTCAAATGAAGTCCATGAATGTGTCTATGTCATTCATGTTTGAGTCCAAGTCCAGTTACAAGAAAATTAGGTACTACAGGTACCACTACACTGCACTAACTGTCTCCACACACCAAGCGCGAGTAAAATCATTTGTGCAACTGAATTAAATGTTAAGTCGATGCAAAGATGCAATTAGACGCTCGTACTACTCTGGCAGCACAAAAGATGCGAATTGGACGGGAGCTGACTTGAGCGGATATTCACGTCAGCACAAAGGTTGCCGGACTCTTGTTCACTGATCATGTCGGTGTGTGGGTGCCCGAGTTATATGATACCTTTTCTCTCAATTACTGAAACTGGAATAAAAGGAGCTCGCCTGGAGGCAAGTGAGTGAGGAGTTCGGATTACCTGGTAAATTGTAAAAAACTTTTGTCTATCACTTGATCTCGCTGGTTGAATTGGCTGGGGTTACCATTGAAATTACCGTTGATGTGCAAATGACGCAAGTAAATACAATTCATTCACGCATCTTGATTTGCGCAAATTAAGCGAGTAGATGATTTTACTCGCTCTTGGTGTGAGCGCCAATAAGACTCCTTGCTTGGAAACCAGTTTACGAGATAAAATCTGAATCTGGCTGATCCTATTAGCTGTCATTGTGGCTAATTGCTAATGTAAGTCAAGGGGTTTCGGAGGACGTCCTTAGTGTAGCTCAGATGTAAGAGAGACAAGAGCTAGCTTATGGGACCACAGTTCATGGAAGTCTGGAAACACCTTTTTCTATTTTGAGCCAATTGCTCTTAAATTTATTATGTTGTAGACCATGAAGTGTAATGTGAGCAAGCTAGAAAATCCAGACCCGGGGAGTATTATCATGTCCATTAAGCTGGCATTCCAAATAAAGACAGAATAAAAGAATAAAACCATTTACATTTAAACCAGTTTATGAAAAAAGGTGAAATGTGTTATGTTTGTTTATTAGATATAAGCTTTGAGGTTTAATCTACGGCAGCAGAGGGACTCTTAAGAATACGCAGAAAAAATACATGAGGTAAGCCTTGAGAAATAATGAGAAAACTCGACTCTGTGGGTTTATAATCTGAACATCAACTTGAGACCTTATGAAGAGCTGTAAGCTGCATAGTTTCACAGCCAGCTCCTCTCCCTATAGTTAAAATATCAGAGTGTTGACAGGGTAAGGTCAATAGATCGCACTCCCTTGTCTCTAATCACATCACAGACTAGACACTGAAGGCAAACAAAATACCAGCAGATCTCAAAATAATAGGTCATCGGGATCGCTGTAATGTATCAATTTAGTCTGACTTTTTGGACCTCATTAAAGTTCTGTTGACATATTTGGTTTATATTCCACACATCACTAAGCTGCCCAACGAGGCCAAAGCAAAGTCTAAATGATAGACCAGCTGCTTATTACACAGATGGGGCTATTTCTGTGTGAGAGGGGAGGATTGTTTTGGTTAGTGGCAGCCCTGGCTCTTTTTTAAGACCTAGCCAGGTATCCCTAAAAGGTGTCCTCTAAGGCATTTAGAAAGTGCTTTTAATCCTCAACTTATTACTGCTCCAAACAGGATCATTCTGTATCTGACTCCATGTCCTCTAGCCATCAGGGCACTGGTTTGATAGACCTGGTCTGCTCTGCATGCCTGTAAAATGATTCCCCATCATCATCTCGCAAGCTGAGCCCTCCGTCGGTGCTGTGATGTGCTCATTTCTCGTGGCAGAGCAGGGAGGCCAAAGCACTCAAGCATCTTAATTGTCATTCAAACTCTGAGTAATTTATTTGTTCAGCTCTTCATCACAGGCTCGTCTCCAGGGCTGTAAAAAGACAGCACACCTAGACAAAGTCCTTTTGCAAAGTGGGATAAATCTTTAGGGATGGGTGATGGTTCACAATTGTCTATTAACATTTAGGGGGATCTCATTGCAAAATTGTGATTTTCTTTGGTGGAGCTACTTTGTCTGAGTACCTCGTTAGATCAAAAGCTAAGAAACTCGGTAATTCAGTAAGTCAGATAATAAGGAGTTTAGAAATTTTCTCAAGATCCTCTGGGAGAGAACTCTTATCATTTACGGTTTCTAGCTTAATAAGAAAAACACTTCAATTTTCTTTATCAAATTGGCTGGCGGCAAGTTCTAATAGATCTTCACACTGTCTAAATGTGAGGGTCGACAATATTTATGGTCGACTCCAAGGATGTTGAATTTAAAGGCACACAACACAACTCACTGAAATACACACACACAAAAAAGATGTGAACTGAGATGGTTTGATTGAAAAATGGCTCAACTAATGTCAGTCATTTAACTTTAGAGGTCAGACAAAGAGGACTCACTATTACTGCTCTCTAAAATTTGATGACATCCAAAGTAAAGCAGCTTTTATCTCTGACAGATCCAGTGAAGGTTATTTTATTTAAGTTGGCTTAAAGCTCGGCTACTGTCTTCATAAAGACTGAAATGTTCCAGCCCACTTTGTCAGATATTTCTGCTGCTCCACTGTTTTGTACAGATTAAACAGACGCTGTTAAACCAGGTTTCATTTGACCATGCAAGCTGAATTGATTTTTACTTTATTCACTATTAATTGATGTTGAAGGGCTGTCAAGAAGAAGGCACTAATAAATACATAAAGCTCCTTTTATAACACGACTATGATCGTGACCCCTGGCCAATCTTACACTTTGAGAAATCATGGAGCAGTGCAGCAGTTATGTTGTGGGTGGGAAGCAGAAACAAACCTTGAAGAGCAGAAGTGGGTAAAGAAACATGTCTTTGGAATATTAAGTTCATCTTCAAAGTCCTGTCAGGTGGTTCTCTCCACAATACCAACGTTATTTTCATTTTTATCTGCGTTTACTGCCAATTCGAACAAAGTTACTACAAACATACGTGAGATCCCGATACAACTTTTTACTTCTGATACAATACCGATATTGTAGCCTTCAGTATCAGCTGATACCGATATTTGTTTTTTGGCTGATATCGGATCAATATCCGATATCAATAAGGTATCGGAACAGCCCTATCTGAAATACCACCTTTTAACTGAGCACAGATGAAATTCCCCTACCAAAGACAGGCCATAATAGATAGTTTGCAACAGACAACAGAGTTTGATGATAATTAAAATGCTGGATGCATTTGCACCTCTTCCTTTTACATTTTCGTTTGATTGTCCCATTACATCCTTTAAACTCTGTCTTTTATGCACATTATGTCTCCAAACCTGCAGAGAGGATGTGGGGACATCCCATTATTAAAAGCACATAGCAATCTTTGGTAGACAAAAAAATGCTAACATAGTTTGCAAAAAGAATTTGGCGAGCAGCCCAGGCATCATCGTTGTGTGGGAAACATGAACAAAGCACACTCAACACACAACAGGATGTTTAAAAAAAGCCTAAATCATGACAGGGAGAAGAAATCTAAACTGTCTTTTGGAGACCCTGCACCGTCCCCCTCAATCTGTCTCCATCAGAAGCCAGACTGTGGTCAGCTGGGTCTCTGTGCCTTCAATTGCACCACTCATCGATTATAAAAGGTCGCCTTACTAATGAGCGAAGGTCAGCCCCCTCTTCATCCGTCAATGTCTTCCTCTCCATCCTTTCTTTCCTGTGAGTTTCTGTTCCTCTCGGCTTCTCTCCCATTGTCTGGCGAATGTGGCGAGAGGAGGAGGACATGTCAATGTTATCAGCATGCAACAGACGACAGCTTTGAGGGAGACTGTGACTTTCAGCTGCTGCCCCAGTGGCTAATTACCCACAGTCCTCGACGGGTGGACCCCCTACTCGCTGCGTTGCAAAACAAACCGCCAAACTATGGGCGGCCATTTTGCACAAGGGAGCCAAGTTCAGTCCTGACTTTCTATTTACAGTTTTAATTATGGACATGGTGAACGCTGAGGAGCCCATTAGAAGAGTTTCACAAAAGACTTCTCCCTTTAGGTTCATGCGGTCAAAAAAAAGTCACTACTGCTTTTCAAAACATTTTTTTAAAAGCGCTTTTTTTTAAAAGTAGGTTTTGGACAAGAGTGTTTAATGTGTGTGTGCCTCATACTGGTATCGATACTAGGGATGAGCATTTTCAGAAACCTCCACGTTCGAGTAATCTAATTACTTTACGGACGGGTGCTCTGCCTCCTAGCTGGGTGAAGCCACCCTGAGAACAGCGCCCTCTGGTGACAGGCTGCTGTATAGGTCATAAATCCCGCCTCCTCCAGCAATCTCCCTCTGGAGTTGTGGACAAACTTGGTTTGTGCTCAAATCCTCTTTTTTTCTGTGCAGCTTCATTTTTAAAAGTTATTAGGGGGTTTGTGATTTCTATGATTGACACTTGATTCAGCCTATGGGCGTATTAAGTTTACTTAGCTCACCCGGGGATGCGCTGTTGGAGCCGAGCGTCAACACAGCGACTCTCCCGCCAAATGCGTACAACGCTACTGGGCTAGTGGTGGTTCCAGGAAATGGAGAAAATCCTGGAAATACTGAAAGAAATCTGGCTTAAAATCCGTATAATGGCAGAAGGCAGAGCCAAATTGTCCATACAGTCTACGGTCAACACTTAACAGCCCTCGATTCTGCTGCACTTTCCTCAAACATTTTCCCACTCTCGTAGTTATTGTTCGCCGTGAAGGTGGCTTGTAGTCCAGCTCAACAAACGGCATTAGCTGACTAAAGCCTTCACCTTCCACAGACTTAAAGGGAACATGTCTCCAGTCACCACTTTCATTATTAGCAGGCTAATCTTCCCCGCTTTGGTATCATCCCACCAGCATCTGCTAACAAATGCGGGCTAGATATCAAGGTGTCTGTGTCCACAATGTGCCATAATGACACCTCTTAATTTGAGAAAAAAAAAGCAGTGTCAGAAAAAAACTCTCCAGTTATATTTTGCAAAACTAAAGAATCTGAAACAGGCAGCCCTGCCACGCTGGGTCTGAAATCTCATCATAGTGGTCCTGCCGTCTCGCTGGGTCTCACACCTTCAAGCCTTTGACTTTTTAAACCAACACACATGTGGCTCAGCAGACCTTTTCCTGTCAACCAATAAGCTCTCATTTGTAAAGCACTTTACAGACAAGTTAACGTATTAAATCAAACAAATACCTCTCTTCACTAGCATATAAAGCGGTAGACCAATAACTCTGTCATTTATAAAGCAGTCAATAACAGCTGCATTCAGGAAATAAAATCAGGAACTGTGGAACGGCTATCATAACTCTCATCTATTTATGATGTAAACAGAAGGGACAGAGTAAGAAAACGGTCTCTGGTGGAAACTTTATAGTACTGGATGTTATGTCATCACTGGGAACATATAGTGATGACCCTCCAGCTCTGGCCTGGCTTAAGGGTTTGTATCTCTATGGGATGCTGCTTGTACTGTGTGTCTCCCACTGAGCATCTATTCTCCTCTCAGAGAGCATTATGTCCCAGCCTTCTTAATTCTTTCTCTCTCTCCCACTCTGTCACTGGCTTTCTCCCACAGTTTCTTTTGTTTGGTTTGTTTCAGCTGCATGTCTTTATTGCACACTGTTCAAGGCTACAGATCCATGAAGACAACTGAGCTGACCAATTCAAATATTTGGGTGATTTATTCGGAGGCGAATTTATCGAAATGGATTGTTGGATCCGTCCCCGAACAGCAGAACACTTTATCTTTCCTTTCTCTTAAAAAGCGTCAAAAGTAGAAATCTATCCTGTGTTCTAAGAAGTGAAAACCCAACATTATTTTTTGGAAGTCATGGACACTCTGTCCTGTCTTCTGAAGAGGGGAAGGATCACCTGGCACATTTCAAAAGCCAGCATCTGGGGATGATTCATGGGGATAGCTTACACATCTGAAAAACAACATTAGAAGGAGGGTCTGGGTACAAAACTGGTCTGCCTACAGTCCAAGCTTCATGTGGAAAAACTGCAGGCAGCTCAAAACCTACATCAAGCAAGAATGGGACCACATTTCACTTTCAAAGCCCCCAAAACTGATCTCCTCAGCATCCAAACTTTTACAGTGTGTCGTTAAAAAACAAGGTGATATAACCTTACGATAGACAAGCCCTTTCTTAACTTCTGTGAAACACGCTGGTGTCAAATTAAGAATGAGCATGCTTTCTTTCCACTATTTTCAATTAAACACTGTGTCTCAATGATTGCAGACCAATGTCTTTGGAGTTGGGGTTAAGTGAAAAATTATTGCTTTGCTGTGATGAATTATAACACTAATTAAAAGAAACTGATTAGTGTCAACATGACCAATTAAAATCAATAGTGCTCAAAGTTTGGTTAGAATTACTCAGAGTGGAGCTGCGTGCATCCAAACAATACATGCAGTTTTATTGGAGTTCTAACAAAAATCCATAAGAATTAAGTAAATATTTAAGCTTGGCTTGTGCGTTTAATACCTTAAATCAATGGAGTCACGGATTCCATTAAATTTCCTTCAAGAGGCAATAAGTTTGATATTTACTGCACCAGGGCACAAACTGACTGTAATACACCTGGAGGGAAACGCTGATCAATACCAATAACTCTCTGTTCACCTGGTGTTATTTCACTTTCTGACCTGGGCTGTTTTTTCCCCAAACAAACTCCTCTCAGCTCACAGGAATATTAAAAGGACACCTTAATATTAGTGTCACTTACAGGCCACCATACTGGTCAGTCTAAGAGGACATTAAGCCCAAGTTAATTACAAGTTTGGATCACTCAGTACCCCTTTGAAAACTTGGTGTGATGTACTAAGTAGTGCTTTTCAAACCATAATTCACTGATATGAAAAGACAAGCCCATGCATTAATAAAAAACATAAATGTTAAGTGAAATTGATCTCAGAGCTCATTTTGCAGACACGCCAAACTAAAACCAGCAACCGCAGTTCAGTTAGCTGTCATCATGTCTAATCTTTTAGTCTGAAAAACCACTAATCAACAAATGATAGTCAAAACTCTCCACCAAAAGGCAGATGTAAGCCTCCTTTCTATCTTTTTGAGGCTTTTTTCTCAGCGGCCTTGTGAAAGGCAAAAGGAGCAGGATCATTTTCATCAGTATAATGAGCAGCAACTGATAAGCTTGCTGATGTGGCCTCGAACTTTTTGTTATGGTTCCTGTTTGAACCCCAAAACTACACAGACTTCAATTATCTATGTTTGCTCAAGGAACTCTGTAACAAACAGCAATGAGGAAAGATCACTCTGGAGAAATACACTGAGTTTAAATATCTTAAGAGCTGTAGTTCACCCAGCAACAGCTATGAACACACAGGGACCACAGGTGCAGGGACCAGATATTCCTGAGATTGCAATAATAAAAACTGAGCCTTGAGTGTCGAAATTTCTTAAAAAGGCTGATACTGGAACATTTCTTTCACTCAGATCTCAGAAGCTTTTTCCAGTATTTTCTAACATTAATACAACAGCTATAAATAGTCCTTACATTTGATAAGTCTTTGTCCTCGCTCATTTCAGATAAATAACAAATGTCAAGGTAAATGTTCGCCATTGTGAAAATGAGACAATGAACAGCTAAAACTACTTGGCCTTTGTGTTTCTTTCTTATTTCTATCAATGCAGCTGTCGATCAGCACAACAGACATGCAGAGGTCAAGGCTAGTTTATCCAACTAAGGCAAGAAATCCAGACATTATAAAAGTAAAAGTGATAGAGAGAGTTAATTGTTCATCACAGATTCCAACTCTGGGTACAACCTCAATATATGTTCACTACTTCAAGTGTTCTCAGTGGTCTTTAAATTAGGAAGTTTTAAGCCAAAATCATGTTACCTGTGTCATTTTCAAGGGCTTTTTCTGCAGAGCTCCAGTAGTTCATTAGCAATTCACCTCTGAGTCGTGGACGGAGGCAGAGCTGCTGTGCGCACTCCTCTCCTCTAACATTGCCCGTGTAGAAGAAGTGGCAGGTAACATTGGAGCTATTCAGCTCTTGGACACTAATGTCTTTGGTGACATAATAAAAGCTTATATCACAATTAGCTTTCTTACGTGCATTGAAATCTGCTAACGCACATGCTTGATCCGAGATCGTCCTCTCTACTTGTCCGAGTCTGCATTGCGGGGCTCTGGACTTGTGACGTAGGAAATCTCACTGTATCTGAGCCTGCCGTTTGGGTCTGCCAGAGATTCACAGCAATTTTAATTCATTATATGTCCTGTCACATCAGAAAAATGCCATATGAAAATGTAGGCAACAAGAAAAACATGATTTTCGTCGAAGTGGGTCTTTAAGTTAAAGCAAAATAAAGGAAAACTCACCCACATACTATCATATTGCGCCTCTTCCTAACAGCTCTAGGAATCTGGTGCAGCGTGTTTGCTGTTACACATCCACACTGTGCTTTTAAAACTTCAGAGAAGCTGATGGTTTCCAATGTGTGAATTCCTCGAGCTTGTACCCAGCTCCAGTGGTTTCTCTTTGATTGGACAAAGTGAGAAAGAAACCTGCCAAGGGAGTTTCTCGATTTCCTCCTAATGAAGCGTGACTGCTCTCCTTTACCAAGAAAAAACAAACTAGGGTAGGAAAACATGTGAGCTGCAGCCACAGAGATCTGTCAGCTGGTCAGACTGAGGGAAATGCAAAGAACTAATGAGCTCTTTTACATACTCTCAGTTTCTGTTAAAGTTACCAACCTTATAATGGTCACAGCTGACAGCAGCAATAAAGGTAAGATTTGCCTCTTTCCACATGCCTGCTTTCACATTGGCAGAGTACAGTGTGTTGTTCTGTTGTGTTTTGTACAATGTTAGGCTCAGTAGGGGGTATGCTGGAATCCAAATCGTGTTGGAAAAATACCATGTCAAAATTTGGGTCGTCTGTCTTTCCAAGCTTGGCAGAGGGACTACAAGCTGGCTGCTCCACGTGAATGTTTTTAAAAACAGAACCACTACTCTCTGCAGTTCTAGTTGAAGCCCGAAATGTTCAACCATATTATTCTTAACAGAACATGGCAGTGTTTGACACTCACCAGATGCTCGCTGAACTTTATGTCTTCACATTAAATGATCTGTCACAATACGATGTCACTTTACACTTGCTCTAGAAACCCAGTAAGCGGCAACACATGCCACGGATGTCTGCATTTCTCCCCATTAAGGTACTTTCTTTTTCAAACATACCAGTAATAAGAAAAACTAAATCATCTTGAAGCTCTATGAACCACAATTTGCTGTAAGAGAAGACATTTTTTAATACTTTTACTTTCAGCGTTGGATCAATTTACTGTTATTTCACTGTGCCAGTGGTGACCTGATTCTGCCAATTCCTTTAAAAAATCATAGCTGCTTTCTGCAAAACAAAACAAAACAAAACACAACAATAAATACACAAACCCACTTTTTGGTACTTGTCCAACATAACATGGCAGACAGATGTGGTACTGGGCAGACAATGTTGGTGACTAAAACAGAGAAGCACTGAGCAGTTACAGAGCCATACTTGTTTCTAGGAAAACAAATAAGAAATCCATTTAAAGTAAATACTCGACTACATGCAGGAGCTGTATGCTTTCATGTGAGGGAGAAATAATACATTTGAATCGGTGCAGACAATGGGAGCAGCAGTAGATTTTCTGTGAAAGGGTTAATGTGGCGTGAGAGGGTCATTATGCAAGATAGATACCTGCAGGGCGTCACAAAACTCATACTCGAAACTTAATGACCCGCTCCCTTTAAATTTTCCTGCCACTAACCAAAGATACAAACAAGTTTACAGGTTATTGATGTAAAGAGGGTTTCTTTTTTTTTTTTAATTGAAAAATGACTCATCCATGCAGTGAAAAAACATTGGTGGCGCCTCCTTAAACACTGAGGCAAAAAAAATAGTTTCCAATTTATCTGGAGAGAGCCAAGCTTTAGACTTGTGGTCAATGGCTGACCAATCAGCAGCTGAGAAAAGAAGATGAGAAACAGCGAGATACAGCAGGGAAGGTTAAAATCCATGAGGAGCTGAATTGAAGAGACATCAACCAAACTGATGAAAATGAGTCACAATGCGACCACAAATCACAAAACACTACAGGATTAGTCTAAAATGATTAGAGTTTGTGTCACAAGGCTGGTTCAGTGAGAGGTTAAAGCCAACAGAGGATGGAGGGGATGAAGACATGATGCAGATGCTGCACACTTGTGTTTTGACTTCACTATGTACAGTATGTTTAAATCAATGTGATTTATAACAGTAAAGCAGGCGAACCCGTTACTGTGACATAAAATCAAAATGCTAAGTTACATTTTTTTTCCTTCAGGTTGTTAGGAACACAGTAAGAGAATTTACTTTTCACTCCACTAGCCTCACAACACTGCTGATCCAATACCGTGTTGCGATTTGTGATCACTTGTGCCTCATTTTCTTCAATTTGGTTGATGTCTCTTTGATTCAGCTCCTTGTGTGTTTTAGCCTCCCCTGCTGTTTTTTTCACTCTGATCTTTCTTCTGCTGCTGACACGTGTACAGTTTCATGTTCTCCAAATGAATCAGCAGAAAGTCTCCTTCATGTTTTGTTATCATTGCTATCAGAAACTATTGTTTTCGCCACTATAACCATTGTTCGAGGGTTCTGACCAATTAGGATACAGTAACATGGCAGGTTATCATATCCTATTAAATCATATTATTACACTGATATAGTTTCATTGCCACTGGAACAGACTTGTTCATGCATATGTACATTTAAATCTGTAAGTTACTGACACATATCCAACGAAATTGAGAAAACAGAGGGAAAAACAGTCACATATCAAAATACTGAGGGCCCGCTTCACATTATGCGGCCATTACTTCACCTGATATAAACATTGAAGAGTGAAAGGTAATGACGATATAATCCAGAAAAGGATTTATACTATCACCAGGCACCAGGTTTTTCTCTTTCAAACAGGCCTCATATAAATTTTCTAAATGCACAGTGAATGGAGCTGATGTTTTAGTGCATTTAAAGTCAAGCGTTCATAATTTGGAGCTACTTTCCTGCAGTGTGTTTTACCTCTGATTAGTAGTATAACTCTGTGGGACAGAGACGCAAGAAGTTTGTAGAAGTTTTGTAATTTAGACTTTGATTAAGGGTGGAAAAAAAAAATCAAAACAAGCTTTCCAGCCGAATACTCAGACTGAATCAAGGACCTCTGCTTCCTTCACCTTTAGAAGCAGCAAAATTACCTAATTTACTGTCTGCAAACTCACCTTGAAGTGCAGAAACCAACAGATGCAGGATGTTTTTCAAGTCAAAGTCATCAGTTTGAAAAAAAGGAGCCATGGTCTGAAGGAAACGCTGCACAGGATTTTTCATGTATTCTGAGCTGCTGTCCTTCTAACGGAGCTCAAACAATAATTCATACAACAACACATATTTCACAGTAAACAGAAGAGCTGCCATCATTGTCATCACTTCATTGTTTGTTTCCATCCAGTCAATTATTTGATAAGGAATTTGAGTCACATCACTTCTGTCAATACAGCCTGTTTAAACAGCTGAATCATATTGACTGCTAATGAGAGATGTGGAATAAAAACATCGCTCTGGCTTTAATGAATGTATTGATGCAGTAAAGAGACACAAGAGAACATTTTAAAGCAGAGTTATTGTCGCTTTTGCTGCAGTCAGATACTGTAAGTAATATGATGGCCATGTATTTGCTGCTTAAGTTACAAGGTTATTTGGCAAGTCATTTTTTCCTAACAAGGGCAGTGGGTGCTTTTCCAAAATGTCAATTTTGTAATTAGTCTGGCTTTCAGTCAGATGGTTCAGATTCAGTAAGGGTCACATTTTTTTCCTCAACACATATGTGCAATCTCTCATTTAGAGTACAGACATGAAGATAAGCAAGATGAGATTTAGTTGGCTTTTCATCTAGAGGCAAACATGAGCTGAAACTTTGCTAATGAGCTACTGCTGATTGGCAGGTCACATTGGAGTCAAGTTAAAGCTGATTAGTTGATGCCACTTTCTACAAAATACACAAAATCTCACAGAAGTTTCTAGTAACCCATCCAGCAAACACCACAGGTGGGATGCTAATGTGGGAGTACAGGTGAATTTCTTTACATCTAAAGTATTTAAAAAGTTGTGTGATGAATTATTTATACCTGGCTCACTGAGTTTACAACTTGTTTCAAATTTCTTTGCTGACTTGCAAAACTCATTGATCGTCAGCAGAAGGAAAACATAGATTTGGTTCAACATACATTTTCATGCTTACTTTCAAGCAACTTACAGCTTCTGCTAAGAGTAAACAACATCCCACAAGCAGGCAGGGACAAGAAACAACATAATGGTGGCAGCAGACAAATCACCATAATGTCCTAAAACTTGTTCAGATGGGAGTAATTCACACTCAACACTGAAAAGAACTGCCTCAAAATCTGTAACACAGACCTTAGTTACCATGGGAGTACATCTGAGAGGAGAAATGAGTGTTTGGAGAGAAAAAGCAAATTTCTGTTTTAGACATTACCGCTAACATTCAGCCCAACAGCACAAAGCTGGGGCCATGCTATTTGATTTTTCTCTCATTTATATTTTCAGTCTCTCACCCTAAATCCTCTCTTATCCTTCCTCCTTTCTCATTACTCAACAGTGGGGTCAACACTGACCATGTCACTACAGTAATCACACGACACCCCAGAACGTACCACCTGTTTTTCATCAACAGTAGTTGTGTTTAAAGCCAAGATTTAAAAAAATACAGCTTGAGTAAAAAATTCAAAATTACATGTTCAGGTAGCATAAAACCCAAACAACGATAAAGACAGAAGGAAACAACATGTGTAAGAGACACAAACTACTACAAATGCACAACACCATCACTATGAGTGTCAAGCTACCAAGTGTGGAGTTGTTTACAAAGAGCTTGGCCAATAAGTGTCCCAGGAGTAGAAGGGGACTGTTTAAATCGAGGTGGTTGTATTAGCCATTCTACCAATTGGGACCAACAGAGGGAATAAGTCTAGGTAGTGACCATAGACTATATAGAGTGGATGCCGTCTGCCTCCTAGCTGGGTGAAGCCACCCAAGAACAGCATCCTCTGGTGACGGGCTGCAGTATAGGTCATAAATCCCGCCTCCATCCTAATGAAGTTGTTGACAAACTTTAGAAAAAATTAATTACACAAAATATAAATGTTTCTTCCCCCTGTTTGTGATGTTGACATGTATTTATTGTAAGACTGGTTTGTGCTCAAGTCCTCTTTTTTCTGTACACCTCCATTTTTAAAAGTTATTAGGGGGTTCATGTTTTCTATGATTGACACTTGATACAGCTTATGGGCATACAAAGGTTGCGTAGCTCACCCAGGGGATACGCTGTTTCAGCCGAGCGTCATCACAGCAACTCTAGGCGGCTCTCCCGCCGACTATGTACTATGCTACTGCGTAAGCGGTGGAGTGTGTACAATGCTACAGCGCAATGTTGGTTTCAGGAAGTGGAGGAAAATCGCAGAAATACTGACAGGTTTTACCGCTTCAAATCTGTATACTAGCAGAAGTCTATGGTCTGGGTAGTGACTCAGGGCCTTGTTGTGATGGGAGCACCAGTCGCCTTTGAATTTTGTGTGTTTACATAATTGTGGTGACCTTTTACATTGTTTCCTGGCATTTACAGGCCGATCAATCAGAGAAAGAGTCTATAAACGACACTGATAGTGTAAGTTGCAGTCTTTCGATGCACCCTAGATGTTAAGTATGCACACACATGTAATGCCAGGGGAGAAGAGGCTGCTAATGATTATTTCAGCAACTAGGGAGCAATGTGGCATGACTAATATGAATCCCTTAGTGATGCTTTTACCACACACTTCCCCCTTAGATCACCCCAAACATTAGGAACTGCTATTTTCCACCATGATGACAGTGTTTAGCTTGTTGGTTGTCTGAGCAAGAAGTTGTAAAATGAAGAACCACAATACTCTTGTTAATTCATCTAGAGAATATCTTATTATTCTGTGTAGATTCGTGATTACTGTGGTGGATTAACATCGAGTGTTCTCAGAAAAACCCCACACAGCTCTGTAAGTAGTTGCGGCCATGTTAATACTGTTTCCTCATTATGCTGAGAGCTGCAGGGTGTTCACTGCTGCAACAGCTAATATAATGCCATTTTAACTTCCAAATGTTGGTTTTTTTTCAGGGCTGAGGAGGAGGACTGCAGAGAGACAGTCATTAAAGTATCACCTGGTGTTGGTTAAAATCATGGCAAAACAATTCAGGCCATGCAGTATTTTAAAGTGAGGGTCCAAATCCTTTTTATTCCTGTTTTATTGCTTTTAATACAATCATATAAACTGTTTCTGAGATAGGCTGCTGATGGTACTGCAACTGCATATTTAACATCACTAAATTCAGGCAAGGCTGAAAAATAGCTGCTAGAATCTTATTCATTTCACAGATTTGACTGACAGAGGTGTTGGTGTAAAATACTTTGTCTGACTCACAGCTGCCTCAAGCATTTCTACTGTAAAGATGAATGGGAACATTAGGGATGTAGGTAATCAATTCATTTTAGCTGGGGGACATACAGTAAATATTTTAGCTTTCCTTCCTTCCCTCGTTCTTTCCTGTCATACTCATTTATCCACTGCTGTAGAGATATTTCTGCGGTTGACACAGCAGCACAGGGATCAGAGAAGAAGAAGACTTTCAGACTTCTGAGTCTCGCAGTAGATTATCAGAAATAACTGATACCGATGATGGTTATGCTGTAAATGTAACCGTTTCTGATACTGGCTTAATGTTATGTGAAAGCAGCCGTCTTCATGCTAATGTTCTTGAGATAACTCAAGTGGACACCATCTAAACACACGTCAGCACAGATATTTGGTGAGCAGCTGGTGAAAACAACACTAGGAGGCATTTAGGAATACTAATATCAGGAGAGCTGATTGGCTTTTCTCCATGGACAGTGAAGAGGGGGGTTTGAAATGGGTTGCAGAGTGCTGTCACTGGACTTCCACCTCCCCCTGCTGTAGGAGAGGTCACATGGCATCTGAGTGTGGAGGAGCCTCTACTTTTTCAACCATTATTCACTGTTAGTTCACTGCCTTTTTTGCAATCTGACATAAATAAATCTATACCAATATACAGATGTGGGACTTAGGGCTTTGACTTCATCACCTCATGCCAGAACTGCGCAGGCAGAGACAAAAATAACCTTTCACCTTAAAATCATATTGCAAACGGCAACTGGTGACAGCTTTTCTGTGGAACCTTCAGTGTGACCTTTCTCCAGCAGATCATCGGCACATAGCGGGGAATAATTTATCCAGTAAATCAAGATGTACTAATGTAAAACCAGAAATCCACCTGATATACAGCAAGATAGAAACATGAGCTGCGCAGAGGATAATTAATAAATCATATTTTCTGTTTTTGAATTCCCATTTCAAATGTAAGGCTACCAGATAAGCAGATGACCATCATAACATGGAAATCAGTGTAGTTTAATGTAGCAGAAATAGGAAACCAGCAGCAGCCTGGTATTTTAGATGCAATTATGATATGCAGAACAGAAAAGCAAGGTGTGACATAGCTTTGAGGTTGTATTCTGTGAAATATTAACTGAATATGAGCCGTGTGGTTAAAATGAGAATGCTGTATGTGACAGAAAGTCATTGGAGGTTTCCAGGAAACCAAGATCCCCTGAAAATATTGTTAAGATCTGTCCGTGTAACGATCAGGATGGAAAAGGCCAATACACTCTGCAACAGACTACCAGAAACAAAGGTGAAAACCCAGGGGAAATATGCAAAGCTAATTTTGTTTATTAAGCTCATATCCACTATGTAAACAAACAACATGAAGGCATCACAATGCACCTGCCAAACAACCACCAATAAACAATGAGCTTAGCCACCATAAAGTAAGCTCATTAACTATTAATTCCAGATGCAAACAAACACACACAAATAGCAAAAGCAGCAGCATTCAGAGCAGAAATTAACTGCTTAATTATATTGACAGAAAGCCTTAAAAGAAACGGGAGAACATTTCTGAGAAGCTGTTAAATAGCCAGCAATACAGCAGCCTCACACCAGATCACAAACAGCAAATAAGCACAGCCCAGACACAAACAGCGACGTTAATGAGCATAAACGGAAGTTACTTAGCTTATCCAGGTGAGGCAATGGTCCATGGTGTCCCAGAGGAAAGTGCCATTATGGTCCAAAATGTGCAGACTGCAGTGTTGGGAAAACTTCCACGGTGAAGTAAGGACCTTCAGCAGCCAGAAACCCCTCCTCAGAGTTGTATGTGCAGCTCAAACCGGAGTATTTCCTCCATGACACATCCTGAGGTGACAGAGTTGAGACGTTACAACGGAAGTGCTACACAAACGGATAAACGCGGTAGTTTGGCCGCAACTACATAAAAAACTATCTTAAAGTCCGAGCATTTCGGTATAAAAATGCTGTGTAACACTGAAATTAAAGCTGAATATTTAATATGAGTGAGCAGAGTCCCGAAAATGTTGGCACAGACTTTGGCTAACTGGCTACTTCAGAGCCCAGGCTAAGTTACGTTCACGCCTCTAAGACTCAACAGCACTTCTTTTCAGCTCTTTAAAATACACACAAGATAAATATAACAATAAAGTTTAAAATTAAGTCAGAATTTACTAACTCCTGGTTGAACCACATGTACCAAGGGCAAAGTCTTGATAGTTTGGGTTAGTGGCCGGTGGTCAGGTGTCCAGATGCCTCAGGTGACACCACAGGCGCAGCTAACGACAATACACGCCCACAATGAAGTACAACAATATAACATACCCATATAAAAGTCAATTTCTGTGGATATTTATGCATTTACGATGTAAAAAAACATGATCTGCTCCCTTTTTCTGCGATGGTTATCTCAGAATTGTAAAAGAGTTTCATGGATTAAAAAAAAAAAAAAGTGCTAATTTTTTCAGAAAAAAATAACTATTTCTTCAAGTAAGAGAAAACCTTGGCGGATTTTTAAAATGATTTACAAAAAAAAAAAAAAAACTAATTTTGGCTTAATTGTTCTATTAATTCAGACAAGCAGGGCCCTTTTTTTCTTAAAAAAAAAATAGAATACACTTCTATACAAAAAAAAAATTACATACGTCCCAAATTAAAGTATTATCATCAAGATTATAAAAGCATTTTTCCAATATACTATCAAATTTATGAATGAAAATCTCAAAATATACTTTTTCAATGTTAAAAATGTGTCATTTTTAATTAGTATAACCAATGAAAAAAACACAAAATGTTTTTGAATAGTCATTTAGAAATGAGTAATTTATCTCTCATTGTAGGATATGAACATTACTCAGTGGTAGTCTTAAAAGTATAACATAATACCTTAAAAATAACAAGAAATTTTCTCAATAAAAATTAGTGGGTCATTTTTATTAAGAAAATTTGTCTATAACAATATATTGTCTGTTTGTCAGTTACTATAGCAATGGTTACCAAGGACGTTGGAATTTCATATCATCACAGTGTTTTCTAGAATCTGTTGACTATATGCCTTGATGTGTTTTTCCAATATACTGTATTTCAAATCAACACATTAGTATGCTAACATAACAAGAAGAGTCCCAAAATTAATGAATGAAAATCTCAAAATATACTTTTTCAATGTTAAAATCGTGTCATTTTTAATTAGTATAACCAATGAAAAAAACACAAAATGTTTTTAAATAGTGATTTAGGAATAAAAATGTTTTCTCTTATTGTAGAATATGAACATTACTCAGTGGTAGTCTTAAAAGTATAACATAATACCTTAAAAAATACAAGAAATTTTCTTAACAAAAACTAGTGGGCAATTTTTATCAAGAAAATTTTTCCCTGTATTTATATTATCCACCATGACACACTTGTTTATAAGGTGTAGCAGCGACATCAGCATGGCGTGGTTTGTAACGTGCCAGCGCAGCCATTTTGACAGACATAAGAACACTTAGTGCATTGGAATGAATGAAATTAGGTTGACGTTAGGTTTTAAAAAACAACAATGTATTAGCTGAATGCACAGTAATGGAGAACAGAATGGAGAGAGCAAAACTTGGACTCAACCTACCGTACAGGGACACACTGAACAATGAAGAAAGAGAGCGTTACCTAAGCAAAATTGCGGACATTGCTGGACTCAACCCATATGAACACACTGTATGGTCAGAAGATGATTTCGAGGTGCTACCACCACTTAACCGAGTGCACATTACTGTACAAAGGCTGACAGCCTCTTAGGTGTTGTTATTTAGGCCAAAATACCTTTACAGGTATTTGTGTATTATATTAAATGTTGATTATGACTTAATCTTGATGAAGCCAGCTACACAGAACAAGTTTGGTGTTATTACACAAGAGAACAGTAGCTCTCTGTCCTGCACCTTGTGAAGCCAAAGCAGAGGCTGGAGATGGGCTGTAGCTTTCAGCCCACCACAGAGGAGGTGGGATATGATGTAGCTCAAGATGGAGAGTTCAGTTTAGTCTTCATCCTCCCCTCTGCTGATGCCTTCAGGCTGTCCAGAGCTTTTTTACACCAGTTTGTTTATCCAGCCTACCTCCCCCGCTGTGATGCTGCATGCCTCCCAAGTACAACACTAAACACAACACAGCTGATACATGCTGCAGAGAGAGGCTTTACAGGTTCAGTCAAATTGAAGGAATAAAAGGATTTGGACTGTTGTGTTTAACTTTATTCTGGGTCCACACCAGTCCATTAAACATCTGAACTGGTATATTTTGCTGAAACTCCTCCATGAAAAAATTGACAGACTGAATGTGTTTATGGTTGACTAACATGTTTACACGCACAGGTTATATTGACTACTTTCATTGCCAGGGGGCAGAATATGATCTTCAGTGGACTTTACCTGTTTACCTACAGGTGTAAAGCAGAATGAAATTCTTTAAATATTAAACATTTTATCCACACCAAACCGCAAGCTGCACTCGTAGTTTTGGGCCATATTTTTTTCTCTTCTTTTTGTTGTTCATCTTTTGAAATGTTTGCATGATATTTACATTTTCCAAGCTTATAAAATTCAGATGGGCTCTGTTGCTGCTCATTATGAATTATTGACAATCTGTTCAGATGTGCTGAAGAATCAAATTGTTGCATCATGACACTTTGGCTTGAAGGGAGTTTCAGCTCCAACTCGGTAATATATTAGTAACTTACATATAGATATTACCAGGCATTAGAAATGAAATCAGTGATCATCCAGTTTATTTAAAAGGCTGCAGTACGGATCCAACACACCTTTCAGTGGTGGCCGTCTTGGCTGTTTATGAATACTCTTAAGTCATGTTCTTGTGTTGCTATCTTCAATAGAGGACTGCATTTGCATTGGTCCATCTGCCACTAATGTGAAAGTGTTTTAAACGACAGGGTTTCCAGACCTACTTGTGAAAATTAACATGAAATAGTTGATGAGTCTGCCAGTGCGAGGCTTGTAGATAATACCAATCTGAGGGACCTGTGACTTATGAAGGTGAGCTTTAATAGCTTTGAGAGCTTCTGCGGTTACTGCTCAAAACCCTTGCCGGCTGCAATTGATATGTCTGCATCTGCTGCAGAGGACATGGCTAATTAGGATTTAAATTTCAGAAACATCACTGTTAATTCATCAAAATATACTTAATACATAATATACCAGCAATATATTTGTCTATAACAATATATTGTCTGTTTGTCGGTTACCATAGCAATGGTTACTAAGGATGTTTGAATTTCAAATCATCAACATTTGTTTTAAAATCTGTTAAGTGTTCAGCTTCAGCCCAGCAGTATTCAGTTCGATCAAGTCACTCGACGAAGACACTCACAGATTCAGAGAGCTGACAAACATTTTTCGAAATGGAGAGAGCACAAAAAAACAAAGGCAAAAAACGCCACAACAAGAACAAGAACAAGTTCCTTGTGTCTGCATTGAATCAAGGATCTGCACTGTCGTGCCAAAGCAAGATGCCTGCAGAGTCCAAGGACCAGGACACAGAAAAGGAGCAACTTCAACCTGAGTGGTCTGCTGAGCAAGAGCCATCTGCAGGAACACAATTCGAGGAGAAAGAACCTCAATGTGTTAAGGAAGAAGCCTGCGAGCCCGACAATCAGGAGCCACCAGAACCTGTCAACCCTTGGATAACTAAAATTTTCCAAGAGGCAGGCAACCAGATGTGCAGCCTGCATTTTGAAGAGGAGGAATTTCCTCTTCCCCAGAGAAGAGTGGTGAAGTCTGGGAGCATAAACGAAACAACCATGCCTCAGACAAACATGAACATCACCATACAAAATATACCTGAGGAGCCCCAACAACCATCTTCCTCAGAGGAGCCGCAGCATCCAGCAGCATCAGTGAAGCCACGGTGTCCAGATAAAACACCTCCACAACAACTGGTCAAGGAATCTGGATCAGAACTTCCTCCACAACTAAGACCAATGATCAACCAGCTGAAAACATTCCCAAAGATGCCCGTAGGCCTACAGATTTCTGAGCGGGACCTACAAAATCTAATGGGTCACAAAGAAAGGGCAAACAAGCTGGAGAAGGAGAAAGCGGCCCTTATAAGTGAGATTGAGCAGCTTAAAGACCAGCTCAAATCTCAGACAGCTGAGGCCAACCAGAGGGTGGGAGTCCTCTTGGTTGACCTCTCAAAGAAAGGCGCAGCAGAAAGAGAGGCTGTGTCTAGAGCTGCAGGGTTGGAGGAAGCTTTAGCAGCTGAGGAAAAGAAGAGGATGGAGGCAGAGACCAGTCTCCGAGAGACAAACAAGGAAACCTCCACGCTCAAGGCGGCACTTGCCCAGGCAAAATTGGACCTTGAGAACGAGAGACATCTGTGGAGGGAAGCGCAAGCTGCCCTGCTGGTCCAGCACGCAAAGGATACTGCAGAGCTGAAGGTGAATGTCCTCCAGATGCAGGAGGAACTTGAGGAAGAGAGAAACCTTTGGCAGAAAGAAAAGGCCAATTTCCTGCAGTGCATCGCCATCCTTAAGGAAAACCAGGAGAGGAAGCAGCAAGAAAACCTTGAGTCAGGGGACATTTTGATGGGCAGACTCACCCAACTTGAGCAGCAGATGGAGACTTTGAGGAAGAAACCAAAAAGGAGGTCCCTGAGGAAGAGGTTCCTACAACTTTTTAAGAGAACAAGAGACTCAGATCCAACCCCTGAGCTCTAACCTCCTCTTCAACATCCCCCCTCCCCTCCAACTTTCCTCTACCCAATGTTTCCTAACCCCTAATCTTTCCTTAACTTTCTACCACCCCCCATCTTTCTAAGCCCCCCTTTTCCAATCCCCCTTCTTTCCTACCCACCCTCCTTTGTCATTCCTTTTCCTAACCCTCCCCATCTTTCCTAACTTTCCTCTAGCCCATCTTTCCTAACCCCCAATCTTTCCTAATTTTTCTCTACCCCATCTTTCCTAACCCCCCATCTTTCCTAATTTTCCTCTACCCCATGTTTCCTAACCCCCCATCTTTCCTAACTTTCCTCTACCCCTCTTTTTTTTTTTTGTCCCGTCTCTCTCAAAAGAGAAATTTTGGACATTTATTTGTATATGAAGGAGTTCCTTCTTTCATGTATTTCTTGTAATGTTTTGAAATGTGTTTCGTAACAAAAATGGTACTCATGTTGTACCAATGTCAAAATAAAAGTCTGTGTACATGCATTTTCTTGATTGTATATGTTTATTACCCTTAGTGGGTTTCGGTAAATAACCACACCTATCAGCCTTTGTATAAACATGTGTGTCATGGTGGATAATATGGAGAAAAACAGCGGCCAAATTGGAAATGCTGACTTCAGCTTATCCTTTCACTGAGGTAGAAGTCAGAAAAGACATGAAGATAAAGCGGCCTTAATGAATCTTGGTTGCTTGTCAGAATCAGCCACACCTCAAATTATACGCAATTTTGACAATCTTACAACATATTAATCAAAACAGAGGAGTACAATAGATAGATAAAAATATCTTTCTCTTGTTTATATGTATGTCTTGGCTCCACCATTACAGTATTATTATAAAAACAGTGATATATTACTGATAATACTGAGTTTTTTTCTACTCAGAGTATGTAAATTCAGGCTGTACTCATTCTAGCCTGAGGTATGGTACAGGCAGCTGGATTTGAGCATCAGCTTTGCTACAAGCCACGAGTGTTTGGTTTAATTGATGATACATATGAAACTCTACAAACATGATGGGGAAGAAAAAAAAAGATTCTTTCAGCCATCGAATGACACAGTAGTTAGCTAAAAAAATCTGTGAATCCCAAATGGTAACTAACTTTTTTAAGGTAAACAAGTGAGTTTGAACTACCAAGCTGTTGTTTTGATAAAGAACCTCATTAAATGAAAATCAATCTAGTCATTTTCTAAGAAATATTCTTTTTTAATTTAGGGAGACTTTGTTAAACTTATAGGACCACTATTTGGTATTATCATACTTCATAAAAGATAATTTGTTTATCTCTCCATGACTTTTCAAAAACACTAATAGTTGAGGTGACAGATGTTGTGAGTGTGTTTTTTCATAGGCCACTCCATTAAAAAAAGATTACAGTGAAAATTTTAAAGATTTGAATTCATTAATTTTTGGAGAAAGAAGCCCCTGATTATGTTGGCATAGTATTGTGGTGATTTGAAATACAGTATATCTGGGGGAAAATGCTTTTACTTGCAAGTTTATTTAGAATTCTGGGATAATATCACATTGATTCAGAAAAACTGAGCAGATTTTGTTTTTTTCTTTCTATAGAAATAGACAAATAAGATAATAAAAAGACAAATAAGATTTTACTATAAAGAGTCTTTTCGAGTATTTATGATGAATACAACAGGGGTATCTGCTGATAATATGTCCAAAGAAAATAAAACCCCAGAAAGAATGAACAAAGGAAATTACCCTCCAAAAACTTACAGCTGTTTTGGGGTTGGCAACAGCCATTTTTCCTGCCTCACTAAACTCTTCTTCTTTTAAATTTGAATTTTTTTTTTCAGTGTTTTTTTAATTCTGAAAATAATTAACCTGCAGATTAAGCTTCATATCAGACACTAAAATTCTATTCTAAGATTCAGGTCACAGTGTCCATGGGCTGTTAAGCTGTTCTTTTACATCACCCTGCCATAGAGATGGACAAAAAAAAAAAAAAAAAAAAGAACACAGCAATTAGGCTTCAAAATACAAACCAACTTTGGACATCCCTCAATTGAAAACTCACATTGTTGACTCTTTGGAGGAAAAGCTGATATTTAATGTGAAACAATTTGTATTTTTACACGTTGGCTGGAACATTAATTTGTCCCCAGCCCACTTCTTTCTACCTCAAAGGACCACTCAGTTAATAAGCCTGTAATTAAACCTGGCTGTGATGGTTTCTGGTGTCCATGGAGAGGAACAGAAATAGCAGCAGAACTAACACTGGCTTTATGTCGTGCAGAAAAAGCCTTGGATTAATGTGGTTTGATGAGCTGAGAGGCAGAAACAGTCAGACCTCCATAATGTCCCCCTGTGTGGACCAAACTGTCTTTCTGGGCTCTGACAGACATGAAAGACTTGTCTGATGTTCTGACCTGTGAGTTTACCTTTTATTCACTCTGAACTGTATGTTCTTATGTGCAGCAGGCTTTCTTCTGATCTGGTCTTTCGGTGAATCCAACCATGAAAAACTACAGCTCAGCCACACCATCATGATCCTCCCTGTGTTTGATTTTCTCTTCTTTTGATCTATATTTGTAACCTTTGTTTTGTGCAGAGAGCTCGGTGAAATGCTGTTTAAAAGGCTTTAGCTAGAAATGTGACGTGAGAACAACAACATCTATAATACTGTTATGAAAGCCTGAAGCCTTATATATTAGAATAATACAATTTTAAAATAAATGTGAATTAATTAACATAAAAAGTTGAATGCTAATTTAATTTAGAAAAACTAAAACTAATTGTTGTCATACCTCAATATTATGGAGCTGAAAACTTAATAAAAACTGTAATGAATCATTTCAGGAACCAGTGTTTTTATTGTTTTTCCCAAAACAACACTTTGAAAGTTTAGATCATTATTTAGATATTAGAAAATATAAAAGACATATTACAGTACAATACAATACAACACAGACACTATTATGTGGAGTCTTTGTTGTTAAAGTCGATAAAACAGACATACCGAACAAACAGATCCCACTCTGCTAAAATTTGTGAGTCCTCCTCATCAAGTTTCACCCCTAACTCTGAGGTTACACAGGGTTCTATTTCAGGTCCCATAGGTTCCTTTGTCCCTCCAAAATCAGAAAAAAATTTATAGTTTGTCTCCGTCCAACTCAGAGGAAGATAAAGATATCTTATGGCCTTATTTCTAAAGTTAGGATATTTTCGTCCATGTCAGATGTAAATCATCTTTTCATCAGCATTAGGATTGGTTTTTACAATGCACTGTATCCTAGAAACAACAAAACATACGAGACATAGTCAGACCACAGTTAACCCAATATGCCGCTTGGATTTTTTTTGAAGAGGTATTAATCTCCATATTTGAGACACTACAGCCAGGAAATGATTACTGCTTGTCTTAACAAATGACTGATTAACATTTATCTGTCAAATTAATTACCAATCAAACATGAGGTCCATAAGAAAAACAAGGTAAATAAACACCTGAGGCTTGACATGTTTGTCTGCTTATCCTCAAATCACTCCTGCTACAAACAACAAGCTGGATGAGCCCCCCAAAGTATGAAACCCCCCCGATGTGGGCCGCTTGCCAGAGCAATGAGACAGTGTGCAGGTGAGCCGACCTATGAGAGGTGGGACGTGATGTGTCTGTGAAATGTCTGTGGCCCTTCAAACCCAGTTAGACCTAATAGCCAATTAGTGGTTCAGAAGGGAGGTGAATGTCAGCTCATTGTTTTGATGAGTGTCACAGCAGCTGGATAATACAGCATCCAGCCTGAGGGGAGGAACACTGAATATTGGATTTCAAATGTTATGGCACCTACCCAGGATGCTGCCATCAACCAGACACAAATAAAAATCGATTGACTATTATCGTGATTGACTTGGGTTTTAGAATTTGTGTCAAAGTAAGCATAATAAGATAGGTGTGAAGACAGCAAACTGCCACAATATAGGCTGTGCGTGATTGCAAGGCTGGGAGAGTTGTCTATATTTGAAGCATATTTTTCTATAATAGGCAAAGTATTTGAGCCACGGATCAACAGATCATTAGCTCAGCTTCAAGCTTAAATACTGAGGAAAGGGAGACAGCGAGCGCTCCTTAGATTTCAATCATGATGAACCAAAAGCTCAGAAGTAATACATCCAGTTTTGATGGTTAGTTATATTCAGGAAAAAAAGATTCAACAGTTAGGGCCTGTGTCCACTGACAGCATTATGTTTTGTGCTAGCACTACCCATTTTCCAAACAAGATCATTGGCATCCTCCATTCATCAATCAAGAAGTTCCTCGAAAACAATGGCTGAGGTCCAAACAGGGGCGAAAATAGCCAAACTCCTTCTTGAGAGAGCACTATTTTCATTTTTTTCAAGGTCTATTTTTGTTAAATTTTTTATACTTTCTTGGAAAAATCATTTTTTTTAAAAGTCACAAAATTTTAAAAAGTACTTCATGATTTCTACTAAGAAGAGCTGAGTGCTACAAGTCAACTCTTGTAATCTAGCAACAAAAAATAATAGTGAGAGTCAATGCCAGTTTAAAAAAACCCGAAACAAAACAAAACAAAACAAAAAAACGATGTTTATTGACACAGGCCCTTGGTCCACAAATGAGTTAAGAACCTGTCAGCTTACTTTTGATTTTTAAGAGGCTTTAACAGCAGACAAAGACCACAGTGCTTGTGAGTGCTACATCTAAACAGAGTCAAAAAATGTTTCAGGTAGTTGTTGGTTACTAAACTGGGTAAATAGTTCCAACAAGTCATGGGAAAGCAGGAGAGGTATACTTGCTGCGTGAAAACACTTGACTATGCCTCCTGTGTACATGATTGGTGGATCCCTCTTAAAGGATACCATGCAGGATGAGTGGATTGTTAACAACAGACATGGTGACACTCAAGTCGATTATTCTGTGGTCGTACTGAGATTAAGGCAGAAAAAGCAACGGCAGCAACAATGCACAAGTGGTATGTTAGACTACTTAATCAAGCCTGACAGAACAATGGTGAGCA